AACGTAAAAGCGAATACAAAAAGCGCGAAATTCGGAAAATTCGATTCGTTTCCTACCCCAACTTGTACAACAATACCACGGCCAATTAATTTTTTGGTTGCAAAAATAAAATAGTGTCGCACTAAAGCTTCTAAAGCAATTGTCTGCAATTATGACACTGACAAACTAGTCAGCTTCATCTCTACAAAAATTGCGCCTATCCCTCTATCTCTACAACTAAGATATTAAACCAACACAACGTTATCATTGCTTCTATACTATCTAAACAAACTAATTACCTAAAAAAAGACATCAGCCCTCTAATAGTTGCAAATACTTTTATAATATAAACATCTACTACCTAACAAATCCCAATCCTTTTGAGTAATCCACATTTCATTCACAACTTTTAATCGTCCATAAACACTTCCACCTTTCCAAGTCAACATTTCTGGATCAAATTCTCGAGGTGGTGGTAATACATTAACTGGCATTAAAGTTCCTTGATCACTTATACTATCAATATATTCTAAATCTAATTTAACTTGAGTCTTAGCTTCAATTGAATCAAGTATCTCTTGTGACAATTCAACATCTTCTATTTGTTGACCTTCTTCTTGATATTTGACTTTTGCTTCGTCAATAAATTGTTGTCTCATATCATTGGTGGCTTTTATCTCCTGTTGAACATATTCAATAATTGAATCAATTGCGGTGGAAGATAAGAATTTTGGTCTCCAAATATTGATTCTATCAGTTAACATTAAATCATATCCACTAATTTTCGCCAATCCACCTCCAACTACTAATATATTATCATATAATTTCTTAATCTTACCCAAATCGGAATTCGGCGCCAATCCGGCATTGGTAATTGATTCAACAATCGCTTTTTCCAATGGGATATTATCAAGATTATCTTGTGATTGTAATGGTGGTTTTGTTAGAAGAAGTTGATTAGAGTAATTATTTAGAAGAAGACAGTTTAGTGTTATTAAGAATTGGGTACGTAATTGTTCTTGTGATTTACTATGAGGGTTATTTGGTTTACTTGAATACTGATCAGCGGCAGGTTTAATTAATCGTCCTTTGATTATTGAGTTTCGTGGTTTGGTCAGGGTAGATAAACTTGGAATTGATGTTGGTTTATCCAATTGAAATAATTGCGGGAAAAATAATCCCATGGGGGCTAACATAACTTCATCAAATACTTTAAATTCATATTTCTCAGTGGTTTCAAATGGTTTCCGTTTATAGAAATTATATATTTGAACCGCGATATCTGCATCTTGAAAAGTAATAAAATTATGTTTTAAAGTTTGTGCCAATTCCCAATCATAACTACTAACTAAATCAATATCCTTATAGGGGAATGAATTCTCTAATAATAATTTAATAAATGTTTCAGTAATTTGATCTCCTCCATAATTTAACAACATTCTTGAATCACTAATAACCATACCTTCATCAACACAACTAATACTAGTAGTCTGAGCACCGACATCAACCACACATGCACATGAAGCCCCGGCACCGAAAGTGGCAGCTACTGCTTCTTGAATTATCCCAACTCTTCCAAATCCAATGAATTTAAAAAGTATATGACACCAGGTTTCAACATACGCTTTATCATATAAGTCAGGTATCACTAACATTACTTTCAAATGTGTCAAATTCTTAATTTGTAATTTATCAAGGGAATCTAATATAATAGTAGTTAAATCACCTAATATTTCTTCAGGAGAATCATAATCTTTTGAATATTCATTAAAATTCCCATTTATAATTGGATATCTCAAAATCCAATTCTCATCCACGGGGAATTTCAATGCATCTTCACCTACGAAAGATGTTCGATTAGGATAATGTTTAATATTTATCCATTCCTTTTTATATGGATCATTATGATCGGGAATACGTTCTGGTTCTTGTTTTTTATTATAATTGGCAGCAGTTTCACGGGAATTGGGTAATACTCTACGTTTATAATATCTCATACGAGCTCGGAAATCCTTTGTAACTATTGCGCGTTGTTCATCAAACTCATCATTAAAATAAATATCTCCATCAGAATTTTCGTGTCTCTCAGGAAGAGGTTTTGATTTATCATGATGCTTAGGAGTTGATTTCTTAACTGCAATCACAGTGGGTACAGTCATGGGAACTGCATCGGTGGCTTTACCTATCCGAATAAACCCCGATCCTGGTTGTAAAATAACCACATCCCCACCGATTTTTGCCTTCTCTTGTCGAACTTCTTCTGTTTCATTTTCTTCATCTTCTTCTTCATCATCATCCGCATCTGCAGCTGTCCCCGCAGTCCCCCCACTAGCTGCAGCAGCAGCAGCGGCTTTCTCTTTCTCTTTATTCATCTCAGTTTCAATATCGTTCAAATCGAAATTATCAAAATTCTTAATATCTTCAAATTTCTTCTCATCAATCTGAGCACCCAGTTCTTTCAATTTCTTAAGTTTTTGTTGTAAGGCACGTTCAGTTCTCCAATTTCTAATAAATGAAACCTGTTCATCCTTCTTCAAATATTCCGTAAAATAATTCTTTTGATTAATTAATGGAATCGTTTTCACACTAGTTAATCCAAATCCATTTTCTTGTTCAAATCTACCAATACCGGTCTTCTTCAAATTTTGGGCAATTGTAAGTGGACGAAAGTTAGCTGGAAGAAATGCTGCAACATTATGAAGACGTGACCCAAAAAACCCGACTGATGGACCTGGTTTGTGACGTTTGGAGGATGAGTCGTCGCCATTTTCCGTGGTGGTGGTGGTGGTTGCACCAGCAGGGGTTTCATTTGCTGGGGTTTCAGTTTCGGATTTATCAGGAGAGGTTGGAGGATGTGGTTGATCCTGCAGTGACATTCTTGGTGGTGGTGTATCTGATCTGTAGGTTGTCAGAATAGTGATGGATATATTCTCGAAGGGATGGAATTTGTTTTGTTGTTGATTTGATTCCTCCTGTGATGTGCTTTGTTCTGATGGTAGGGTGAAAAAAAAAATTGTTTGGTGGAAGTTCATTTTGTATGCAGCACAATGGTTTTCGTAAGTGAGAATATGGTAACAGTGATTCTTGGTAAAATTATCAAGTAACTCTATGAATTTCCCTTTTTGAGCTCCATAAATCTGAGCAAATGGTTCAATTTTGAACAGGCGGGGGTGGAAGGAAAACAAAATAGACAATAATGTAGATTGGAGGTTTGGGTTGTAATAAATGGGTTGAGTACGTGAACATCATATATTAGAATCCGAAGTGAAAATCTTGTAGATCTAGGGATATCTAAAGATATGATTCTTTTGGAGTAGATTCTTCCAGATGTCTCATAAATAATTGGGCAAAAAGTGTGGGAGGATTTGAAGAGATGCATACGTCATTTGCATTCGCAACTCTGAATGTGCACTACATTTTACCCGCTAATTGACTTGAAAGATTATTATAAACAACGAACTATAATCAGATTGATGAAATCCTACAAGAATATAGGTATTAAAGTTGATAAAAATTTTTGAAATTAAAATATCCAGTGTCTGGCTGCAAAATTTTTTGGTTGTAAAAAGAGCCTGAACCATTTCTAGAAACCTCAACAATTTGCCAAAATGAGTAAGCCATTATCTAGATGAAAGGCTGGACTTGTCTCATATAAAAAAGTACGGACATATTATCTTCTAGGGTACGTATCAAAACTAGAGACTGTTATGCTTCAGCAGAAGATATGTCATTTGAGATGCGAGCTAATTTATTTAGTACGGTTGTGAGTATATAGCAAAGCTGAGTAAAGGAACTATTTTCACACCGATTTTGGGGCCATAAATTTGGGGCCATTGGGTCACTAGTCATGTCTGAAACCATGTATCCTATCTGGCGAGTGCACTGGAGTCGTATCTAAAAGACAAAATCAAGTCCTAGATTCGTTTCTGTTTGAAACTAATCGTCCCTCGCTATATTGGTAGATATATGAGGTACGTTTTTAAAGAAGACGGGGAACTTGTATAGTTACCTATCGTTTGTTTATAAATTGGCCATAGTGCGCGTTAAAGTTGTCGTTGCATTTTACTTAAGATTCAAAGTATGACTCTAACTTCGGTTCCAGATGTTTAGTTTATACTCAGTCTTGTTGTTTCGCCCCTTCAATTATGCTTAAACTACAGCATCAAATAGGTAGCGTTAGGTTGGATAAAAAATGATTTGGTTAATATTAAACCGTTAATCCAAAGACCCTGTCGCGATGATCTTCTCTCAATTCCAAGCAATTCTGCAGCTAACGGCATTATTCAAGACAATGCATCCTCAAGCTTTACGACAAGAAAAACTCAAATATTAAAAACATCGTCTCGATCCATAAACTCAACTCAAACAAGCTAGAGATGCTAGATATATTCAGACCACTGTTAATATCTTGCGGTTAAGATGAATGCTTGTTGCTGCTGAGATGAAAAGTCTCGTTGTTGATGGGCTTTTTTGGCTTTTCCGTACTTCGCAGTGTTGCAAATTAATGTTCTTAGTTCTCATTTGCCTGATCCCGGTAATTCTCGGAAAATTCCATTGAAGAAAAAAAACACAACAGTAAAAGGAGCCGAACGTTTTTTTGCATGTTAGAGACATAATTTTTGCTCTTTAAAATTCAACTTCATAACCTATTGCATTTCCATGTCTTAGACAATCTTGTTGCTGTTTTTACAAGTTAACAAAGAAGTAATACTTCATTAAGGAAGCCGGTGCGTGGTTTGTCATATTCATAGGCTTATTCCATTTCGGAATTATTAGGAAATGCCGATTATTGTTTTAAGTATTTGACACCTGCAACACAAAACGGTCCCAAAACTGTAAACGTTTCCCTCGGTTGTTTGCAGGTTATAGTTTGATGCCCCTCACTTTAACTGTTAGCTCGGTAGTTTTAGGACTCCCGGCGGAATCTTCACGCCCGAAACTGTAAATCCCCTCGCGTTGATGTTTTTTTTTACAGGTTTTTTTATTGGTAAAGGAAAAATATTTTTATTGTCTTCGCGCGCCCACACCTTAACGCTTTTTCATAATCTTCATAATAAACCCACCAAATTAACTTTAAAGAATTCTTGTCCAATTTTTCAAAATTTAATTCCCTTTTCTTTCTTTGAGTTCAGTTTTAATTCATTTCATATCCAAATACAATGTTGAACAAGCAATTTATTCGTGGGTTTGCCTCTTCTGCCCCAGCTAGAAACTATGCCAATACCATCAAGAATTTAAAGATCAATAAAGACACCAAGGTTATCTACCAAGGTTTCACTGGTAAGCAAGCTACCTTCCACGCCGAACAAGCTATTGCTTACGGTACTCAAGTTGTAGGTGGTATCAACCCAAAGAAGGCTGGTACTATGCACTTGGACAGACCAGTTTTTGGTTCTGTTGCTGATGCTATGAGAGAAGCCGGTGCTACTGCCACTGGTATTTTCGTCCCACCACCAGTTGCTGCTGCTGCCATTGAAGAAGCTATTGCTGCTGAAATCCCATTAGCTGTTGCCATCACTGAAGGTATTCCACAAAAGGATATGGTTAGAATTGCTCAAATTTTAAAGACTCAAGATAAGACCAGATTAGTTGGTCCAAATTGTCCAGGTATTATTGCCCCAGATCAATGTAAGATTGGTATTATGCCTTCTTCTATCCACAAGAGAGGTAGAGTCGGTGTTATCTCCAGATCTGGTACTTTAACTTATGAAGCTGTTGCTCAAACCACTGCTGTTGGTTTAGGTCAATCTTTAGTCATTGGTATGGGTGGTGATCCATTCCCAGGTACTAACTTCATTGATGCCTTAACTTTATTCTTAAATGATGCTGAAACTGAAGGTATTATCTTAATTGGTGAAATTGGTGGTAGTGCTGAAGAAGAAGCTTCTGAATTCTTGAAGCAACACAACTTGACCAGACCAGATGGTCCAAAACCCGTTGTTTCTTTCATTGCCGGTGTCTCCGCTCCTCCAGGTAGAAGAATGGGTCACGCTGGTGCCATCGTTGCCGGTGGTAAGGGTGATGCTAAATCCAAGATTGCTGCATTAGAATCTGCTGGTGTTGTTGTTGAACAATCCCCAGCTAGATTAGGTAAATCCTTGTATGAAGAATTCAAGGTCAAGGGTTTATTGTAAATTTAGTATGATTTAGAGTAAAAAGGAAAATATTATTTAAATTAGCTTGTCATCTTTAGATTTTTATATATATAATTTATATTTCGAAATAAGGAACCATCATGTATATGTTGATCAATAACTACCAAGTATTGATCTGATAGGGTCTGCATATAAAAATTAATAAAATGGGATGTGCACTACCCTTGAAAAAATTTAACTCTCTACACCTTTGAAAATTTTTGAACAAATAGAACATTGAATATTCGAATCATAATCATCAGGTAGAAATTATACAAATGTTGAGATCATTACTCGGGGTTCAAAGTATACGCAGTATTGCGAGACAAACTATAACTAAACCAATCCTTCCAGTTTCATTTTCTTTTATAAATAGACAATTTTCCTCATCACCAATAGCATACAGAATTAATACATCCACAAGAACCAAAGAGAATGTTCATGATTTAGAAACTTTCTTAACATTGATTGGTCGTAACTGCATTGAACATAAAGAATTATTCGAAAATGATTTAGAAACGTTTTTGGCCACGACATCCAAAAAAATGAAAAATATGGGTATTGATACACGTACTAGAAGATACTTGTTAAGATGGAAGCATAAATTCGTGAATGACTTAGAACCATTGAGAGAACATAAAAGAGGAGTAAAGAAGAATGGAGGTGAAAGAAAGGCTAAAGCGGTATTGGCTAGAAAGAAGGCTCTTGCAAGAAGGGAAGCTCTTGAAAATGCTGGTGAAGAAACTGAAGACAGAATATTCTAGACAGGTTAAGAATATTGTAGTAATTAGTTTACTATAGAGTGTATGATAAAGTTTTAGTCAGGTGATCTTTTGTACATATTATTTATAAAGTCACTGATTAGTTGTTGATCTTAATCAAAATCTGTACATAATAAAATATCAAAAATAATAAGTAATTAGAATTTTGCATAAACATATGAAAGATTCAATCAGCTTTGATTGACTACCGTTAATTCTCCTCTTCCTGTAGAAAATGTACGTGAAACAAGATTCAAGTTGTCCCTCTCTTTGATTGAATGAGTTTTGGCCCTGCGTAAGGTGCTACCAGAAAATTACCGTGATTGTTTTTTTTGTTTACCTTTTTGTAAAGAATTCCATAAATCGATCTTCTTTTTTACAACCACAAACAACAAACAGTAATTATTCCTTATAAATGTCAATATGAAAGATATATCTATAGATCCGAAGGTATTGTCCTTCGTCCAGTCACAATCCACTGTCCCATTAAGTCCTTCAAAACGAAGTAACATACCCCAGCATGATATGAAAGCATTGGAGTCATCATGTCTCCTCTCAATCAATACCCATATACTGAATGGACTGGCTATTTCTAATATCCAATTAATGAATATGAATTTCAATTGTTTATATTTAATCTATCAGAACAATGGAGAACTTTTGATTGGAATAATAAAGAAGCATCAACTATATGTTGTCAAATTACTTGAATCAAAACAAGTTGAAGAAGCTATAAACCAATTGATACTGATATTCCAACAAATATGCAATGTCTTAGATATTAAAACCAGCACAATTGATGTGGATACAATCTTATTAGGAGTGCCTCATACAGACGTTAATGACGATCAAATCGTACAAATTGTTAATTCCTTTCATCTTTTCGTTTTACAAAGCGTACTACAATATGCTTCCAAAAACTTCAAGTCAATAATAACCAATACAGATAGCATAGTTCAATTAGCATCATTAAAGATAGTTCCTGAATTGTTTTTGCATGGTAGTAATTTTCGAAAGTGGTTAGTGATGATGATTGTTAGTTCGGATAAATATCATAGAAACTGTATAAAAATGCTTCAAGGTTACATCAAAGTATTTTCAATTATCAAACTTGAAAAATTCGCTGCGTTGAAATCATGTTTTCAATTGAAACTTATGGAGTATACAAAAGACTTTGACAAGTTGGATGAAATACAAGTTTTTCCGGAATTAATACCGTACCTAAACGATTCAAAAAGTATTCCAAATATTGAAAGACTAATCGCAAAACTCGATCCTGCCGCTCATAGTGATATTCTACATCTATTGGAAAATTGTACGACTATCGATGCGGTACATAGCCTTCAGATTAAATTGTTGGGTTCTGCAAAGCTTATAGATGATCAGAAGTTATTGAAAACCATGACAACGATAAAGTTAAGAAATGATTGCGTTGGACAGAATCTCGCACTTGCGTTGTCCTCCTTCTTTGCCCATGCTTCTACTGGACTGACACTGTGGCTGCCATTACATCTTCTGGTCCTTGATTTATTAACCATATATGCTCGTGATTCATTGCAGTCCAACATAGTATTTACTGGCATGGAACAGATGTTACAGAATTTATATGTTGCATTACTGAAATTCAAGCAACTTAAAAGAATACGAAACCTTTCAAACTTGCTGTTTAATATAGGTAATAGATCCAATAGTAGTACATGGTGGCAGCTCTCCATTAGAATGGAATGCTTTATTATGGACTTAGAACGTACAGAACAAAACTTCAAACAATTATCAAGCAAATTTCATAGATTGGCAAATTCTATAGATGATTGCTCAGAAGGGTTAAAACTGTTTTTAAAATGCAATCAGACTTTTGTGGATAAATATGATTATGAACAAATTGTGCATGATAAATTAACTATCCAAGCAATATGCAAGATGTTTACTACACGCCCGGAACTAGCTGTAACCTTAAATGCACTCGAAGATAAATTCAAATCGAGTATTACATGCAGAATGTTTGATGTTTTTGAAAGAACCAATGATGCAGCTCTGAAAACCATTGTCTGTAATGCTATTATGAAGAATTTATCTTTTGTTGATGAATACTACGAGCAAAGAGTTCAATATAGATATTATGATATAAATGGCATTGACAACTATTTACAATTGAGTATCTCCTCGTCCGCCAATTCCTTGATTCTTGCAGGGTTTCAAGTTCAAAAGTTGATGAATTTTGGCTGGGATGAGCTTGTTCTTGAGGAATGTATATACAACGTACAATCTTGGCTAAGTCATAGGCATACTAATCTATCATCATTTGAGGTTCAGATTTTAAACCAAGTGTTGGCATATTTCAAGTATAATGGGTTAACGGGAAAGATAATTCAAATAATCGAACTTTGCAAGAATAATCAAACTCTTACTCCTGAACTATTGGTCTTATTGGATTCGGAACTATCTCAAGCGTTAACAAAGTTATCTTTGCACATCCAGTGTGCTGAATCACTTACCGAATTGAACAAACTGTTGAAACAACAGAATTTGACCACTTTAAGAGAAGCCATAAACTTCAATCTACTTCAGCTTGAATATTGTATTGAATCAAAGAACGTCACCAAAGCAAGAGAAATGTTTTCCAAAGTATTAAAAACATTCCAATCGAGACAAGAATTCAAGCTAGACGGGACTAGTAAGTTCCCTGTCGAACAAAGGTTCCAAAATTTCCTTCTTGTAGGGAGATTCCAATTACTTGCAGCAAAATTGAATCAAGCATTGAACTTACCCGTGGAAGCCTTTTTAAATGCCAAGTTGGCAATACAGTTATCTGGCTCAGTTATCAAGAAAAGTGGACCAAACATACAAAAAAGGACTTTTAATGAGTTGAAATGGGGAATCACACATTTACTCTTTCAATCATATAATATGATAGTTGATCTACTTGGACAATTAGGTATCTCAAGAGATATTCCGTTTTATTTGAGAGAGTTCAAGAAAGTGAATGACGCAAACATGATTCCTGTGGTTAATTGTGTTAATAGCTTCAGAATGGGAATCGATGGAATTATCATGAAGAATGAGAGTTATCGCGAGCATTTGCAATCAGCAGAAAATCTTGCCTATGAAATTGTGAGTGGTAACTTTACAACCCAGCAATATCGTTGCTTTGCCAATCTGTTGTTGAGAACTGCAAAGCATGAAGAAGTTCAATATCCCAAATTTTCGTCGTGGCAGGATATCCCCTTTTTGAACAATTTATATGAATTGGAATCTAATAAAGAGATAGAGTGGAAGTATTTATATGGCACGTTTTTGAATATTCCAGTGCAAATAGAGTCCAACAATAAAGATGTATTATCGCAAGTGATTGATTTCAAAAATGAGCTTGCATTTTGTGAAACTTTACTTTCTGAACATGCACTATTGACTAATATGAAGTCTACCGTCAAGTTCCTTCCTGCTGTATGCCAAGGTACGGTGCATCCCACACCTCAACAAATTGAAATTCTCAACAAATTGGTTGGTTTGAAATCCAGAATTCTTAGTGTATCGACTATTCGTCTTCCGATTTTTGTGTACAGAGATTTAACATATTTGTTGCATAGATGCTTATGTCTCATTTCTTCAATGACAATTTTCAAGAATGATGGTAACTTGCTTGAAGATGTGTATTTCAGGCAAGATTGGCTCAATACTACAATGTTCAATAATGAAAGAGAGTTGAATGAAAATGACAGAGCTGATTTACTACCCAAACATATAACCGAGCCAAATATTAAGCAATTGGACGAAATGTGCACAAACTTCCATGTCGATTTGAATCTTTATTTACCTTCCAGCTGGTCAATCGTAACCATTGATATTTGCTCACATACTGGAGATTTGTTAATATCTAAAATCAAGAAAGGTAATTCACCTGTTTATGTTAGGTTACCACTATCAAGATTTGATACAAGAGAACCAACAGAAAAGGTACTTACTTTTGAAGAATTGAAGGACAAATTCAACACCATTATACAAGAGAGTGATCTTTCTACAAAGCAGATCACTACATCTAAAGTTGTCACTAAGGAAGATAGAAAGAGTTGGTGGAAGTTGAGGTTTGGATTAGATTATAGATTAGAGAGCATCTTAAATTATGTCGAAAAGTATTGGATTGGTGGATTTTCTGGATTATTTGCGAATTTTGACGAAGGTACTTTGTTTACCAAATTCAGGCTGGATTTATTAAACTTGTTGGCTAGATATTTACCAACTAGAATAGGTCAATCACCGTTGGTTGAATTTGATGATGCTATTATTAGATCAATTTACTGTTTAGAAAGGTACTCTCGTGAAGCAGTTGATGATTTACTTTATTTCTTAATTGATAACTTGAAATTCCACGGAGAAAACAATGAATATGATTCAATAAACTTTGAAAAATTACATGCCTCATTTAAGCTTTTGATAGATAAGTACAATAGCTTGAGATTCAAAAATTCGAAAGAGCATCTTGTGCTCATTCCAAGCTCCAAATGTTCATTTTTTCCCTGGGAATCTTTAGGATTCCTTAAGTCAAAGTCAGTGACAAGAATGCCCTCGGTGTCAATGTTAATTGAATTACTTAAATCACAGTCAAATCTTTCAATAGAGGCAAATTCTGATTTATATTACTTGATTAACCCTGGTGGAGATTTAGTTAGGTCTGAAGAAAGATTCAAGCAATATTTTGAGCTGAAAGGTTTGTGGAAAGGAATAGTCGGAAGAAAGCCTGATCCAGATATGATACTTCAAGACATCACAAATTCTCAATTGTTTATCTATATAGGTCACGGTGGCTGTGATCAATACTTTAGGGTCAATTCATTATTCAAGATGTGCTTGAAATCTAACAAACGTCTTCCACCTAGTTTGTTGCTCGGTTGTTCCTCGGGTGTATTACAAGATAATGGGCTTTTTGAACCTTCGGGTAATATTTACAATTGGCTCATTTGTAAGGCTCCTATGGTGTTGGTTAATCTTTGGGATGTGACTGATAAGGACATCGATACATTCACTATGTCGGTGTTTGAAAATTGGGGTTTGATTCATCCTCTGACGAAGACAGTTGATTTTGCAGAAGCTGTGAAAATGAGTAGAGATCGATGTACGTTGAATTATTTAAACGGGGCCGCACCAGTCGTGTATGGACTCCCCCTAATGTTAGAATGATTATATAGATAATTAATATACAGGATAAAGATAATTTCAATATTCAAATGAGGATGAAAGATTTCATCAAGGTTTGATCATTGTCGAAGGATGTACCTCTGTTTTAATATTTTTCTTAATAACCAATTAACTGAAGTGCAGATTGATTTTTGTTTTAGCTAGTTATCTCTTCTCTTTTTGTGTTAATTGTAGTCAATTGTTATGATCAACTACATCATAGTAGTAATCTTAAGAAATTGATACTTTCAATTATATCAAAGAGCTATTTTTCCAGTTTTGTTGGTACAGAATTTGAAATCTACAGTTTTTTTTTTGCAGCCAAAGTTGCAAATTTTTGAAATATTATGCAGAAATTTGAAACAACATTACTCACTCATTTTTTATCAAAACCTCTCAGAACTTCATAGATGAGTAGAAGTGTTGACTTAGACTATAATCAAGTGTTGTATATTGAAAATTATCCAGTATTAGACACAATTATACATCAAAATAAAATTTCTTGGTCACGTGACTACTCAGAAAGCCGTTCGTTGGAAAAAATCAAAAATTTGCAAATAAGGCAACTTGTCCGAGCGGTTAAGGAGAAAGACTTGAAATCTTTTGGGCTATGCCCGCGCAGGTTCGAGTCCTGCAGTTGTCGTTATTTTTTTGTTTCAGTTACAGTTCAAACTAGAACAACTAATCCTTTCACCAGGGACATAACTTTCGTTTAAAATGTTATTTTTTGTTTGTATATTAAGCTTTATAAATATCTATAGAATTTGAATTTTTTTTTGGGGCAACATAGTTCAAGGAAAAAATCAATCACAGCGAAAATTCAATCAAATCGTCCAAGATTGCCACGGTTTCACGAGGACTTGCAATCCACGCGGTACAAGCTGCCATTCTTGCCTTGAAATCATTGGCACCTATGCTTGCAAACTGATCCCCAATATGCAAACTTTCCGCTTTTCCAATTGGACAATTTTTGGGCTGGTCATCACGACAGAGATATTTCTGTAATGATTCAACCCCAAGTGCTTTATCTCCAATATCGACCCAGACATCACTACCACCATTAAATGCACAGACCTCTATATCACTACTACAAAAAGCTTCTGATGGACTGACATATGTTGTGGCATTTCTAAGAATAATCGAAAGCTTGTTGGAGCAAGATAATACCATTTCCTCCAATTGTTCTCTTAAGATTTTACAACCCTCATTTGGTATAATACCTACTGATCGTTCCTTTCTCACAATGCTTGTTGTTTTTTCTATATCAAATTTAGATCTTAAATGAGTCAAGTGCTTGTGGACTGTTGAAATAATATAATCAATCTTATCTTTATCCCAATCCCTCATTCTTGGTAATAACCACTCATCAGTGGATATGAATTTCAATCCTTTAAAGTCACAGCTGTATCTAAAAAGATAATTTGATTCTGCTCCCATAACCATAAAGTTTTCTCTCTGCTTTGGGTTTAATGCACAATCCTCAGAATTGAAATAATCAATTAATCCTTTTAATCTTTCATAGTACTTCTCAGCACCACTTTGGCCCGGATAACCTGCGGCTGTGACAACAGCAACAAATAAATCCATAGATAATAACTTTACCAACCTACTTACAACAGCATCATCTTGACGCAATGATTTACCATCGTCATACAATGTAACATCCCCATCAAAAGTGACTAGCTTTAACAGCTGATCTTGCTGCGCTTTGTGTAGCCTAGTGAGTGCCATTATTTGCGCGGTGTTTAAGATCATACGAACATCATTAAACGAAGGACTTACCAATCTTCTTTTCGAAATAGCTCTACGCTCATCTTCCAATAAGAATGCATCGGCCAACGGCAAAGAAGTGAAAAACCTCCCCAAAGATGGAACTAATTTTCTTAATCTACTTCTAGATTGACTATCGGGATTTTGATCATTAAGTTCATCAATGAAAATTGTATGTTCAATTAATTTCTCAACATCATAAAATATCTCCAAATATCTCTTCTGACATTCTTTAGCAACAAGCTGTTCATGACTTTCCATATATGATTCTGAACTTTCTTCTGGAGTTTTCCCACGAATATATTCAAAATGCTCAACATCAGCATGAAGAACAAATGGTCCTGCCAAAAGCCCCTTAATCCATTGTTACTTGAGCAGTGCTGCTACGGAGAAATTACGTATAAGGTGAGATATAGAACTAGTCATCCTAATGAATACTATAAGCTAATTCGAGACCCAATGGTGATTAATGGAATTGGAAAATGAAAAGTCAAAGAAGAAAAACGTGGAGGAACATGTCTAAAAAAAGATGTGGGCATCTTTGCTGTTTTGTGTTCGAAAATTTCAGGGTAAGAGAACAAATTAAGATTTGCGGCCAAAATTTAACAATGAAAAAACAATTTGATAATTTCAATGTCAACCACTAGCCCAGGGCATAATGTGTAATTACCTCATCTCAACGTGTGTCANAATTTGATAATTTCAATGTCAACCACTAGCCCAGGGCATAATGTGTAATTACCTCATCTCAACGTGTGTCAAATATTCTACAAGAGTTTATTTTATCGTATTTATAACTTTTCATTACACCCAAATAAAATAGAGAACCGAATTAAACTAAATTACATAACATTTTTGAACTAGAAACAGTTTAAAAAAAAATAGAAGAAATTTACTACTTTATTTATAAACCATGTTGAGCTCTTCTTCTGTCTCTTTCTTCAGAAATAGACAACTTAATACCCTTACCCTTTGGTAAAGATACATATGGCTTGCCGGCTTCAGCACCAATAACAAAGACATTAGTCATTCTAGTAACGAATTCATTTCCTAAAGAATCTTTAATATGAACCAAGTCGAAACCACCATTGTGTCTTTCAGTGTGGACAATAATACCAACTCTACCCAAGTTACGACCACCAGTGACCATAACTAATCTACCGTGATCAAACTTAATATAGTCAGAAATCTTACCAGTGGCTAAATCAATCTTAACGGTGTCATTAACTTTAATCAATGGATCTGGGTATCTCAAGGTTCTACCATCGTGGGTAACAACATAAGGAACACCCCTCTTACCTAATTGGACCTTCTTAACTTTACCTAATTTGTAAGCAGCTTCTTCAGCAGAAATTCTGTGAACAGCAAATCTACCTTTAACATCATAGATTAATCTAAAGTGTTCATTGGTAGCTTCTAAACTGATAACATCCATGAAACCAGCTGGGAAAGTAGGATCAGTTCTGACTTTACCGTCAACCTTAACATGTTGTTGCATCAAGATAGCCTTGACTTCTCTACCGTTTAAGGCATACTTAAGTCTGTTTCTTAAGAAAACAACCAATGGTAAGGATTCTCTCAATTTGTGTGGACCAGCAGATGGTCTTGGAGCATAAGCACCAGACAATTTGTCCAACATCCAATGGGATGGAGCTGCTAATCTTTTCAAGTGTTTCTTTCTAAAAAGATGTTAGTGGGGAATATTCTAAAAGAATCTACGATTGTATAACGTGAAAAAAGTCAAAATCTAATAGAGGAAGGGTGTTTTACGCCTGTTGCGATCATTATTTCATTGATATAATTTCTTCTCCATTGACTTGTTCTCTGAACTCTTATGGTCCAAATACCAATGTCAACTTCAAAAAAATAAAGATAGCTCCACTTCACAATCAACATCAAACCAGATCAATTTGCTCCGGATTGAAAGTTCATAGGTGATAAAGGATATACCTCAAATAATATCAACAAAATAAATCACGACAAGGCTCCCTTCCAAGCCAATTTAAAAAAATTGGCTGGTATACCATGGAAAATAAATTCCATGGGTTTACTTCGAATGTTTCCCAGCCCAAACATATAAAAGAATATGCTTGGTGTACTTTATTCATATTAGATTTTGTCATTTCTTCACAAACAATCAAGATTGTCTGTTATCTGTATGCCCGGAGAACGGTAAAACACTAATAAGAATCTATCAATTCCTTTTCCCAAAAGAAAAAGTGAAGTTCAATGGAAAATTTTTTATTTGTTTCAACCAATTTATACACAGATTCTTTTTCACTTGAAAATTTTTTTAAGAGTGAACTAAGAGGTTTAAATTACACGAAATTAGGGCTCCAACCCTAATTCTATAATTTGTTCACACCTACTAACACTACAATACCACAAGTCTGAATAGCTGTACCATATTGAGAGAAGAGTAATGAAGAATAATAGGCACATGATTGCTTTGGCTCATATCTAATTAAAAGATTAGGAGAGTCATCATTCTTTACCGAAAGAGACCTTTCCTGGTATGTTTCAGTGTTAAAGTTGAGAAGTTGTATTTTACATACTTTTAAAACACCAAGTGCTATTAATAATTTGTTCTACATTCCAATTGTGGAAATATTCTGAATATTCTGTAATGATTCCACTTTATCCCAATTGATACTGTGGCTCTTCGTATCAGAAGAGGGGAGAAGTACTTCCTCATAGGAGCAGGATATCAAATAGGAGCAATATGATGGCACGGAGTACAAGGCAAAAGAGGGCCAGCTAGGCGATACCTATCCACAGAAAGCTATCCAACATGTATAATACAACTTTCTGCATTCCAGTTCATTATATGCCAAGGAAATGAAACTTACAAAGGAATAGGAGTTGAAAATTGAAAGATATCGTTTCAAATTATCTGGATATGACTAATTTTTGCAACATTTTTAAATGACTTGTAAACAACAAACGCTGGCGTCATTGAAATAAAAATAATAATGTTGCATTTTCCACATTGTCCAATTTTCTGTGGTTGAGAGTTTTTTTGATAAGAATTTAGTTAAACAATGAAAGAGAGAAAATGGAGAAAATCTTCTCCACATTTGAAAATTAATTTGTTAACCTTTTTTTAAGTTCCTTATCGGAAAAATTACTCAATTAAACTTTAAATTTTCATTTGATTTTGTGTGTCATATTTTGTTGTCAGTTGGGGAAATAAAAAGCCTCAACCTTTACTAGTGAATTTCATCATGGTCATCGATATCATGATGAAATATCAGTTGACTAACAATTGACTTATTTTTAACGACATCAACACTTTTTTTGTGGCCTGGGGAAATCAGGCAATTTGATTTTGATGTGACCTTTAAAATTCATCCCCTAAAAAAAACCTTAACGAAAAAATAAGTGGGAAGATTCCAAATCATGCCATCGTCGCTATTGTTTACCTGTTTCGCCTAAAGTAAATCAAATCAATTGATACTGTAAAGTAACTTCTACAAGTGAACAAACTTACTAATAATGACTTTTCATATATTGAACTAAAAATAATATACTAGAGATATAATAATATTATCACTAAAAAAAGTCTTAATTAAAACTCGGTTATCCGATTTTTTTTGCGGGTTTTATCAGATGTGTTTTGATTAAAAGCAAAGACCAAGAATTTCTGTGATTCAAATAAATAATTAAAAATGACTCCCAAACCAATGCAATCAAATAACCTCTTAATGTATAAATAACAAATGTACAAACTCCCAAGGAATCACAACAAATTCTTGTAACTTTCTTATTTCCGTGGCTCTGCCTCTCAATCTGTCTCTCTCAGTATTTATTTGATATAATTTAAAGTTTCATGTACTTTGGACGAACAGAGATTGCTGCACCAGTTCTGTCAGCTGGTGTTGCATTTTCGGATTCATCTTGAAGTTGATAACATTCTTGTTCTTCATCAAACTTTGATCTTGTCGATAATGATTCTGTTCTTGCTTGTTTAGTCACTTTAGCAGCTTCAACATCAGTCATCACTTTAATCCAATCAATTTTTAATGAATATGGTCCATATTGCTTATCTAATAACCCAATTCCTACAGTTTTAACTTCATCTTTATTAATCTCACTACCATCTTGAATTGTACCATAATTAGTCATGACAAAATCCTGTAATGGAATCACCACTGTCTCCCATTGACCTGGAGTATTCAAGAATAATCGATGTTGGAATAAATCTGTAACCAATGGAGTATTAGTTTGGATATTAACCAAATATTTTCTTCTATCACCTTTAACTCTCAACGCTAATGCAGTATAATATCCCCAATCCCAATATTGTTGTCCATTAAACCAAGATTCAGGTAAATCTCTTGTTCTAAACATAGCATAACCCGATCTTGTAACTTCTGGTTTATTTTTAGGTAAATCTAAACTTAAATATCCATGGAAATGACCAACATTCTCTTGTGGATCAATATCGAAATTAACCGTGGAATACCCTCCCATATCTTTATCTGATCTTGTTAAGATATTGGATAAACATTCCTCTGGTTTGTTCTTAAAGTCAAGCACAGTTCTAACTGGCTTGTATAATTCTCCTGTTTTTGGAAATAAGTTCCTGAGTAACGGTGCGGATCTTCCTAATGTTTTTAAAGCTGCTGACATTGTAATAGAGAGTGACTGTGTGTGTGTGTGTGTGTGTGTGACTGTGACTGGGTAGTTTATAAATATGAAATTAGTTGGAATGTTTAGATAAACAGTATATTATTTAGTAAAAGTATTAAATGAAATTAATCTCAATTTCAAAAAAATCAGGTTATTATTTAATTGAAATTAAAAATGGGAAATATATTAACCTATTTATATTTCAATTAGAAAATGTCTCTTTCTTCTTGTCTCCTTAAAAAAATTTATAAAATATTAAAAAAGAACAATTTAAACTACTCACCTAAAAATAATAAAAAATAATTCAATTTTGAATGGGGGTCGTGTCAAATTACCAAAATACTACAATAAAAGTAATTGATTGATCCGTACTCCGGACTTCAATCTAATCATCTCAATTATCAATCCCATAAGTATCGTCTAATACGGTATAATTTAAAGATATGGACTCAATTGACTAAACTAATGATGTCTATAGCCAATATTAAATCAACATACAATGGTCTCATTTTTTACACAGATAGTTATCAATCAGAAATGTCGTGCCATAGGATAATCTTTTATGGCTGGATTTAGTTAGACAAACGAGGGGAATTGCTTAGGGGGACTGGTTTTCAAACAATACCCCATTTATCGATGTGATAATGACAAACAATCTCTTTACTATATAAATGTCTATCATCATAACAGAGCAATATCACTGAACTTTGACCATTTTCCAATTGAACAAAAAGATCAATTCTGTATATGATTGATTATTGACGCAAATCATCTAGTATAAAAAACAACAAGTGTCGTTACATATTTTAGAAGAAATTAATCTACGTTACGACATTTTTTTCTTTCTATAAATATCGGAGGTCGGAGTTTTTAATTTACTGTGTATAAGAGATTTTTTTCTATGTGGGGAATTTTTGATAAATATTATTTGAAGGTTCCCATAGTTCTTATCAGTGAAATAATATTTATCAAGAATAAAATTGCGCCTTTTTTTTTTCAATTTACAACAACGACTTCCGGGATTATGGTGCCCCGTGAATCTCCCGGGCAGTATTGTTTTTCATCAAACACAGTTACTTTTACTACTGTATGTATATATCAATTTCCGATAATTATATCCCTCATATATAGTACAATTGCTCAATTGGATAAATGAATACCCATGCAACTGCATTAATCTAATCAAAATAATGCAACTCATGTTATGACAAATCATTGAAGATGCCCACCTGGGTGCTGAGTAAGAGATTTTGTTTGTTCATTCGCCCCTATATTATTAAACTTCTCTCCCCACACTTTGTTTCATAGTTCGGTTTTTATTTATATTTCCTTCCCCACGTAATTACTCATCTTTAGAACAAAGCTTGTAATTTATAACCGATGATAATCAAAACAATACATCGTTACTATGGACCAAATCCATTTATAAAAACCACGGGTGCATACACCCAGTCAGGGTATGGTTCACTCACCATAAATCAACAACAAAAAAAAGGTAGTAGGTGATCGGTTCCGTTTTCGGAAAGTATTCCAGTTGGGTTTACGCCTAGAATAATTAATTTAATTACAAAACCTTATCGATGTAACGGTGAGGCAAAGTTTGAATCTTGTTTTCAATTTGACAAGAAATCAAGAAATTTATCAAGAATATTACCTGTCTCGGTTCCATCACTAAAGTGATAAGTTGGTTTCTTTGGATATCATTGAATGTGTGTGTTATTTCTGGTGTGTTACATCAGATTCTGCTTTATTAGAGAGCCAATTTATGAATATTATTATTAATGAGTATCTGCCCTTTAAAAGCTTTTTAATTAGTGTTATTTTGTAGAATAACTCTCTTTCTGATATTTGCCACGAGCAATTTGTGTCACAAAAGCAAACCAAAAAAATAAAGAATATTTTTTCTCTGCAATATTCTTTTTCGCAACCAATTTTTGGTAAAACTGATAGTCAATACAACAAAACAGCTGGTGCGGGCTAGGAAGACCTAGACCCACAGCACCCAATTAATCTGCAAAGGGGACAAGTTTTTTTGCACCAATGGAGCAATAGGGGGTTTTATTTATGGCAGATATATGAGTGTGTTTAGGTAATACATAAGGTTTTAACCATTTCTTGTAAAAAAAAAAAACCAAAATGGAAAGTTGACTTGCCAGGCACCTGAAAAAGGCAGTCTACCGCCCTGACATTTGACAAAGTAAGAGATTAGAATTTGACTGGTTCTAAGCCCGATACTTAGAGAGACTCTACAATGTATTTGTATAGGTTTCTTCATATTAACTTCCAATATGAAGTTGGGTCACAACAATAAACTTGTTCAGCTTGACCAGGAAGTTAACTACATAAAATTTAAACTAATCAAGGGCAAATGGCACAATTTAGGAAAAAACTGCCTCAATTAAAACATTGGAACATTCACAGGAAGACTGCGTTTTAGAAATCACAGAATTTAAGCTTCAGAATACAAGTTAATTCCCGTGCAAGCATGATACTAACATGTTTGTTTGCGCGTTGTTGTTAAATGATGAAATTTTCCTTCTTCTTTAAGAGGGGATCTAATGCAATAATTATTAGATATCCAAGAAGATTTATCTCTTTCTAAACTAGAACTTTCAGGACAAACGGATTCAGACATACATTGTAATATGTTGAACGTCATAAAAATTTAGGGGGGAGAAAATCGCGCCAGAAGTATGACTAATTAGAGATAAGATCATGGAATAATTGTGCAATTTTTTGAGAAAATCTAAACACGCAAATGTAGATGGAATAAAACAGAATGCTGGATTAACTAATTGGTCACCAATCAAATATGAAAACATAGTTAAGCCTAAATAGAATAGGGATTCAAAGGAGATTCAAGGTTTTCCAAAAATGCGATATTGCTTAAAAACTGGGAAATTTTAACTGGGAAATTTTGGATTAATTGCCAGAAACTCAATTCCATGACCTGTAATTATTGAACAATAATCAGTTACTGGGGGATCCTAAATTATTAAGCTTCATCAGCATCAACTGGGTAATGAAGTTTAGAAATCACAAACAAGTCACAAAACTACATTATGAGTGGCACATGGAGGACACGCAATCAACTGGTCATCAGAAATGAGCTAAGGAAGATTTTCGATTTCCCCACTCTGACCAAATTTGAAATAATCGCGGAAAGTAGAGCATGCTGTTTTAGAGGGATTATAGAATGCATCTTGAACAACCTTTGTAAATAATAGTCGTCAAAAACGATTTGTTTAGTGCCGCTTTAGGAGGTAAGCTCAATTACTTCGCGCAAAGGATAACAACTTTTTAGTTCTCCCCACATATTCTAAAAATAAATACAAAAACAATTAACTTTACCATTTCTAAACTCCAACATAGGATAGGTCTTTTCTTGCCATTTCTTGGATTTTTCTTTCAATAAACATATTATTGGGATATGGCGATGTATTGTTCGCAAACAAAATTGGTTTATAGAAAGAAATTCGAGAGTTTTAAGTTTAATCTTGCAGTTCCATTGTGTACTTTGTATCTCCAATTTTTAGATTTAACTTTTCTTCTTCACACTAGTTGGTTTAAGGTTTGAACTTCGCGATCTTTCTAGTAATATTCCATCCAGAAATAGACCACGAGAACCCTGCACGATTTCCAAAATTCAAATTTTCCACGCATTTTTGTTTAGGGAGTATCAAAAATAGACTTATAACACTGGATTAACTATGTAGGGGATAGACAAGAAACCAGTCATTAAAACAACTATAAATATGACTGAATTTACCCTATTTGTGACGAATTAATTCTTGAATTTGCTTTCTTAACTAAGTTTCCTAACTTATTACTTTCGCTTTTGTTTCTTTGTTATGAAATACAATTCTATTTTAAGCGCCTTAGCACTTCTTGCTTTGGCTCAGGCTTTTAAGGTCACAATTGATGACGTGCCACTTGTTGTTAGAGAAGGACTAGTCACTGTTGGTGACGAAGATGCTGAAGGTGCTGATTTTGATGTTGTAGATGGTGTTTTACAACTAGCTGATGGTACACCAGTTGGTACTACTAATGACGACACTTCTTTAAGAATCTTAGGTGAAGATGTTGACATTGGTACTTGGTCTGTCGATGGGGATACTTTACTGTATGACCTTAAGTTATATGTCTGTGAAGGTTGGGTTGTTACCACTCTGGAGGAAGAAGGTTGTCAACCAGCTTTATTGAAAGTTGAAGATCCAGAAGATCCAGAAGAACCTGAAGAACCTGAACCAGAAGAACCTGAACCAGAAGAACCTGAACCAGAAGAACCTGAACCAGAAGAACCTGAACCAGAAGAACCTGAACCAGAAGAACCTGAACCAGAAGAACCTGAACCAGAAGAACCTGAACCAGAAGAACCTGAACCTGAAGAACCTGAACCTGAAGAACCTGAACCTGAAGATCCAGAAGATCCTGAAGAACCTGAACATGAAGAACCTGAACCTGAAGACCCAGAAGATCCAGAAGACCCAGAAGATCCAGAAGACCCAGAAGATCCAGAAGATCCAGAGGACCCAGAGGACCCAGAAGACCCTGAAGATCCTGAGGACCCAGAACCTACCGACGAGCCAGAGGACCCAGAAGAACCTGAACCCACTGATGAACCAGAAGTCACCGAAGGACAACAGAAGCTCACCACAGTAACCAGTACTATAATGGTCACAGTCACTGACTGCGATGAAGAATACGTTTGTACCAGTTACACTACTGAATACGTTACTTTCTACACTACCGTTTGTGAAGAGGAACCCGAACCCACGCCATGTACTGATGAAGAATGTGAGCCTGAGAAGCCAAAGAAGCCTGAACACAAACGTCCAGACAAACCTTGTCCACATGGCAAATGTCCAGAACCAGCTCCAGAACCACATCCAGAACCAGAACCAGTTTGTCCACATGGCAAATGTCCAGAACCAGCTCCAGAACCACATCCAGAACCAGAACCAGTTTGTCCACATGGCAAATGTCCAGAACCAGCTCCAGAACCACATCCAGAACCAGAACCAGTTTGTCCACATGGCAAATGTCCAGAACCAGCTCCAGAACCACATCCAGAACCAGAACCAGTTTGTCCACATGGCAAATGTCCAGAACCAGCTCCAGAACCACATCCAGAACCAGAACCAGTTTGTCCACATGGCAAATGTCCAGAACCAGCTCCAGAACCAGAACCAGTTTGTCCACATGGAAAATGTCCAGAACCAGCTCCAGAACCAGCTCCAGAACCAGAACCAGTTTGTCCACATGGCAAATGTCCAGAACCAGCTCCAGCTCCAGCACCTGCACCAGCACCTGCACCAGCGCCAGCTCCAGCTCCAGAACCTGCTCCAGCACCTGCTCCAGAACCTGCTCCAGCACAACCACAAGAATTTCTCGGTGCTGGTTCAATCAACTTGTTAAACGGAGTTGTTGTTTCGGCCGCTGTTTTGATTCCAGCTATTCTTTTCTTATAAGCAATTGATTTGCTAATTTTATTGGATGATTTTGATTTCTTTTATTTGCTTTAACTATGGGACTTTTCTGACCTATAGAGTTTTCAGTACTTTATACTACTGTGTAGTATTTTAGTTTTTAGTTTCTATTATTTACATAGTTTCTATTATTTACATATTATGTTTAGTTCATTTTTCGAAAATTTGAATACATTTTTACTGGCTAATTTTGATAGAATCGTAGTTTCTTAGATTCCTTTCTATAGCCTTCCTCTTACTTGTTCACATAAGAAGATTCTTATTCACACTTCTCCAGAAATCAATAACTTCTAATTTTAGAATTGTTCACTTCCTTCGCTGAGGCTAGTGACTTATCGCAAAAACATTAAGACTAGTGGCTCATCGCAAAAAGACTACTTCCTTTCTAAAAATCCAAACTCGTATGAGCTTTTCTGTCAAGGGGGTTAGTCACTAGTCTCACAGAGTAATCGCAATTTGCAACTCAAAAGAAAGAAATCAAGCCTACTTCCCTACAACTATTGTTACATTCCCGAAAATTACCGACCCACAATTGCTCAACGGTGACTAATTCCATGTTTGGGAGAACACTCCTAAAAATTCCGAATTTAGAGATTTATAGTAAATAGCTCAAAGCTTTTTCGGATTTAGTAATCCTAATTCAACATGTATTTTACTTTTTTTGGATACGCATAAGGACTCTCTAATGACTCTAAATGAAATCGACCCCAAGAAGCGAAAAGACTCCACATGGCCTAAATTAATTCTCAGAAACACCAGCGAAAACGACAATCAAAGTTCTAAGTTTTCGAATTCATATTTCCTTTTCCATATTGTTTACCTTCCATTTTAAGCTTTAAACTTCTGTTCTATAAACAATGCTTCTATATTTTGAATACTAAATCCATAAACGCGTGAGTTGAGACCAACCAGTGATCGCTGTTTGTTTACGTTCCTTCCTGTTACTGATAGCTGCATATCGTGCTTTTTCACCTTGAAATGATGCACTGGTGAATACATGCTGCTTGGTACAGTAATGCAGTAGTTGTCGTGTAGACAATTGGTAATGAATTCTTTTTTGTGCTTCGATGTTTTCCCAATATCTTGTCAATTATAGAAAGCAAGGATGGGAAGTGGCTATTCCTTCTCTTACCAACTGTCAATCCGTAATATAATTTTCATAGAAACCAGAATTGGTGTCATAGTATACTTTAAATTTCATGACACATTGTTGCGCTAAAACAGCACTATAAAGTAGATCTTCAGGTCTCCTGTACAACTCCAAAATTCCAAAGCTTATTTCCGTGTTTTGCCTAGGTGATGTTAACTCTATTTTTATATTTTTATCCAACTTGTGTTAAAAATAGACTTATATTTGGGTGTATGATGATTGAACGTGCAGAGATTTATAACAAGCTAAACAATATATTTAAGTATAAATAGGGATAGATTTGCCACAAAGTACAAGAAATCGTATTTGGGTTTATTTTAGAATCCAAGTTTAAAACTCATTATATTCAGTTTATAACTATGAAATACAATTTTATTTTAAACACATTCGCTCTTGCTGCCTTAGTCAAAGCATTCACCGTCACTGTAAATGACTTACCTGTCATTGTTGACGGAAGTCAAGTCTTGGTAGGTGAAGAGGGAGCCGCTGCAGCTGACTTTCAACAAACAGAAACCTCCTTGCAACTCGTTGATGGGACCCCGGTTGGTACTACAGAAGATGATGGTACTTTAAGATTATTAGGTGAAGGTGAAGACATCGGTACTTGGACTATCGCAGAAAATATTTTGACATACGATATTCAAGTTTATACCTGCCCCGACGGAGTTCTTTCAACTACCTATGATACAGGTTGTTCAGAAGCTGTCTTCGTAATCGTAGCAGATCCCGAACCAGAAGTTCCAACCACTGACGAACCAGAAGAACCAACTGACGAACCAGAAGAACCAACCGAAGAGCCAGAAGAACCAGAAGCTCCAACCACCGACGAACCTGAAGTCACAACCGATGATGAAAATATCAGCACTATAACAAGTACTATTGTCATTACAGTCACCGATTGTGATGAAGTTGATATTTGTACCTGTTACACTACCGAATATGTCACTACTTATACTACAGTTTGTGAAGAAGAAACGCCTTCTAACGCAACTTGTACCGGTCACTACTGTCCTCCTCCACCCCCTTGTTTACCTAAAGGATGTACTCCTGCCCCTAAGCCATCACCAGAACCCGAAGTTCCGTGTCCACCTGAAGGATGTTCTCCTGCTCCAGAACAACCAGAGCAACCAGAGCAACCAGAACAACCAAAACATCCAGAACAACCAGAACAACCAGAACAACCTGAACAACCCGAAGAAACATGTAAAACAGGTGAAATATGTGAATATACAGGTTCTGGTTCAGTCAATATTATGAACGTGTTTGTTGGATTTGCTGCTGTATTGATACCTACTATGCTTTTCTTATAAGCTTTTTCGTTATTAGTTTTGATGGAAGTTATTGATTTCTTTTATTTGATTTAACTATAGGATTTGTATGCCTATAGAATTTTTCGATATCTTTAGTATTATGTAACTTTTTAAATTAGTTTAGATTATATGTTTACTTATTGTTAATTGTTTAACCTTTTTATTTTGTATTATTCGATCTCCGTATCACTGGTGAGACTTTCAGGCTCTGGAAACAATTATTTTTTGCAATCAAGCTAAATTTCATGATATTTTTTTCGGTTGTTAATAAGCGAATGTGGCTGGAATATTATTTTATTCTTTACACCAGCTTAATTAGTTAAGTTAATTTAGTTTGAGGTAATTCCGAACTAGAATCACGTCTCTAACAGAATGCTACTCAATCAAAACAACGCAACGCATTTAATGAATGGGATTTGGCAGCCTGAGCTCACCTAATGGTTCAGGTGAGAGAATTTAGAAGTGACCAACTTGGGATAGTTCGTTCATTGAACAAATTTAGATAGCGAAACTTGTTTTAAGCAGTAAATACCGCGGTTTCTAGACTAAATAAACATTTACAGAAACACATTTTGTTGTATTTAGAAGGTTATAGTTACCATAAATTTCAAGAAGGTTGTTGGGAATAAAGATAAGATTTTAAAACTAGAATCGGAATCTTATTTTGATACTAAAACAGATAACAATAGTATCTTATAAGAAAATGCCAGAGTCACTACTGGAATCGATTGGCTCATCTGACTGCCTTTGAATTCTCATCCGAGCAGGAGACGTCAACCACATTAGTTGCGTTATATTATTTTGATCTCGATTTAACTCAAATGGAAGAGTTTTCCAAAATAGAAAGAAAGTTGAACATTTTAGTAAGCAATTCCAACGCATCCGTTCCATAAGACGGCGAAGGATTTGTTATTGAAGCCAATATCAATTTTCGTAATTTGAAAAGACAAAACTACTCTAGTTAATGAAAGTTCTTGCTGCCTGCCATGCTCTCATTCCGACTCTATTAATATTTTGAACTTAATTCTAAACTATCGGAGAACAATTACAATTCTCCCTTATGGAACTTGAGAGGCTATGACTACGACTAATAAGACTGCAGGGCTTATCAATGAAGAACGACGCCTTGCCACATCGAGAGAGGTGATGGTCCCGAAGTTATCTTTAAAGAATGACATCGACAGCCTATTTGGGTCTGCTCAACAGTTGCAAATTGAAATATGGTTTCTAGTAGGCATACCGAGGAGAACTAGGGGTAAGTAACAATAAAAGCAAGGAGGTTTCGACGTTGATTGAAAATATTCCATTGGCTGCGTCCTGTTCTCTCGATATTAATATATAATGTTTTTTATATCTTAATTCTAAAACATGTCCAGCCAACCAGAATACCAATAAAAGCTGTGTATTGACAATTAAATCAGATTTAATACTTGATCTGTTGTTTTGATGAATTTTTTAATGGCGAACAAAGCATTGTAAAATTAAAATTCCGTATTTTTCGAATCATTAGTTTCTTTTGATGCTTCATGTGACAGAGAGAATTTACAGAAACAATTCACATTCATCGAGAATTGACTTAATGAGTTAACTTCAAAATCATGAGATATATTATAACAGCTCATTCACTCTGTAAAGAAAACATGAATTTATTGCATATGAAAATCGAAAGATTTTTTTAAGGAAATATTATTTGCTCCATAAATAGGAAGCTGGTCGAGTTTCAATTTTTTTTGAGTTTTAGTTTGATTGATTATATGGAAAATGTTTGTAGATACATCGAAATATTTCAAGCCTGAGTCAGTTACATACTATGATCCGAAAAAAGATCATAGAGTCGTGTTTCTAACTGGTGCTACTTCTGGAATTGGGTGGTACACTTGTTTACATTTATATTTGCATGGGTACATTGTTTACATTGCATCTAGAAACGAGGATAGATTAGTCAAGACAATTGAAGATATCAAGGTTGAAGCATTCAAAAGAACCGAGAATTATAGTGATGATGAGAAAGCAAGTAGACCATTGGGAGAATTATATTATATTCAACTTGACTTGAGTGATCTTTCAACTGTTCCCAAGGCAGTAGAACAGTTTGGCAAAAGGGAAAACAAATTAGATATTTTAATAAACAATGCAGGGCTCATGGCTGTACCATATCAAATGACAAAAGATGGATATGAAATCCAATATCAAGTTAATTTTGTTGGCCATTTGTTATTAACTTTACAATTATTACCTTTTATTAAAGAATCTGATACAACTCCCCGTATAATTAACCTTTCATCATTTGGTCATAATTTTGAATTTAAATATTTCCATCCTTCGGAACATGACTTTAATAAATTTCCAAATGCTATTTATACTTGGGTTAGATATGGTAAGGCTAAAGTTTCTCAAATCCATTTAACCAAAGCTCTTGCCAGTCAATATCCTGAAATTCTTTCCTTTGCAGTTCATCCTGGGATTGTTTTTGGTACAGGGTTATTTGATTATTATAAATCAATTCCAATTTTGAAGTATTTAAATAAAGCCGCATTTGAAGTGTCTGATAAGATTGCGGGACTGACTAATGAAGAAGGAAGTTTAGCTACATTAAGAGCAGCTATGGATCCAGAATTAACTTTAGAGAAGGATAATGGAAGTTATTTGGTTACTGGAGGTTCAATTGAGATTCCGAGTAAAGTTGCTACCACACAGGAAAATATTGACGAGACTTGGAATTGGAACATTGAAGAATTAAAGAAACGTGGATTTAACTTTTCTATTTAATTAAAGACAATATTTTATAAGATACAAGTAATTAGACAAGATAAGTAAGTAGACAATGGAAATACATACTTTATATTTATAGGCTCAAGACATTTAGTAGGTAATTCTTTCTTTTATAAATCTCATTTTCTCCTATAGTAGGTGTGATGATTGTACTGTTACAATTAATTACAATTTTACAATAAAACTTGCTGTAGTTTGTTACCAAAGAAAATTCATTAATAAAAGAGAAGTTGCCGTGTAGCAATGTACAATTCGCATAATAAAATGACACTGAACACTTTGAAGGGTTTATTTTTTCTTCTTTCTCTCTTTCTCTATTTAAAATTATTTCCTTAAAAGAAATATTTGGCACATTTTTTTTATTTTAAGTTTATTCATTTTTATCTTCTTTGAATTTACAATTTTATTCTGCTACAAATTACACTACTACTACTATTACTATGTTTATATTTTCACTATTAAGGTATGTACCAGAAGAAGTTACAATTGTTCATTTCTCATAGTTCTGTTTCTTTTTGTTTTGGTTGGTCTACATTTGTGGTTTCTCCCATCCATCATCCTCATTTACGAATCCCCCACAAAAAAGATAAAGAAATGAGATACGTCCCGCCACCCCCCCTCCCCCACACAAATACTAACAAATTAATTTAGTCTCCTTATTTCAATTGTATATCCAGTCATTGCATCATGTAGAGCTTTTGAAGATTATACCCAAGCAGTAAATATACTTGCATCACAAAATTTAAAGATTGGTGGCGTTACGGTTCCTCTTAATTTATTTTTCCTGCGAATTGATAAGGAATCCGATGGCAATGACGTCAATCATGAATTGGCTGTACAAAGACACTTAATATCACTTCAAAAATGGTTTATTTATTGGATAGTTCTTGCAGTTGTATCAATTGGGGAAAATTTATTGTTTTTATCTTATCTTATTCCCGGATATTCAATTCTAAAATTAGGGTTTAATGTTTGGTTGATAATCCCCATGCTTTTGATGGCAAAAGAAGATGTTGATACTACAGTTTCCACTTTTGACAATACAGAGGCTTGGAGAAAGTTTACCCAATCAGGGGCTGGGCTATTGTTTTTTACTTATATTAAACCTTGGATAGAGCATCATATCGAAATACTTCGGAAAGTTGAAATTAATCCATTAGAAATAATAAAATTAGCAAATGTCATGTCATATCTTGCTAAGTCCCAAGAAGTCCCACTCTCAACATCAGGAGTAAATGAAGAAACTAGCATGCTAGATAGCTCCTTTGTAATGGTGATGAATATGAAAAATAAATGGACGGGAATGGGGATATCCTCTAGAGACATTAGTGATGAGAAAACTAAAGACGATTTTGATGTTATCGAAGATTCTGCTACGACTCAAGAATCTAGTTCGATAGAAGCAACCAATCCAAGTAATGCGATAACCAGAAAGAGAGGTTATTTCTGGTAGGAAGCACTAGTGTTTTTATATCGACTGTTCTTTTCCTGGTTTATTAATTTAGAACATATTTATTTTTTATCAAGATTAGGTTTATAACGTATAGTTTTATTTTCAATTTCAAAATGACTTCTAAAAAATAATACCGTCTTATATTCGAAGGTTCTGGGGCTGGTTTTATCTACAGAATGGAAGTATATATACAATTGAGTTTTAAAATTCTTGATTTCGTGGAAAACTAAATCATGAACCAATAAATTCATTCACCAATGCTACATCAGCAGCCGCAGATGTCTTTTTAGTATATTCAGAAAGCTTTGCTAAACCTTGTTTTCTCATCTTGCGTGGAACAAAAGCATTTGGTAAGCGCTTTTCTTCATAAATTCCATCATAAACTTCCAAAGGTTTCTTTTTATCAGAACCAATCAGATGTTCGTGTAGCATCATCTTCATTCTATTCTTTTTCTCATATTCAACATTGTCAATAATCTTTTGGGAGATTTCGGGCCAAACGAATGGTTCCAACATATCGACAGTCATCTTCTTAACTTGCGGTAATCTGTAACGACCAAGATCATGTGGTCCTCTTGTCCATCTACCTGGTTGTAATTGAACAGTAACATTCAATGCTCTTAATCCATATAAATGCCATAAATAATCTCTTAAATCCATTTTATTCATACTCTTTGGAACCAAAAACTTGGCTTGATATGGGGTATGCTTAGCATTTGGTCTCAACAAACAAACTCTTGCCAGAGTGAAGTAAATTTGTTTCTTACCAATAGGAAAATGAGGTTCATCAAGATCAATATGTTCTTGTAATTTTTCAAAATTTTTTCTTGCTAAAATATCACCATTTCCTCTAAATTTTCTAGGTACTGGTTTACCTCCTTCAATATATTTCTTTTGAATTTCCAAAGCTGGGAATAAAGTATCAGTAACCGTTTGAGAAAGTAATAACGGTCTTTTTCTTTTATAATCAATACGAGGTTTGTTTAATTCAACTTCACTGACATGAACTTTAGGATAAGCGCCTGGGCGAGGTTTATGATGTAATGATCTTATGGAAATCTTCATGAATGAAGATATGAAACCTCTAGTAGTATCCATTATCAATTCACTGACTCTTTCAAATTAGACGGTCTCTTGCAACAAAGTATATCCATGAAAAGTCATTTTGTTCTTTTTTGATTTTAAATGCTGAAAATTTTTATTGGTCGTGTATAATGAATCAAAAATAAAAGATTTTTTCTTTTCTTTCTTCTTCTTCCATTTGAAACTTGGTTGCCAGTTTTTTTTTAATAATTTGTAATGAATGTTATGATTTGAATGATAACTTTCAGTTCATATTTATAATCAGAATTAATCAATCTCAAATCATGTCTCAGGATCAACACATGGATGACGATCCATATATGTACGATGATGATTCCCTGAAGATCACTCCATATGATTGTTGGACCGTTATTTCAGCATTTTTCCAAGAGAAGGGTTTGGTATCTCAACAACTTGATTCATTTGATGAATTCATTGAAACAACTATTCAAGAATTAGTATGGGAAGATTCTCATTTGATTTTGGATCAACCAGCACAACATACATCTGAATCTGATCACGAAAATAGACGTTATGAAATTACATTTGGAAAAATTTATATTTCCAAACCAACTCAAACTGAAGGTGATGGTACAACTCATCCGATGTTCCCGCAAGAAGCTAGACTTCGTAATTTGACTTATTCTTCGCCATTATATGTTGATATGACCAAAAGAGTGTTCAAATCTGATGATAATAAACGATCAGAAAAGAATGAATTGGAATGGATTGAAGAAAAAGTTGAAGATGAAGATCCTCAAACTAAAGTATTTTTAGGAAAAGTTCCTATTATGTTAAGATCTAAGTTCTGTATGTTGAGAGATTTAGGAGAACATGATTTCTATGAATTAAAAGAATGTCCTTATGATATGGGAGGTTATTTTGTCATTAATGGGTCAGAAAAGGTTTTGATTGCCCAAGAAAGAAGTGCAGCTAATATTGTTCAAGTATTCAAAAAGGCAGCTCCATCTCCTATTTCTCACGTTGCTGAAATTAGATCAGCAATTGAAAAAGGTTCAAGATTGATTTCTTCAATGCAAATTAAATTATACGGGAGAGACGAAAAAGGTGTTTCGGGAAGAACGATTAAAGCAACATTACCATATATTAAAGAAGACATTCCAATTGTTATAGTATTCAGAGCTTTGGGTGTTGTTCCAGATGGTGATATCTTGGAACATATCTGTTATGACGCCAATGATTGGCAAATGTTGGAAATGTTAAAGCCATGTGTGGAAGAAGGATTCGTCATTCAAGAACGTGAAGTTGCTCTTGATTTCATTGGAAGAAGAGGTGTTTTGGGTATTAGAAGAGAAAAGCGTATTCAATATGCCAAAGATATTCTTCAAAAGGAATTATTACCAAATATTACACAAGAAGAAGGATTTGAAACTAGAAAGGCTTTCTTTTTGGGTTACATGGTAAATAGATTATTATTATGTGCATTAGAAAGAAAAGAGCCTGATGATAGAGATCATTTTGGTAAAAAGAGATTGGATTTAGCTGGTCCTTTATTAGCCAATTTATTCCGTATTTTATTCAAAAAATTAACCAAAGATATTTATAATTATATGCAAAGATGTGTTGAAAATGATAAAGAATTTAATTTAACCTTGGCTGTCAAATCACAAACTATTACTGATGGTTTAAGATATTCATTAGCCACTGGTAACTGGGGAGAACAGAAGAAGGCTATGAGTTCAAGAGCTGGTGTCTCTCAAGTTTTGAATCGTTATACATACTCTTCTACATTATCACATTTAAGAAGAACTAATACACCTATTGGTAGAGATGGTAAGATTGCCAAACCAAGACAGTTACATAATACCCATTGGGGTTTGGTTTGTCCTGCAGAAACTCCAGAAGGACAAGCGTGTGGTTTGGTTAAGAATTTATCTTTAATGACATGTATTTCCGTTGGTACTCCTTCGGAACCAATTTTATATTTCTTGGAAGAATGGGGTATGGAACCTTTGGAAGATTACGTACCTTCTAACTCCCCAGATTCAACTAGAGTGTTTGTTAATGGTGTTTGGGTAGGTACCCATAGAGATCCATCCAATTTAGTTGATACCATGCGTAGTCTTAGAAGAAGAGGTGATATTTCTCCTGAAGTTTCTATTATTAGAGATATCAGAGAAAAGGAATTCAAGATCTTTACTGATGCAGGTCGTGTTTACAGACCACTTTTTGTTGTGGATGATGACGTTGAATCTGAAACTAAAGGAGATTTGAAATTACAAAGGGAACATATTGATAAAATAACCAATTCAGAGTACGACGAATTCAACGATGATGATACACCAGCATACACTTGGTCCTCCTTAGTGAGTGATGGTATTGTTGAATATGTCGATGCCGAAGAAGAAGAAACCATTATGATTGCCATGACCCCTGAAGATTTGGAAGCATCAAAGAGCACATTATCCGAAACACAGCAAAAGGCATTACAACTTAAAGAACAAGAATTAGATCTAGCCGCGAGAATCAAGCCAATATTCAGTAGTTCTACTCATACATTCACTCATTGTGAAATCCACCCTTCGATGATTTTAGGGGTTGCTGCATCTATTATTCCTTTCCCAGATCACAATCAATCTCCTCGTAATACCTATCAATCTGCGATGGGTAAGCAAGCTATGGGTGTTTTCTTGACGAATTATTCCGTCAGAATGGATACCATGGCCAACATCTTGTATTATCCTCAAAAACCTTTGGCAACTACTAGATCGATGGAATATTTGAAGTTCCGTGAACTTCCTGCTGGTCAAAATGCCGTTGTTGCCATTGCTTGTTATTCAGGTTATAACCAAGAAGATTCTATGATTATGAATCAATCATCCATTGATAGAGGTTTGTTCAGATCGTTATTCTTTAGATCTTATATGGATTTAGAAAAGAGACAAGGTATGAAGGCTTTGGAAACGTTTGAAAAGCCATCAAGATCAGACACATTAAGATTGAAGCATGGTACATATGAAAAATTAGATGATGATGGTTTAATTGCTCCTGGTGTTAGAGTTAGTGGTGAAGATATCATTATAGGTAAAACTACTCCAATACCTCCAGATGCCGAAGAGTTGGGTCAAAGAACACAATATCACACCAAACGTGATGCATCTACTCCTTTAAGAAGTACAGAATCAGGTATCGTTGATCAAGTCTTGTTGACTACCAATGGTGATGGTGCGAAATTCGTTAAAGTCAGAATGAGAACTACCAAGGTTCCTCAAATTGGTGATAAGTTTGCCTCTAGACATGGTCAAAAGGGTACTATTGGGGTTACATATAGACATGAAGATATGCCCTTCTCAGCTGAAGGTGTCGTACCTGATTTGATTATTAACCCACATGCCATTCCATCTCGTATGACGGTTGCGCATTTAATTGAATGTTTGTTATCTAAAGTTTCAGCATTGTCTGGTCTTGAAGGTGATGCATCACCATTTACTGATGTTACCGCAGAAGCTATTTCCAAATTATTGAGAGAACATGGTTATCAATCAAGAGGGTTTGAAGTCATGTACAATGGTCACACTGGTAAGAAGTTAATGGCACAAGTTTTCTTTGGACCTACCTATTATCAAAGATTAAGACATATGGTAGATGACAAGATTCATGCTAGAGCTAGAGGTCCTGTTCAAGTTTTGACTAGACAACCAGTTGAAGGTAGATCTAGAGATGGTGGTTTACGTTTCGGAGAAATGGAAAGAGATTGTATGATTGCTCATGGTGCTGCAGGTTTCTTAAAGGAAAGATTAATGGAAGCCTCAGACGCATTTAGAGTTCACATCTGTGGTATGTGTGGTTTAATGTCTGTTATTGCCAATTTAAAGAAAAATCAATTCGAATGTCGTTCATGTAAGAATAAAACCAACATTTATCAAATTCATATTCCATATGCTGCCAAATTGTTATTCCAAGAATTGATGGCAATGAATATTTCTCCAAGAATGTATACAGAAAGATCGGGAGTTAGTATTCGTGTCTGAGATGACTTGGGAGCCCTGGGGGTTGTGGTGAAGGAAATGGAATGTAATTAATAAAAAAACAATAAAGATTTGTATTTATATATTTGTGTACTCTAATATAACATTGTAAAAGAAGAACGTTTATTTTTTTCCGAATACTTTCACTTGTAGATTGAAACCATTTAAATATGTAACTTGTATTTATCTGATTTATTTATATACAGAATGACTTATTATTTTGCATCTAAGCTATATACAGAGGAGTCAATCTAGACGCTAAAATATTGTTTTCTGAGTCTTTCTCTTTCAGCTTCACTTTCTTCTAAGGCCTTAAGCTTGGCCCTCATTTCTGGAATTTCATCAGCGAATGCGATCAAATTCTCTTTATAAGGATGTTCGTCACCATCATAGAGTTTCAATCTATCCATTCTTACTAATCTATGTCTATTTTTAGGTATCATACCTTTGACGGCTCTCTTTAAAATTTCAGAATGACCTTTATTATCAATCATTCTTTCCATAGGGATTAAATTCAAGGAACCTGGACGTGTAGTATGGGACCAATAAGTTTTCTGTTTCATTTTATTACCAGTTACTTTTAAATGAGAACAATTAGTTACCACAACGTAATCACCATGATCTCTATTTGGAGAATAAGTTGGTTTATGTTTTCCCATTAATGCCATTGCTATACTTGATGCTAAACGACCCAAAGTTCTATTTTCAGCGGCAACATCAACATGATGCCATACTCTAGTAAGAGCAGAAGCTGCTACACCTATTCTCTGAGACATGGTTTGGTTGTTTTAATTAAAGATGACTTGTCTTACAATATTCCAATTTTTGAATAAATCAGGATGAAAAAAAATTCTTTTCAAGAACGTATGTCGCAAACATCAAATGTCGTCAAAAAATAATGTCTAATTCTCACGTGACTCTTATTAAAATTCTTGAGATTCTTTTCAGTTTTGGAAAACTGAAAAAAAAAAGACAAAACCAAAAGAATGGAAACATCAAACGAACTGGACGGTGTTGCTTTTTGATACTATTTTCAAGTCAACCTAGATCTTTGTACTATTATAAACAATTCATACGTCTATCCTTAAATAGATAATTATATTATAAATTGTATTTCCAATTTGGTTTTTAAAACAACTACCATTCTTTCTTTTTTCATAGACAAAATAACATCAATATTTATATCATCATAATGTTCTTTTTGAAAGACTTGTCATTAAATCTAACATTACATCCATCCTACTTCGGTCCTCAGATGGACCAATATTTAAGAGATAAACTTTTGACTGATGTCGAAGGAACCTGCACAGGTCAATTTGGGTACATTGTATGTGTCTTGGATTGCATGAATATAGATGTTGGAAAAGGAAGAATAATTCCAAGTACCGGAATGGCAGAATTTGAAGTAAAATATAGAGCTGTGGTGTGGAAACCATTCAAAGGAGAAGTTGTAGATGCTATTGTTACAACTGTAAATAAAATGGGATTCTTTGCTGACGTAGGACCACTATCTGTTTTCGTTAGTACACATTTAATTCCATCGGATATGAAATTTAATCCTTCAGCCAACCCTCCAGCTTATGTTAGTCCAGATGAAAACATCGAAAAAGGATCTAGAGTGAGATTGAAGATTGTTGGTACAAGGACAGACGTGAACGAAATTTACGCTATAGGAAGTATAAAAGAAGATTACTTGGGACCAAGTCCAATGTGAACGATAATAATATTAATAATGCATTTATCTTGTACATCTATACATAATGTCTTAAGTATAATTACAATTACCTTTAAAGAAATCTCAATTTGATAAAATAGTACACTCTCTTAAACTCTAATCACTGTCATCTCCAGTCAAATCAATAATTTCTAGAGGACCAGTACCAGCACCAGTAGTAGCAGTAGCAGTAGCAGTGGCAGCAGTACCAGTCGTAGCACCAACAGGAGTAGCAGTAGTACCAGTTGTACCACCAATACCAGCACCAACTCGACCACCAATAGGAGTAGAAACCCCAGACTTAGATATAGAGGCTGGAGAATTCAAGGTCATATTGCCAACTTGACCACTAATAGGAGAAATTGAACTCAGAGTCGATCCTCCTAATCCTATTGTATCTTGAGTTAACTGTATGCCTAACATCCCCGTAATTTTCTGTCTCTTCTGATTCGGAGGGCCAAATAAACCTATATCTTCTAAACTTGATCTACCTGAATCACGTTGCTGAAGTTGATCTTGTCCGCCTTCGTCTTGTTCTGAATTGCTTTTGCTTGATTCATGTAATTGAGAGCCTTTTGGAAACTGTATTTGTTCTATTGGAGATTTCTGCAAACGGGCTGCTTGACTTACCACAGTTTGAGGTTGCCTAAATGTAAAAGATTTCGATGGAACTTGTCCAACGGTTTTGGGATCTATAGTCGGAGATTGAGATTGTTGGAGTTGTAGCGGATCAATGGTGGGAGATTGGGTCTGTTGTTGTTGAGGGTTGGATGATAGGTTCACATTCGCAGTTTCAGATTGAAAATTTTGCACCCTTGCGGTGACAGGCTTATCTCGAGGCCGTGCTTGATTATGGATTTTTGGATCATCCACTAGTGGCCGGGGATGTTTTCGCAGATTTTGCTCAAGTATTCTTTTAGCTGTATCCTGAAGCGAGACTGGTGCGGTTGTACTTGGGGTCGCATTCTGTAATTGAGGCGGTCTTTGTTGATGAACCGGCAAAGAAGCGCCTGGATGATGCTGCAGTGTTCTTTGCTGTGTGCTACCCGTTTGAAAAGATGCTCTCCGCGGTGGTGCTGTCAGGGTTGGTGATATACTTGGTTGTGTACTCGGTTGACTCAGTCGATGTCCAGTATTAGTTAGTCTAGGTGCAACGTTTAACATTCTCGCAGCTTGCTCTACCAAGGATGGCGTACCCAGACCTGAATTTGCCGAAGCCGCTTGCACATTCATATAAGGCTTAGATTGGTGGACATTTTGGGTTCTACGGGGAAATGACCATGACTTGGGTTGTTGTGGCCCTTGTGCCGGCCTGTATTCAACGGTTTGCGGCGTGATTCTCGCGTCTGATTGTGTTCTAAATGCTTGTGGTGGTGGTTGAGTTGGCGCCAGATGATTATTGGACCCTTCTTGATACACGGGATTTGCCAGTTGAGTACTTTGAGAACCAGTTGATGGAATTTTACTAGCTGATGAAAATTGTCCCATGGTCGGCGTATTGTTTGATTGATAAGCACGCAAAGCTTTGTGGCAAATACTAATGGCTTGATCAACCTTTTCTGCCGTCTCCCTTTGTTGAGCAAAAACGGCTTGCTTTTCAGTTCGTTGTTCATTTAATATCTTATTCATCTCTGCATGTCTTGTTTGAATAAACTTCAAAACCTTATCATTAATGTGTCTTTCCATCTTCTTTTGTTCTTGATTCGCCAGAGAACCGCCATAAGCATTTGAATTGGAATTTCGATTTGCGTGCCTCAATGGAGCTTTCAATTTTGTGATCCCTTCCTGTGTTGCCGTATCGAAAATGTCCCTTGCTTCAAAATGCTTAGCATCTAATTTCGCCAAATCTTCCCGAAATGCACCCAACATTCTTCCCCGATAGCTCTGTAATTTGGTCAACTTTTCGACGTAGTATTCTCTCGGGAGCATTACCTGGGACCGGTTCTGTGTTGATGCATGCCCAGAGGCAGAACTCGTTGACACCAGTCCAGACGACGTGGCCGCTAAAGCATTCAGCGTCACAAGACTAGGGCTAATGCCAGCTTGAACAATCGGTTGTGACTCAGTGGTAGTAGGCGAATGTTGATTCGTATTTCCAGATGACGTTGACACGGTTGGAGGAACTGAAACTTGCATAGAAGGTTTACCAAATATACTGGGTTGCGGATACGTCGATGGAACAGATACCAGAGTTGGATGTGCTGATTGTACAGCCCTTCTAATCTCCAAATTATTATTTGTTTGTGTATTATTGTCTATCAAGCCCGCATGATTGTTTTCTGTTGCAGCATTTGGTGAATTACCCTGAATATGTACATTTTTCTGTACTTGTGGAAGATTTTGAGGAGGTGATGTTGTTGGCATCTGAGTTTGCCCCAATACTTGACTAGCATCTGTTGTAATACCTCTATTCTGATCTTTAGAATGATCAACCTCGTTTTCTCTAGAAGGCTCTGTTGTTATAGGTTTAGCTGGTGCTGTTGTGAACGTCTCTTTTGAAGGGGATCGTGGAACTTGTCGTTGTACCGAGCTACGTGGAATGAAAAGAGCAGAATATTGCCTTTGCATACGCTTGATCTTTTCCGACGGGGATAAAGCTGCAGTAGGACTGTTCTGTTGATTTGATACTTGCTGAGACAATGGCTGTTGCTGCGGGGTTGATGTAACCTCGTGACTATTCTGTGGTTGTTGTTGTTGTTTTTGCTGTTGACCTTGACCCTTACTTTCAGACAGAACTACTGGTCCGGTTGGAGAATGGATATGAGATGAAGGTGAAGCGACACGCGACGTTGCCCCAGACACGGCCATAGCTTCCATACCCGGAGAAGTCGCCCTTGAACCACTCGAGCTGAGACTAGATCTATTTGATATCCTACCAGTTTTTCTAAAATTATCGCGACCATATGCTAAATTTGCTAATGGAGAATCATCATTCAAATCTTCATTTTCAGAATCAGAATTATCTCGAATTAAATCCTGGGCCACAAGTTCTTGACCTTCAATAATATTATTTGCATTATTTCCCACCTGCGTTTCATTTGCTGCTGCATTTACATTCGCGGCCGTTGTCTCAATGGCAGCTTCTTCCATAGCTTGGACATTTTCTTGTGGTTCTGTGACGTGAGCTGGTTGTTCGGTTTCTTGTGTAGTTTGTACGACTCTACCATTTGCAGGTTCTCCATAAACTTGTGGTTGTTCGGTATTGACAGGCATCGTTGGCAACGATTGTTGGGTCTCTTCTACAGTTGGTTCGGGCGGTATTGTTGGCTCCACTTGTGTATTGTTTGTTGGTAGAGTTGCTCCTTGTTGTTCTTCTGTTGCATTGGCCCCAATTGGCATTTCAGTATTTACCTGGGCATTTTGGTTATTTTCTATCCCTCGATCCATATCTGTATCTTCATTAGGCTCCTCGACATGTTTATCCATATCAACATCCTCATTTTCCTCTTCCTCATCACTCGACAATGATACTACTTCAATTGTTGAAGGAGGTACGCTTGCACTCTTACTTTTACTTAATGCATTAGACTGTTCAGCTTTGATATTATTATTTTCATCAGCAGCATTTTCATTTGACACCGACCAGGAACCATCAGTATGTATAACCACATTATCCACATCTTCTGAAACATTATTTATAATCTCATCGAAATATTCTGAAATAGCTAAATCATGAACTTTAATATTTCTCAGACAATAAGGACAGATCCACGTTGGCATTTGCAATTGAGCTTGAAGAAAGATATAACCATCAAAACATTGGGTATGTTTACAATAAATTGATTGCACTGGATATTTCATTCTAGTATAAGCTAGAGGGTCTCTTAATGTTACAGTCGTTGTTGAAACCTCAATTTCATCATCTTCATTTTCTGCTTTTATCCTTTCGATAGTTGAATTCTTATGAATCTTTGGCTTTGTTTTTATTGTTTCCATTATTGAATCAACAGATATTGGGTCCACGATATATAAATATGTTAAATATGTATCAGTTGTTTGTTGATAGATTAATTGAACAGTATTTCTTGATGTTGGAGGACGTAAAAATCCAGTTATATCAGCGGGTTTTGCTGTTCCTAGTTTTCCTTTAATACCTCTGTAAGCCTGAGTTATTTGGGTTCCATTTACTGTAATTTCCGAAGGAATGGGGAATTGAATACGAACATCAGAAGATGCTGGTGCATGATTTTCCTTTTTCCCACATAAAAGATAAACTCTCATATTTGATTCCTTATTTTGAAGTAGTCGATATTCTTCCTTTTCCAATACAAATGAAAATTCACAAACTCCTCTTCCCTTGGATGGTGCACACATTTGAGGACTTCCATGAACAAGCCTTACTGGTCTGAAAAATGGATTTTCAACAAAGTATAATGCATGTCCTCTATGAGGTGTAGAATCATTTGCATGGATCGACCTCTCGGCGGGTGCAGGTGCTCTGGTATATTGATTTTCTTGTGACTGTACAGAATAGCTACCATCTTTAATGGCAGCATATAACTCTCTATAGCTGGGTAAATTGCTTCCTAATTCTCTTTTCAAAATAAGTGCTCTAACAGCCAACAATCTAATATTATCATCAAACTCTTTTCCATGTCGAAAATATGTTTCTATGCTTTCGACCAAATCACTCTTTCTGCCTGATATCTTGCATCCCATTGATCTACAGATGTCTTTCAATTCAGCTACTTTCATCTGATGTAAACGATGAATAGTATCAGTAAACTCTTCATTTGATAACAGTCGATTTGATTGATTACTCATGATACTTCTTCATTGGGATTTATAACATACAACAAATGATAATAATAAAATAAAAGTAATGACGATAATATAAAGCTTATAACCTCTCTCTCTCTCTTTTCTTCTTACTTCTATTCCTTTAAGATTAAAAAGGTAAAGTGAAGATTTACGCGATATAAATTTATAAATTTATGGTAAGAAATCCTTTTCCCAATAAAGTCTAATTTTTACAACCAGAATTTTTTTTTTTTCTTCTTGCTTCTTGCTTCTTCTTCTTCTTGTTGTTTTGGTGTGAATATTTTTTTTTTACTAACAATTTTAAGAGTGAGACAAAGAAGATTAGAGAATGAAAAGTATTACGGAAGGTCTACATCTTTTTAAAGACAATTAATGAATTTGCAAATACCCTTATTAAATTTGTTACAAAATAAAAAGACTGATTTAGAATATAGCTACTCCAAGTAAACTAGCAGCATTTTTAGGATCAACAGCATCCAGCAGGTTAGAACCATCACCTCCACCATTCATACCATTATTGTTAATATTGTCACCACTTTCACTATTACCAAATAAATCTCCTCTATTCTCTTTTTCTTCTTCTTCCTTTTCTAAAGATCTAAACGTTCTAGAAGACCATGAGTCTCCCTTTGCTGATTGTGATTGAATCAAATTATGCTTCAAATTCGCTAGATTATCTCGGTTTAATCTAGATAATCCTCCCTTTTCATCAACAATTCTAATATCTAATCTTATATTTTCAAGATGCTTTAAAATTTTCCGATGATGATCAACTTTATGTAATATATATGATTTAATTAATTTTTGAAATTTCATTTCGGTATATTCAATTACTTCCTTTCTTTCAAATTGCATCTCTCCTGAAATTCTTTTAACTTGTAAATTTAATGACTCTTGAACTTTAGTGGCATATTCAAGTGATCTTAATGCTTCATCCACTTTTATTGGGTCCAAGGATGATTTATTCTTGACTTTACTTGCTTGTAAATGTTTTGCGGTAGTTTGAGCTTCTGCTTGTAATAATTCTCTCATAATTAAATGTCGATTAGTTAAAGCTTCTTTAATTTGATAAAAATCATCTATAAAACTCAGCAAACCATCTCCTAATGTACCCATAGAACTGATAGACTCAATTAAAGTCAAATCAGATTGTATTTGAGTTATTTTACCCAATTTTTCCCACATATTCTTCATTCCTGGATGAATAACTTCAAATTGAGCTAATACATTTAATTTATTAGCTAAATCATATGTATGTATTGATGATTGTTTTTCAATTCGTGAATTCTTATCTAATAAACGATGTAATTTTTGACAGACTAAATAAGCATCCTTAATCATAGGTCTAAACGATGCCAAATCTTCATATTGATCATATGGGACTGCAAATTGTTTCAAGGTTTTCCTCATTAACCCACTAGCAACCGATTGTTTACGATTACTATTAATGACAGCGTAGCCAAAATCATTTTCAATAAAATAAACAAATTCTTCATCTCTAATCAAAATAGGATTACTGGTGATTCTATTTAACCACTCTTGCCACACCATCATAAGTTGTTTAGTTTCATCTTCTCCTCCTGTAGGATATGAAGTAGTAGCATTTGGAATAACAGGGACAAATACTTCCAAATTTGAAATCACCAAATATTTATTAAACTTAACAACTTCATTAAATGTACGACGTATATCTTTATACTTGGTCTGTCTAAATTTAGGTAACCCTTTCACTTGAGCATCCATTTTCAAAATTGGATTCCCAAGTTTATTCTTTTCAATCCCCACTAATCTGATATGCAATTCATATTTATCAGTAAATCGTTCAGGAATCAATTTTCTCAACATCTCTTCGGATAACTGCTCATTTGACTCATTATGACCAGATTGATCACTACTACCACCTTCTCTGGGTTCGGTTCCTTCTTCGTCCTCCTGGGATCCTTGTGTAGAAGAATCTGGTAATTCATCCTGCTGTTCCGTGATTACCAGAGATGTTGCTAAGGATGGAGGTTCATCAAAGGATCGATTGGACGGTTGAACAACTGGTTCAGAAAAGGGATTATTATTCTCAAAGTCGTCTGGATTATATTCAATTGACATTGTCGATTGATATTGAATAAACTATTCAAAAGGAAGATTGAACATTAACTCGGTAAGAAAAGTTTAATTTTTTTTTGGGTGTGTTTGGTGAATGCGCACACTAGATAATACGGGGTTGGAGGCAAAGCTAAGCTACATAAAAATTCAACAGGAATATTGAAGAGATAGATGGCATATTTATTGTACCTAAAACTCTATATATCTACTAACATCTGTTCTTCTTCCTTATTATCTCGCTCGTTATTATCTCCCTCTTTAGATGATACTTCATCTTCTTCATACGACGAATACTCAAGACTTTCATCACCAGAATCATTATGTATTATATCCCCATGAGGTTTTATTTCTTCTGATAAATATTCGTTATCTTTATCAAAGAAATCTTTTAATTTATCAGAAATTGGTAATTCAATCTCTTCATTAAATGAGCTTTCTTTTGCATAAAACAAAATAAACAGCTTGGCTGAATTCTTTGTCTCTTCTTTCATACTTACTTGTACACCTTCAAAATCTGTCGTCTCCATACAATAATCCTTCACCCTCTTATTGTCAGAAACTGTAACCACATGGACCCAGTCTTCGTCTGCCTTCGTATAATTCTTGCTTTTATAATAATACTCCGAATCTGAAAGGACAATCCCAACTAAAATATACTTTTCTGGCATGCTTAATTTAGGATCCAGTGATATCTTCTTAAGAATATTATCATGATTCATTATATCCAAACTGCTATAATCTTGATTTAATGTAGAAATCCTCAGGTTCAATAAATCAGATTCGTTTTGGATATTTTCACTTAATCTTTTCAAATCCTCAAAGGCTTGAGTTTCATTAGGGAGACTCTGCAAGTATCCAACCGCATTGTGTATAACTTTTTTAATTCTCTTTCCTTCAAATGAACTCAATTCCATTAATTTGCTTGTGGTTACCTTTCGATCATGTGTGACTTGGGCTCGCCTCTCCGACATATCCTTCACTAAGGATGAGTATTCTGAAGAATAAACACCCGGGTAGAAATGCTCTTGAAGTTGTATGGGTTCAACTTGAAGNAAGGATGAGTATTCTGAAGAATAAACACCCGGGTAGAAATGCTCTTGAAGTTGTATGGGTTCAACTTGAAGTCCTTCGTCGTCACCCTGAAAATGAATCGTAAGCATTGGAGATAGTTTCGCAAAACTTAATTTCCCGATTCCTACCCCGGGGCCCCAGAATAAATTATTAAATGATTCCATAATGGTTGTTTCCCTACGATCACTATCTATTTGAAACAAACACAAATCAACAACCTGATCTTCAACTTCTTCGTCTTCATCGTCGTCATCTACATCAGGAATATTTTCTTCCAGTTTGACATAGGATGTTGTTAAAGAGCCTAATGTACCTGCTTCGGATCCTAATATCTTTTCAACTTCTTCATTCATAAATTCATATAATCGTCTAATTAATTCATCGGTATCGTCAATCTCGGAAATTAATTCATTAAAGAATTGAGTTGGAATACTTTTGAATAATGACTCAGCACTAATGAAAGCTCTTTTACTTAATAATGGAGTCAAAAATCCGAATAATCTTTGGATCTCTATAACAAATCTATATGACGACTCCACTTCCTTAAACTCTTCTGGAACATCAACAACGAGATCCGTGTCATTATTATACCAATTTTCTTCATATCCATAATCAAAATCAGTTTTATTTAAGATAATCAGTCTAACTTCTTTCAATTGATACATAATCATTAAAATGGGGATTAAGTAGTTCTGGGCAAATCGACTTGATTTGGGAAGGATCGCCGGCGGAGCTAATTCAGTTCTTTCAAATGTTTTAGGATGGCTGAAGATAGTTTGACTTGCCTCCAGCATATCCGTTTCAAATTGTTGATAATCATCAACCCCAAAATCCAGTCTTGATGTAAGGCGAGATTCATTTATGTGTTCAATAAACGTTGGGATATCATCTGGGTTTGATATATCAATTGTATCTTCGTATGGTACCAATTGCATATTCTCTTTCGACAGGTCATAATGATGGTGTGGAGGAGGTGGTGGAGGTGGCACAGTTGATTCTCCAAGTAGATAACCAATTGCTTGTTCCAAATTATTATTTCTTGATTGCAAGGCATTTTGGGCTACTTCTGGGGTGAACCCCATTTCTATCAACTGCTTGATGTTGTTAACTTCTTCCATATTATTGATTCTATTGGTTGTTGGAATTTGTAGTATGAGTTGGTTAAGCTAGTCTCAAATTTGGCAACACATTTTTTTTTGGCTGTCAATTTGTTTAGGCGATATTTATAAGGAGAGAAAGACGTGCAATTATTATCATTTACTTAAGTAAATGAAGAGCTCTCGTTTGTAGGTCTGAGCAACAGCAGAGTTGGTGATATATAAAAGAGAGCTCAATTCAGGATGACAACCGAAGTATCTAGTGCAATTCCTTGTTTCCATATAGTCTTGGACTAAAATGAAATGAACCAGTTAAACTATTTGCTTTAAATTTTGCCAAAAAGAACTTCAATTAAACATTGAGTATGACTTACTTCACATCTTCACTTCAGTTACGCCCGGTCCTCTTGCTATACACTTTTATCGAGTGTGTGTAAAATGCCATATTTTCCTTGCGCGGTTAATATTTCTATTACCAAACCTGTGTGAGAGAGATGACTCGGAAAATTTTTTCAATACATTTAGTCATTAGTTTCAATCAAAATTTCAACTGATGCTAAAGTTGAAGAACTTCGTTTGGAGATCATCATCAGCAACTACGACAACGTTAAGAAGAACATTCGCTATGTCAACATCTGTTAAAGCTATTACCGAAGGTTTACAACACATGGGATTACAACAACCACAATCAATTGTTGAAGGTTCATCTTTTCCTGATTATAACATTATTGATGTTGCCAGAAACTATATTTCAAAAGAATTAAGTCGTATTTCTGAAGTAGACAGTAAAATTATCTTTGAAGCTTTAGATACGCCGTCCACTTTAGAAAAAGGTGACTTAATTATTCCAGTTCCAAGATTAAGATTAAAGGGAATTAATCCAAAAGAAAAAGCCGAACAATGGGCAGGTGTTTTTGAAAAAGGAAAATTCTTATCTGAGGTTAAGAATGAAGGTCCATTCCTTCAATTCTTCATTTCTCCATCTCTTTTGTACAATTTGGTTGTTAATGATACCTTAAAGAGAAAGGCTGATTATGGTTATTTACCATTAGCTGTTGGTAAGAAAGTCATTGTTGAATTTTCTTCTCCAAATATTGCCAAACCATTTCACGCTGGTCATTTAAGATCTACTATTATTGGTGGGTTCTTATCCAACTTGTACGAAAAAGCTGGTTGGGATGTTACTAGAATTAACTATTTGGGTGATTGGGGTAAACAATTTGGTTTATTGGCTGTTGGATTTTCCAGATATGGTTCTGAAGAAAAATTAGCCCAAGATCCAATTAACCATTTATTTGAAGTTTATGTCAAGATCAACCAAGATCTCGCCAAAGAAGGTGAAGATTCTGCTACTAATCAAGAAGCAAGACAATTCTTCAGAAAAATGGAAGATGGTGATGAAGAATCATTAAAAATCTGGAAAAGATTCAGAGATTTATCCATTGAAAAGTATATTGATACTTATGCTCGTCTTAACATCAAGTACGATGTCTACTCTGGTGAATCTCAAGTTCCACAAGAATTAATGCAAAAGGCAACTGAAATCTTCGAAGAAAAAGGGTTGATTGATACTGACCGTGGTGCCAAATTGATTGACTTAACCAAATTCAATAAGAAATTAGGTAAAGCCTTGGTTCAAAAATCTGACGGTACTTCTCTTTACTTGACTCGTGATGTCGGTGAAGCTATTAAACGTTATGAGACTTACAAATTTGATAAGATGATTTATGTCATTGCTGCACAACAAGATTTACATTGCGCCCAATTCTTTGAAATCTTAAAACAAATGGGATTGCCTTGGGCCAAGAATATGGAACATGTCAATTTTGGTATGGTCCAAGGTATGTCTACTAGAAAAGGAACTGTTGTTTTCTTGGATAACATTTTACAAGAAACCAAAGAAAAGATGCACGAAGTTATGAGGAAAAACGAACATAAATATGCGCAAATTGAAGACCCAGATAAGATTGCCGACTTGGTTGGTATTTCTGCAGTCATGATTCAAGATATGCAATCCAAGCGTATTAACAATTATGAATTCAAATGGGATAGAATGACTTCATTTGAAGGTGATACTGGACCATACTTGCAATATGCCCATTCTCGTTTATGTTCAGTTCAAAGAAATGCCAATATCGAAGATCATGAATTGGCTGAAGCTAATTTCGATTTATTAGTTGAACCACATGCAATTTCCTTGATTAGAATCTTAGCACAATACCCAGATACCATAAAGAAAGCATTAAAGACTTTAGAACCATCTACCATTGTTACTTACTTATTCAGTTTGACTCATGTTGTTTCTCAATGTTATGATGTCTTATGGGTTGCTGGTCAAGAAAAAGAATTAGCTACTGCTAGATTGGCATTATATGTTGCAGCAAGACAGGTTTTATATAACGGTATGACCTTGTTAGGTTTAACTCCTGTTGAAAGAATGTAGAACTAGAGTTTGTAAGTAGATCTTCTCCTGTAAACTAATAAATTGTATAAATCCATCTTTCGGACCCGGAATTGGACCGATTGTGGTTCCCTAATAATCGAGATTAGATTGTCGCAACTCATCTCCTGCATATTGCCCAACCAATTGAAATTTATTACAAATAAAGCAACTGTACATCTTCTCTCAGTAAGGAAAAAAGGTTAGATTAGTAATTTTTAACCCCTGTGAAAAACCAGATTCATTTGCTTTCTTTGATCACTTGAAAACGAAAATAACATTCAAACTATACTCCAGTTTGTCACTAACCACTCAATTGATAATAGAGAACCACATAAAATGCTTTCCTTAAAGTCATCCACTCGTACCCTTTTCAAATCTACATCTGTTGCCGCTTCTTCCATCGGAGCCATTAGAACCAATGTTACCAAATTGGCTTTACCAGATCTTGAATACGACTACGGTGCTTTAGAACCTCATATTAGTGCTAAGATCAATGAAATCCACCACACCAAGCACCACCAAGCTTATACCCAAAACTATAATATTGCAGTTGAACAAGCAGCTGAAGCTTCTGTTAAAGGTGAAGCCAAGAAGCTTATTGAATTACAAAAGGCAATTAACTTCAATGCTGGTGGATATGTCAACCATTGTTTATTCTGGAAGAATTTATCTCCAGAAAAGCAATTTGGTGGTCAACCGCCAGCTGAAGATTCTGAATTTGCCAAGAAAATCATTGAGCAATATGGATCGCTTGAAAACTTGAAAACCTTGACCAATTCCAAATTAGCTGGTATTCAAGGTTCTGGTTGGGCCTTCATTGTTAAGAACAAGGATAATGGTGGTGCTTTAGATGTTGTTACGACTTCCAACCAAGATACAGTTACTGGTCCATTAGTTCCATTAGTTGCTATTGATGCTTGGGAACATGCTTACTATTTACAATACCAAAATGTTAAGGCTGATTACTTCAAGGCTATCTGGAATGTTATCAATTGGAAAGAAGCTGAAAAGAGATATTTAATCAATTAGGGGGATGCCCTTTTTGCTTCAATATAGCCCGGACTTTGTATCTATTTATTCTTAGCTTATTTTTTATATAGTAAAGCGATTGAGTTTTTATCCACTTTGAAGATATTTTTGTAATTGCATCTTTCCTCTTCCCATTTAGAGATTTTAATTACGCACATTGGGTTATTTACTATGTATTTGGAAGTACTTTATAAATGAAACCCGGGAATTATTTTTCCATTCATAATCATTTGAATTGGTAGTTGGTAGCGATTTTCTGGGTTGCAAAAAAATTGATAAGGACTACGAAGGTTCGTGTACATTAGATGTTATTTTCGACCACAATGTGCTGCTGTAGGTTAAAAATATTTCGCATGGTTCATGTAATAGTGCCACGGCCTGACAGAATGCGGCATATAGCAATATATTCTTAGCCCAACTTTGGTTTGCCCATGATATGAAACAACCACGGGTTGAAAAAAATCATGCCCGAAACGAAATTTCCCACACAGCTAGACCGAGGTATGCAAAGCTTTAGTCAGATAAGATAATGCGTAGCGATTAGCTTTCCTCCAAGGTACGAGAAAAGAGTCAACAAGAATCACACCACACTTTTTAATGTCTTTCCTTTTTTAGATGCAAGACAATGCAACCTTGACGTCTTAAGTTGACATACATCAAATAAAATGGGTCAATTATTTTCCTTATCATGCAAGCAACTTCGAACAGCAGGGTGGGTTAATTAAATTGGCAAAAGATAAACTATAATATGTAACCAACCCTATCTTGAAATCCCAAATGATGCCAATATCTTGGATCTTACGGTTCGCGTCCAAAGACCATGTTCTTAAACCGGGGAATCTGCGCGGCAGGACTACGGGTGAATGAACTTCTAAAACCAAGACATTGAAATAGTCATTTTGTGGGGAGATTTTAGGTTTAAGGGTACCCAAACTAAAAAAAATCAAAAGTTAACAACAACCGATTTCCAGATACGGGGGTTGATGACCATCTCAATTAGCTTAAACAGGCATTCATGCATTTAAGAACGATATTGGATTTAGAACAATAGTGTATAAGGAGAATGTTGGCGAGAGGGGATTGACCAAAGACCGGGGATTAAGGTTAAATAATCGTTGTCATCAATAAACTTATTTGTGAGCAGTTTTTTAATGGTGTGATTATAGCTTAATTATATCTCGTGGCCATCCTGTGTACTGATTGCATTTAGATCTTTAGACAGGTATTTTAAAAGTTGGTACATGAACAGAGGGCAATTTGGATAAAAATTTAACTGAGCGCAAATTAATGGCGGCAAAAAACAAACCAGTTCTGCAAATACTTCGAAGGTGGCGATTGTTTCCCGGGTATTCAAACAAGACTTGCAATACATGCATGCACATATGGCGCTTCTCTCTTCAACAAAAAGGGAGGATACAATAGACAATTATGTACCTTAACCTTAATTTTCTTGTGGTTCTTTTCAATTGTTTACTGAGCAATTAAACTTTAGTAACTTTCCCTTAGTAGTAATCAATGAAGAAGGATATTATTCTATAATTGGCGGCGTGCATGAAAGAGCCTCTGTGCTTTAGTTTGTTAGTAATGATGCATGATCGATCCCTCTTAGAGTTTACACAGACAAAAGAAAATAATAATTGCTACTTTGATTGACTCAAAAAAAATATGCTATATTTTTTAGATTGTTTAGCTACTAAAAAATAATATCATACTCTAATAATATTTCTCACGACCCCAAAAAATAATCTGTAGGGGAGCCTCCAATTTTTTGAACACACTTCCAAAGTTATGTACTGGACAATTTTTATTGCGTGATTATTGCACCAGGAAACTTTTCGAGAATATCAAAGCTATTATACTCTTCTCATTATTAACCTAAGATACACATGCGTCTCAGAGAGTTGAATGAAATGGACACAAATATGAGTTTTTAACTATGCAGAAAGCATTTTCCACAAGGGACTTTAATTTAAGTTTTTTGACTCCCAGCGAATAAAATATTTTAAGAATACAAAAAAAGAATCGTTATTAAAGTTACAGATCTGAAAGCATAATGATTGCACGCCTATTATGTAAAAAAAAAAAAAAAAATGATTGCTGACTTTTGAACCAAAGCTATAAGTGTGTAACTCTTTAAATTACTCCTCAACGTGCACAACATTGCGTCAAATCATTTAATTGATCTGTAATATATCTGTGAAAGATAAGAACAATTAAAGTGGCATTCTCTAATCTCCGGAAATATGAACATCTCTCGTTGACATATTTCCCAAAATGCGGTCGAATTCTGAATATTTTTTAATTTTTCTTTTTATGCGGATCTATTAGCTGTGGAAAAGTCATTCGAAAAAATAATAATTTAATACTTCCAGTGGGGGAAAACAAGCCTTTCAACGGATAAAAGAATGCTATTCTCTTTTAATTCACAAAACGAAATAACAAATAATTATAATAGGTTGATATTTCCATTTAACTCGTATTGTACCCGAAAACACAAAGATTGGAAGCTCTTCCTGGTTTACAACAATGGTGGTTGTTGGGGGATCACTTCCGAACACAAAACTGAAAGAGAATGGATAAAAAAAGCCCAAAATCAATTTGTGATTCTTTTCTTTGTCAAAGGAACGTACAATTATTCGTGGCAGAGCATTGGACAACAATAGAGCCACTTTTCCAGAAGCATGCACCATGACTCCTCAGAATTTATTATTCTGATTGCTTGATTAGTTGTTTCCGGAAGCCGGACTTTCGTGCACGGATCTTTGGATCCCAATTAATTAAACTGGCTGTTGCGAGGGGAATTAAAAAAATGCCTTTTGAACAAATACGCAGCGAAGTATTTCCCAATAGATCCCTAATGTGTTGATTCACACATGTCCCTTTCCATGAGGCATCTGCCTCTTGTATCCTCGGGGTACGAATCAATTGGACTCATTGTGCTCTTTGAAAGCCGTGGTAACTGATTTAGAGTCCCTCCACTGTGTATCTAGGACAAATCTCTCTTCAACTTTCTTTTTCTGAATTTCTATTTTTTTTGTCATTGTTCATGGAAATAAGGTTGGGTTTCCGTACGTCAGAAATAGGTTTCTTTTTTTGTTTAAAATATATTATGTTTTTCAGCTGAAAATATTATTTTCTCTTTTTCTTAATTAATCATTGGAAAATAATTTCTCTCACAATTATTTTTGAAAAAAAAGGGTAATAAAATCCGAGAGTTATGACTATCTTAAGGATCTAAAGGATAAGCAATAGGCCACCAAAAAGAAAAATGAACAACCGTAACTCATGGCAACGACTGACCTGCCAACGTTACAAAATACAACCACGACTGACGCAAGTCTTGGTTTTGAATAACAGCTATGCAGACAAGGCGAACGTAGTTTGAACAACAAGTAATTTAGGAGACAATATACCGCAAGCGAGCCACTTGAAAATGGTACAAAAACGATCATGCAAAAAGGGAGACAAAACCAACTTAAACTTTTTCAATAACAAATTAAGCTTTTTCTATAATTTATTAAAATTAAGCTTTCCTTAACATTAAGGTTATTTTTGACTTGAGTTTATAAAAAAGTGTTTCCTGCGTGGGCGGGTTTGTCAAACAAGGATGCAAATTCCCCTCTTGATATAAGGGTTGTATTTTTTTTTTTCACAACGAACAGAATGATATGGATTGCTCCTCATGGCTCTCCCTGGGGTTTATACAAACCGCAACGATTCTCTTGTCGTACCTGATGTCCATTAGTAGAACAATATAGAGACTTCTCGGTACTAGCCCTCGGTACTAGCCTCAATTTTCCTATAAGAAAGGCACAGGAGTACTTTAGACAGAATTGGTGCTCTGCAATTTATTTTTTAAATATTGGGAATTATAAACAATCTGGTAGACTGGGTCACAAAAAAAGGGTCGACGACAATTGTAAACTTTTAGAGAGTTCAGACGCAAGGGATGCTTCCGAAACAATTGAATTTTTGTCTACAAGACATACCAGCATACAGGGAGGTTACAAAATCAAAAAACGACCCTAAGTGGAAATGCGAGCGAGAATAAACCCGATTGTTTACTTGTGTGATTGACCTATCCGTTTTGTGCATTTGTATAATCTTTTGTATGCGTGACCTTGTATTGTTCTTCCGATTGTTCTTACCATTGTTCTTAGATCCCTTGCGGCATCATCGCACAGGCGTTGGTTAACAGCGAAACATCCGCGGAAGGCCCTTTGCATCCAAGAAAAAAAAACAACCGGAGCCCCGACGCATCGACGCCCAAAAGCTGTGATATTACATTGTTTAGACCAAATAATTTGAATATATCAGATGATTTGCGATGCCCAACCACCCCATTTGTAGGCCAAGAACATATGATTTATTTACAATAATGGAATAAGTTTATTCAATTACTAAAAAAAATAGGCAAGAGGAAAAACTCTATTGACTAATAGTACACTAAAGGGCAAAGAAACCCACTGTCCCTTATTAAAAAAAATGTCTTACATACATAAACCAAAAATATCACAAACCAACCAGAAACTAAACCCAAAGAAAGTAAAATAATAACCTAGTATACATTTAGAATTGTAAATGAGCGTCACATTGAGGTATCTCTGTATAGTAACTTTGTAAAGCTCTCTTTAAAGCAGGTACCAATTTGTCCCATCTCAAAATACGGACCTCTTTATCAAAGCCTCTTGGCTTTCTGATTTCATACCCCATAATTCTCTTGGCTAATTCAACACGATAATCCTGGTTAGTTGGTACGGATGAGTGACTTTGTTGCATGGTCCCGTTTTCATTCATTCTAGAACTAATTGGTTTCTTTGACCAGAATGGAACTAAATTCGACCTTACTCTACCTCTTTCTCTTCTCTTTTCGGCAGGGTCTTTGGTTTGGGTACCTATTAATAATTCAACAATCTCGACTACCTCAACTGATGTAATGTAGTATTGGTAGTACTCACCGTTGGCATCACTCTTAATATAATTCTTGGGTGAATTGTTGCCACCAGTCATTCCTTCATCATCAGAAGATTGAGAATCATAAGGGGATTCAAAATCATTAACCTTAACGTTGCATTCCAAACAAGAAACTTCAACAACATCAACATTTGGAGGTGGAGGCAAGGTGATTGGATTTTCATTAGCACCGCCAACAATGGTAAAATTAGCTAATAATTTAGGACCATTTTGTATTCTTTCAATTCTTATTATTCTCCTTCTATCTTCCTTTTCAGACTTAGTCCATTTAGGATAACATATATCATCAACTGATGCACCAACCAAATTCAATTCAGTTGGAAGATACAACGACGTGCTATCAATAGATTCTTTAGGTGGCCTGGTTGTGCAACCACCAGCAGAAACACCTCTGACAACTCTATATCTTCTCTTGGTAGTCATACCCAATTGTGGAGTACCTGCTTCTGATTTTATGCTTGGACTGGAATAATAACTTACCGATCTTTTCCTAGGATTCTGTCTTGCTTGACCATTAGAATATTGTATATTGTCATGCACCGAAGGAATAGCAGCGGCAGTCGGATGTTGTGGGAATTGATGAGGTGGTATTTCAAAGTTAATTCTTGGAGAAATAACACTATTGAACTGTGATGTAGGTTGGTAGTTGTATGATAATGAATGTGCGGTGTTTGTATCGAACAAAGAGTTCATTGATGAAGCAATATTGCTGTTGTCATGGATTGGTGTAGTATTGGAACTGTTGGCATTATAATCAACAGAATCTATCCCCTTTTGGGCAACAAAGGTCTGTTGTTTCTGTGGTGGATCGGAATATATTGACGATGAAGCCGACCTGTATGATTGCTGTTGCAGTTCAATATAAGAACCGTAGTAAGATTGACCAGCATTATAACTACTTTCTGAACTGCTATTCCCGGATGGGTCTAGATTGGTAGCACTCATTAAACCTAGCACGGCACCATTTATTGGAACTTGTGACGCTTGTGGTTGCTGTTGTAATGCTAGCGCGGGAACACCTTCGCTGTTGTTATCTTGTGCATAATTGATAGTTGAAGTCATATAATTGAGAAGAACATTATCTTCTACTGGTTCGTCCAACAAGTAATTTGTAGTATTCATACTTAACAGGAAGTCGTTTAATTGGTTTGGATCAGTCGGATCTAGCATGTCAAAGCGGTTTAAATCAAAGAATGGAGATGATGACGTTTGCATGAAGGACCCTTAAAACAAAAGCAAATGAAATGGTTGTGATATTATTTTCTCAAAATTCTAATTATAACCAATTCAGGGACGATTTTATACTCTTTTTAAAAACTAAAAAACAAAATCAACCTCAATTGGGTGGTGGGAGTCAAAACGACGATATATAAATGTGTAGTGTAATTCAAATAATGATATATACTATCAAAGTTAAGAAGTTTTAAAAAAGAGATTAACAAACCAAGTCCGGTATTACACTTTGTTGCAGAAATTGGAAAAATAAACTTATATTTATATTTGACTTTATTTATTTAATTAAAAAAAAAAAAGGATTTTTTATAATTAAGTCATTTAAATATAGAAGTTTAAGCTTTTTTTATTTTTTATTAAATTATACAGCTAAAAAATAATATATTTTCTTTTCTTGTGGCACCTTAGGGTAGGGGGGAGAAGCAAAATAATATTGTCTTAAAAAATATTTTTATTTTTTTCATGCTTTGGAAATCTTGCAGCTCAAATTGCTTTTTGAACAATATCCTTCTTCCTGCAGAAATAAGCAATGGTACATAAATCCTCAAGTTACACAAAAAGGCAAAAAACAAAAAAATAATTTTTGATCAATTATGTCACACAAATAGAAAAATAGAAGAGAGAGAAATTATATTGTCTTAATATTTTTGTAGTGGCTCAAGGGGGGGAATTATTTAGATTTGGTAGATTAATAATCTTAATACGGGTCACAACCAAAACTGATCCTGTATAGATGGTGACCCTTTTTTTAACTTCTACACAAAATAGAAACCATCTTCGTAATCCTCACTCCGCTTTCTGTCGTGGAGAATGAATATGTGGCTAGTTTATTTTTAGTTCTGCATAAGTTGTTGAAGATTCAGTTGATGGTCCTGCCAATCGAAAGGATGTTGCATTCTGCGTCAATTAACATGCTATTTATTTGGAGAATTTAGCAAACAAACTATAACTAATTAGTATTGAAACTTTACGCGAGGTCTAATTGATAATATAGGCTTTGCATTTGGAGAATGTACATGCAAGGAGAGGTTTTAATTTCTATTTGATCACTCCATTTCTGTTCTATTTGATATGTTGGAAAAATGACCAACCATTGTATACAGAGGTTATCAGATAATGCTTTTGTGGTTACAAAGTATAGATACACACTTCTCGTGGCACATTTCCGACATTCTGAAGAGAATGACGAAAAAACAATCAAAATTTGGAGAAGAAGTGAGGGTGAACAACGATTGGTAAAAAATATTTTTCGTTTAATTATGATTCATGCTCAGAAGGATTTTTTTGCACCTCCGAGACTTTGACTTCGAACCGTCGACAGAGCCCCAAAAACAGTCAAAAAAAAAAAAATTAAGGATGGCTGTCATATACATATTTATATTTAGTTGATCCTGAGTCTGGACCCTTTTCGAATTTAGCAGCACTAACGATTTCAAGCTATTCTCACCTCAAGTTCATACAGCCTTGCGAATAGATCTGATAGATGTTTCAACCTGTTCTAGGAGATCCCAATTCCACTAACCCAGCAATTAAAATGATTCCAACAACTCCAGCCAGGGCCAGTAGTGGAATTCGTCATCATTTGAGATTTCCATTTTGAATGTCAACCGTTTTTTATGTTACATTTCTCCCACGAGCGCCGGCAACGCCCTCCGAAATAACCTAGATTGTAGTAGTATTGCTATTATTTTAACACATTCTTTGGCATAGCAAGTTTTAGAGACCGGATAAGTGGTGACTCCAAAGTTGATGTTGCAGAGCCATAATTTGTTGAGATTATTTTTTGTCGTTTAAGACCTGCAACAATGCCGTTCAAGATCGACAGTTTTATAACAACTAGCAAACAGATGCCCATTTCCTCAGGATGCACGATTCTGCCACCCAAGAAAGAAGACTTCGATTTACAGTTTTAGATAGCCGTTTTTCAAGGACTTTTGTGTTGGACAGGTGAATTTCCACCAACAAGCACAGTTTTTGATATCAGCTTGATCTCAACGCCACAAACACATTTCCTTATATTTCCATATCCTTCAAGTTATAATCTAACTAATTTTAGCTGGTATGAGATATTTTAAACTGTATGGTCTAATTTCCATGCGATTGTTCATATGACAGATTAGATTATTCTTATTACAGCCCCTGATGCCTTTTTTCTTTTTGCTTATTTAGAACTTTCATCTAAATGGAACAATATTACATGGGCCATTTGTCGTTAATTGTTGCAAAAATATATTTTGACTTTTGAAGGCGAAAAATAATTTTGCTTTTTTGCAACAATAGAAGAGATTCGAGATCTTAGTTCTACAAAGAAATAATGCAACATCTTTGGGAAAGCTAGTTATTAGTTGCTGCTGTCCGAAGATTTTCAAATTAGCCGGAAGTGTGTTTTAAACATGGAAATATGAATGATAATTCCGGGGTTTTGGTGTTTGCAACTAAAAAAAGTGCGTCCGCGATCACTTCTTGTGAAAGATTAGCTACGCCTACAATCAAATTCCTGCCAATCCGAACTACCAGGTTAGTACTGATTGCTTCGCTTGTTCGATGTTCCATGATGACAGTGACATGAAATATTTTAATTATAATTAATAATTATTTTCTAGCCAATCTAATTTCCGAATTTCTCAAAACTTGATAACATCAAAAATTTCGTGCCATTCATATTCCGACTGTACGAGTGATCTAACGTCATCTAAGGTACTTCTAAACAAATTAGTGTTGCATTTCTCCACAAGGGTTGACATGAAACGAGATAAAATCTTAGAAAATTGTCTGGAACGTCATACGGACTCTAACAAAGGAGTCATTACCATTGTCATTTGATCTGCAATTCTCTAGAATCCCAATTTCATATAACGTTGTTGCAAATTCCATGGAGGAGTTTCAAAAGTTCATGGAACCTTTGTTGCTAAACGACCGTCATGCGTCCCGGTAGAACAGAATGGTCATCATTGTTAATGTCGTTCTGGTAGTACAGAATGGACATCAATGTTAATCTCCGACACGTTCTTAAGGAGCTGAGCAGGCATTTCGTGCTTCCAAGCTTACAATACATACCCTGATAGCTAGGTTTTAGCTTTCTGATTTGACCGTGAGCCATGTAACGCGAGTGAGCCTTGCCGCAACGAACCAGATTGTTGGAATGTTCGGTTCCAGAAAGTATCAACTAAGCGTTACTTTTACTAAAGTCTTAAGATCGCCCTGCATTCTTATTAGTCAAAATACCTGATCAGTCTCTAAAAAGAAAAGCCGCTAATGATATAGGTGTATAAATTAATCATAATTAAATAGAAACCACTAGGAATATTAAACTAATCTGCAGGTTTGCTTAAATTCCTGCTACAAATTAAGCGCGTAAAAAAATATTTATTGAAGGAAAGATACGAACGACTAAAACTGAGCCAACAGAGAAACCATTACTTGACTACATTCTCCGTATATTCCGAATGATTCTAATTATTACATCATATTTCTGAAGTGGATTTATTCTCGTTTTTCAAGAAGTTTCGATTAATACCATTAGGAGCTGCTAAATGAGGGTGAGTTCAGTTTATTTGTGAACAGCTGGGAGTGTCGGAAAAGAAAAGACAATAAACTTTTCAGAAATTTAGAAAAAGCTTATTTTGCTAGGCACAGTTCTCGCAGGGTAAAAGAAGGAGTATATTTTAGGGATCCCGAGCAAACGTATTATAGGGGTCTTTGTAAACAAAAAGGCAAGATCCTTTGGTTGGGTCATTAGAAATGATTTAGGGGATCGACTCCCTTATTCCTATTTGAGCTTTCTTCTCCGCAAAATATTTTGCATGATTCATATTTTTTCTATCGAAGCTTTGGTAATATTCTCTCTCAAAAATAAATTATTTTTTAATGTGGAGGACGTTCCATGCATATGGGAAAATTAAAAATTTAAAAATTAATTAAATAAAATTTTATTCTGTCTCTGTGGGGGCTCCGTGTAACAAGCTTTCTTGGGATTATCACCAAATGGAAAAAATTAATATATTGCACAGGGTGCGTGAGATGTGACTTAGAATAGATGTACAACCACTATTAATAGTACCACATTACATCATCTTGCATTGCAGAGTCATCTCGGGTCGGTATCTTGCACTCTATTTCCAAAAAAAACCTTGTTGTTAGTTGATGCAGCCAAATTGCTTTTGGTTTCTAGGGCAATCAGCATTTCAATTCAAATATATTTACTCCCATATATTTCTCTAATAATGGTAATTACTAGCATTTGACAAATCGAAGATATAAATTAGTGCATTCATCAGTCTTAGAGAATTTTCCGTCCAGGAATGGGCAGTAATTAGAGATGGTAGAAGCAGCGTTGACTATGCAAATCTTAACTTTCCCAATTCTCATAGACTAATGGGCATATATGAATTCATCTATGAATTGGAGATCAAAAGAGAGTTCTCTACTCATTTAGTTGACCATTTTAATTGTCTGAATGCCTATCTGATCTGTCCCTTGTTAGACACATTATCTACAGAATTTTCCGAAGAGGAAGTTATTACATAAATAATTACATTCTCGAAAGAATGGAAGCTAGGCATATTTATAGTAGAAACACTTTGATTCTACGTTTGAAATCATATACAAACTAGCAAAAAATATCAATAGCGAATCAGCTGGTACATAGTCGAAATTCCAGTATTTCTGGGACAAAATAGGCCTATTTTTGCTTTTTGTCATACTTTGGATAGTATTTGTTGAATAAGAATCCATCAAGGACCACTAAACCTGTAATGATCGATGCATTGACACATACAAACACCTTATTGTCAGTATTGAGTCTATTTCTTTCCACATAGGCTAAATAACCTGCGGCAGCACCTCCAGCCACAACGACTACTTGAGCGGCAACTACGGGATTACTGAGCTCAGTTCCAACTCTAGAAACTGTAGAACAAGTGGTTGATTGTACCTTTGCTCCTGCCAGGCAAAATGCGTTAGCAACCGCACTAAATGCACCCTTGATGTTTGCTACTACCTTCTTGCAGACACTCTTTCCTTCATCTTTCAGTTCCAGGACCTTATCAACACTCTCATCTACCACTTCATTGACGTCTTTCTTGATTTCTTCAGCAGTTGGAATATGTTCGGACATTGTGTATTATAATCGAGTTTAACAGTAATAACGTAAATAAATGGGTAGTTTATCTAAGAAAAGAGATTTTGATAACGATTTTTAAGGGGGGAAAACAATCTTATTTATTTTCCCCAGAATTTGACTAAAAAAAAATAGCGTGGACTCCGCGACATTTAAATATGAAAGAAACTAATGGGTTACACACAACTGGCTGCGGAAAAATCAGCTCATTTCTATAAATGTCAGTCGATGCTTGGTTACTTCCACTTATGAGCTTAATCTTATTTCAATTATTGCAACAATGTTATACACTTTTTATAGTAAATTGTATTACATCCAATTTTCGAACAATTGATAAGATATTATTAGTAATCGTGTGAAGTGAATACAAATGGGAATAGCCGATACATGTGACCACCCCTGTTTTCACTACCCCTCTTATCTTCAAATAGCAACTCAAACTTTCTAGACGACATTGTCGTAGGATTTAATTGTGCGACAAATTCACTTAGTAGAGAAGCATCCAGGTTCACACTGGGAATAGTTAAACTTGAAAAGTGGTAATTAATAGAAGTTTAGAAGCTTACCAGAACTACAGAAACTAGAAGTTGATAAGATTTGAATTCCCCCCATCTATAAACTCGAGGGTTTTTGAGAAAGTAAATTTAATTTCGGTGTAGTCCTTTAGTAAGCATATTTCTCACGTGCCATTCGGAGAAAAAAATAGGGCTTGAGCCCTCTCAGATTTTACAGATTTTTTTTCAACCACACACGCACCAATCCATCAACCAGAATTTTCACACAAAAAAAATTCCTCTTGCCAATATCGTTTGGTTTGGTTTCGTTTCTCTTTTCACTATAACTAACTGTCGATCGAAAACCAACGCCCCGGCTTTCCACGTAACATTCCGACAATTAATTAACAAAGTATAGTAAAAATGTCTGCTGCTCCAGAAGCCCCAAAGAGAAACTTCGGTAAGAGAAGAGGTGGTCCAAGAAGAGGAAGAAGAGAAGAAGAAAAAGGTTGGACTCCAGTCACCAAGTTAGGTAGATTAGTCAAGGCTGGTAAGATCACCACCATTGAAGAAATCTACTTACACGCTTTACCAGTCAAGGAATTCCAAATCATTGATTTATTATTACCTGAATTAAAGGATGAAGTCATGAAGATCAGATCTGTTCAAAAGCAAACCAGAGCTGGTCAAAGAACCAGAATGAAGGCTGTCGTCGTCATTGGTGACTCTAACGGTCACGTTGGTTTAGGTATCAAGACCGCCAAGGAAGTCGCTTCCGCTATCAAGGCCGCCATTGTTATTGCCAAGTTATCTATTATTCCAATCAGAAGAGGTTACTGGGGTTCTAACTTAGGTGCTCCTCACTCTTTACCAACCAAGGTTACTGGTAAGTGTGGTTCCGTTGCTGTTAGATTAATTCCAGCTCCAAGAGGTAAGGGTATTGTTGCTTCCCCAGCCGTCAAGAAATTGATGCAATTAGCTGGTGTTGAAGATGTCTATACTTCTTCTTCTGGTTCTACCAGAACCACCGAAAACACCTTAAAGGCTGCTTTCGTTGCTATTGGTAACACTTACGGTTTCTTAACTCCAAACTTATGGGCTGAAACTCCATTAGCTCCTTCTCCATTAGAAGTTTACTCTGAAGAAACTGTTGCTGGTAAGAAGAGATTCTAAATGTTACATCTAAATAATTAGTTTTAGTTTAGTTTGTTTATTAATCTTTTAATGTACAGTATTTACCTTTAGGATAATAGTAAATTATAGTAATGGCTTGACTGCTTGCGTATGTCGGCAAAAGTAAAATCACTTTCTCTTTAATTTCTTTAAAACTTTTATCTTTCCATTTATTATAAATTGTTTTTATACAAATTTATACATGAATATATAAAATTACAGATCTTGAACCGCTTGTTCCATTATTTGATCTTCTGGAACTGCAAACGAACGACTTGACGTGTTAGGTTGATTATCCTTTGACCAAGTATGGGAAGACACAGCTCTTCCTTCAGGGTGTTGGAACATACAATACCTATTGTTACATTTAACACCAAAGTGACAAGGTTCTTTCATTGGATGCGCAAACGTACAATCGAGTCTTCTACACGCTTCCCCGGCACGACATGGCATACCAGATGTAGCATGTCTCCTTGGACATTTCGTATTGGTACATTGAGCACCGAATTTGCATTGCTCTAAAGCAATTTCCGTAGCAGAAGGAACAGGAGCAGCACTAGCAGTTGGCGGTGGTGGATGCGATTTTGTACAGTTGGCATTTTGACATCCCTTTCCATCCGCACACCATTCCAAGGTTTCAATGATTGCTGTTGCATTGGCAGGAGTTGGATGGGCAAATGGACAAGTGGCTTTAGTACACTTAGCACCAAATTTACATGATCCTTGTTGTACCAATATTCTATTAATCCTCTTCTCTTCAAATTCCTTTTTACTCTCTTGTAATTTAGTAATTAACTCTTGATCTTGATCGGGGTGTAAATAGTTACAAGTCCCTGGAGGATTTGGACAATTTGGATAAGCGAAACAATTCTTTGTTGGATGAGCCTTTTCACATTCTTTATTTTTACAGTATGGAAAATCTGGACATCTTCCTTTTGGTGCTTGTGGAGTAAAGGTATTCATCACTCTAACACCTGCCCCACCTGGGGTTTCAAGCGCCCTTTCTATTCTTCTAGTATCTTGAAGGTTCTTCTTAAACCCCATTCTGTCTGGCCTTGCATGCACAGGCTTGGAGACACCTGCTCTACCACCTCGAGTCCCACCAAATCGTTGATTTCTTAATTCACGTCTTTCTTCTTCAGATAGGTAAGCCGCTGGTGCCCGAGGAAGGACCGGTAACTGTGCTTGCATTTGAACTTCGACAGTTGTTTCTTGAGATTTCATTTCTACTTCCACTCCTTGTTGTTGTCCAATTTGTTGTTGTTGTGGTGGTGGTTGTTCTTGTTGTTGTGGTTGTTCTTGTTGCTGTGGTTGTTCTTGTTGAATAACTTGTCTTTCGGGAAGAGGTTCGCCGTGGATTTCATTCTGTAATTTAGAAATTTCGACAAGTACATCATTTATAAATGCTTGATCCATTGGAATGTCTCCAATCTCCAGTATTTCTGCTATGATTTCCTCATGATTCTTGTTAGCTGCTATCAAGTACATCAAATAATCCGCAATGTCCATTGCATCATCGTTAGGTTTATTGTATCGCCTCTCAATTTCGGGAACTAGAAGTTCCTTTAACTTTAAACCGACTTCACTTTCTGGAATGAATTGCATGTTGGCTATTATTTGATAAGATGTATTATAAAACTAATGAATCAAAGTAATGGCAAACTTTTCTTTATTAATCATTAAATCTCTTTGAAGTGCACTTTTTTTTCTAGTCTTCGGTTTTTTTTTTAAATGAAAAAGCAACGCGACGCTGGCCCAATTAGGAAAATGAATCACGTGATTTGGATTGACTGCAAAATTTCGTGACTACAGGGTTCTACTGTACATCGTACTAAAATGGTCCCAACAACAACATTAAGATGAACTCTTTAAACTATAAACCATTTATCTTTAACTCTATATTAACTTTTCTAAACTAATTGAAACTTATCTTCCGATATCTCTCCTAACAACTCTTTGATCTGGTTTTGTATGTTTTCTAATCTTTCAGAAACTGCAGATGCAACTAAGATATACGAGTACAACAAAACAAAATCAGCATTCTTTAGAGATATTCCGTTCTGACCTTGCAACCCTCTGATCTCATGAAGCTTGTATAATAATCTATCCTTCGCATGTTCTATTGACGCTGGTTTGCTTGGCAATGGAAACCCTAATCTCATTGTACTTGCAAGCATATAGAAAACCAAAAAGATTCTATGTTCCACTTCGTCTCGTTCTGCTGCGATATATTTCAAAACATACTCTTCATTCAGCGATAGTGTGGTGTCCACTTTGATTAACAAGTCCAAGTTTTGAAATGCATCAAGGATTGAAGATGTTTCTCGGATTAATTTGGTATATGCACTCACTGGGAATGGTCCTTTTAATCTAACTTCCAAGGGTGCATGTTTTAAGAGTGTCTCACACTCGGCCAATAGCTTATTCGTACCTTCCTCTGCTTTGAATCCAACAAGATGCATAGTTTCCGGGTCATATTCCAATGGATCACTATTCCAAATAACACCTAATCTTAACCATAAAATAGGTAATCCTCTCTTAAGTCTCGCTCTGGCACTTGTTGGTAAGAAGAACATTGCCATTGATAAAGCCCATACAATTCCAACAGAAACAGCTACGAAACGATGGAAGGCTATTTCTGAAATTAAAGGATTCTCTCCACCTTCCTTGTCATCCTCTGAATCTTTTTGAAGCATACTATAGGAATATAATGCAGTTAAATTATACGCCAACAAGATAAATCTTCCAAATGATTGGTTTTGTTTCCAGTAAAGGATAATGTAAAATGATGGTATTGAGATGAGGAAACCAGTAAAAGATAGAGCAAAAACATTCGCATCAGTAATCATCCAGATGACGTACGCAGTATAACATCCAAGTAACGTTCCGATGATTCTCCATTTAACCGTCAGAGAAGTACCTCCCACAGACCTATTCATCATAATACAATAAACCGTTAAGGCCCATTCACCTCTCCAAGTAATAAAGATTTCCTTTGTGTCTCCCAAATATGCAAAAACAGCCAAGAATGCAGCTCCCAACCCTACTCTGATACCAAATTGAACATCAGTTCTCTTTAATACCTTAGACATACGCCATAATCCGTACTCCCATCTACCCGAATACTCTTTCTTAAGTCCGCTTAACCCATACTGTTCTTTTAAATCATCCAAGGCTGCATGAAGACTGTTGGCTTGTGCTAACATTTCATCAGTAGTTGTACCTTTTGGTCCTCTCCACCTGAAACTCAACCAGGGCCATTGACGAGGTTTTGCGCGTGCCTCTTCATACTGTTCTGATAACTTTATGAATTCCAATAATTTCAAAGCGAAATTACAAAGCAAGGTTGAAAAATTCCCACAGCATGCACCTACTTCTTCTTGATCGGCTGTGGAAAGGAAATCGGCATCTCGCTTGAAGATAGGTTGCTCGTATAATTTTTCTAAAGATTGAGCTTGCTTTTCCTCATATAATTTAATAGCACTATCTAATGAATGTTGTAATGTTGTTGTTTTGGCGAATTGATTCGGAAACTCTTCGGAATATTTTTCAAACGGAACTTGGGATAATACACCTTTTATCGTAAACACTAGAGATCTGATTGACGGTGTTAAATAGTAAACAAACAAATCAAACAACTGCAACGAACTTAGTGCATCGTTTTCTGGGGCAGTAGGGGCATTGGGATTTTCCATATTTATTACCGATTCAGGGATATCAAAACTTGCACCGGCCGAACTTTGGAAGCTCATATTCGACAGTCTTTCAATCTCATGACTGTGGAAATCATTTAATAACGTCCATTGCATCTTCACAGCTGCAGTCAACGCTTGTAAGTGTCTAGCTAAGGAAATAGTGGAATTGACTAATTCACTAAAAATTTTCCATTCATCTTCTCTTCCTTTTAATCGCAATTCGTATTTAGCTTCTTCGAGACTCTTTAACAACGAACTGATATTACTCTTCAATTTGTCTATCATTTCATTATCTTTTGTGGTAAATTGTTCCCCAGCTATGAATCTTCTTGTCAAAATTGATAGTACTGACGAGAAGAGATTGTATGAATCATTTAACACCCCTTGTAATTGGTTTACCGCACTAACCGGCCATAGTAGATAACAACACCCCACTGAAATAAGACAACCAACCAATACAACTTTAAATGTCGATTCGATTCTCTCAAGGGGCACCGCGGCAGAATTCAAACTTCCTTCCTTTATTATACATAAAACAATTGTAATACTTGCAAGCGAACATGCAGTGTTGAATGTTTCCTTATTAACCTTTTGTTTCATAAAAGCCACAATACCCAAGGCAACCGAACTAAACACCAAATCTATAAGATGACTAATCTCATCTGCTCCTTTCTTATATGTTATAGCTGAAATCCACCTGCATGCCAATGAAACAGCAAATGAAAATGTAACCGATATGATCACAAAGATCAACGTCTGATGCATGGAACCTTTAGTTCTTGTGGGATGGAAATATATTGCAACAGTGGCAATGATATGCTTTGAATCGGTATTGCCAAAAAAGTGATCAAATGGAGCCCAATATACCCCAAGGGTGGAAATCAAGTAAGCTATACAACATTTCATCACCTCTCGGAAAGTCTTGTCATAGTATAGCATTTGTAGTGGTTGTAATATTAAGCAATCAAATCGAGAAGAAGGATGATATAAAGGGCTGGGGCGATCTCCTCCTACCAATGATTCGCTTTCATTTAGGTGTGTTGCTGATGATGAGAATGTGATCTGCCGATGGACCCGTTCCCCCGTGGTTGCTAATATGACTGAACTTTCTCTTTGGATGAATCTACGGGGGTGTGAATCATCAGGACGCCATTGGAATGGATCATAGCTTCCAGTTGTACCGGTTAGAGATGTATCAGTGGTTTCGCTATCCAGTATGTCACTGCTTTCATCTATATTTGTTGATGGATGCTTCCTAGTAGACATATGGGCTTTAGTCATATGTTACTTGGTGATCAAGAATTTGACGTAGACTCATGCAATTTTTTTTTGTGTCCGGAGTTGACACTTAGAGATTCCCGAAAGTTTCCTATTTAGCACTGCCACATCGCCACAGGAAGGTGGTAAGTATATACACAATTTATATTAAACTCATTTCTATTGACAAGAGGATCACTATAATCTACACACTACCTAATCTTCATACCCAACAATTTCTCTAAACAAATCCTCACAAGGAACCGTGGCATTCAATCTAGCACAAAGTAAAAACACTCCACTCAATTTTCTATGTAAAGAATAAGTTTCTTCTGGAGGAGGTGTAAGTCTTTCATTTAACATTAATCCAATATTTCCCTTTACTCTATCAGTAATGGTTTGATCCTTGAAACTGAATGGCTTGCCTTTATTATCCACTGGGGAAAATGCTTCACCTAAGACCATAACTGAATCAACGTGTGCTTGAGTCATTTGTGGAGATTCTAATCCGGTCAAATAACCTAAATCACGAGAAATCTCTTCAACCTTCTTACGATCTTTCTTCACCGCTGCTCTCAACACTCTAACATATCTATCAATAAACTCATCAGAGAAATCACGAGCAGCACCAAAATCTAATAATTCAATCTTTTTGGTTTTTTCATTATATAAGAAATTAGCCCAATTTGGATCAGTTTGCATGAATTTAAACTTTTTGATTTCCAATAAACATAATCTCATAATTTGAGTAGCTATCCAGTCCTTGGTTTCTTGGTCCCAATTTCCTTTAACAATTTCGGTCCCTCTCATTCTTTCCATAGTAAGGACATGTTCCCCACATAAGTTGTGGAACACTCTAGGAACTTCAAATACATCATCATCTTTCAAAACTTCTCTAAATCTAATTAAATAATGAGCTTCTCTGATATAATCACATTCCCATTTCAATTCAGTTCTAGCATTAGCAATAGTTTTATCTAAAAACAATCCGGCTGGTAAAAGCGAAGAAGCAGTTAAAAGCATCATCAAATTATTTAAATCAGAATCAATCGAATCAACCACTCCAGGATATTGAACTTTAACAACCACAGGAGTCAAATCTTCAGTAACAGCAGTATGTACTTGACCAATAGAAGCCGCAGCCATTGGAACATCTTCAAAAGAGGCGAAGAAACGCTTACGCCAATTCACACCTAAATCCGCAACCATTACACGTTCAAGTTGACTCATTGGCATATAATGGGCTGAATTCTGTACTCTCATTAAAATTTGTTGAATCTCTTTTGGTAAAACAGCGGAATCTTGAAATGAAAGCATTTGTCCGACTTTCAAGGCAGCACCTCTCATCTTTGAGAACTTTTTGGCCATTCTTTCTATATTCTGAGGTGATAATATAAGAGATTTCATACTAAGATCTTGTGATTTCTTCCCGGAAGCATAATGTTTCAATCCTTGTTGTGCAGCACCCAATCCAATTCCAGCTGCTAATGATCCATAATGGAAAATACGGGATAATCGGGAACTTGGAACTTCACTTTGATGCATTTCAAATTCCGGTTTTGGTTTAAGTCCAATGATCTCTTTTTGTTCTTCTAGTTCATCGGATTCTTTGGTTTGAGTAGTTGGAAAAGATTTTGTGGAGTATGCACGTTTCTGGATTCCTTCTTGGAATGGATTCTCTTTCGAATTTAAATTAGATGGGAATGGTGGGACAACTGGAGGAACTCTTCCATTTCTTGCATTTTCTGCTGTGGATTGAAGCTCATCCCACATGGGCTTGTGTGAATCTAAATCACGGATTGGTTTGGTGAATATACTTCGTTCATAGAATTCACATAGATCTTTTTCAACTAGTCTTATAGATCCACCCAAGACTTTGGAAAATGAATTAGCAACTGCTACTAATTCATATACCTTTTTACTTGTAGACATGTGTTGATGATCCCTTTGTGGTATTGGAGTTGAAGAATCTTGGAAGAATTCTGATCATGGCGAATGAAATTTTCTTCTGCGAGAAAGATCTCATTTTTCTGTGAACAGATTGAATCTAAATACCGGAGGAATGCAAAGTATGCCCCAATGAAATCCTTTTTGAAGCGGATGTGGTTTCATTTCATGAGCATATCGTTTCTTCCTACCATTATCTCGATCCACTTTTATTCATTTCGGTCTACGAAGGGAATGTGATGAATTCTTCTATCGAATTTGAGCAGCCGTTTCTTGTGCGGCGAGATCTGACCAGTTGAAATCGGAAGCCACTCTTTACACTTCAATGGTTAAAACCTAAATTATGTAGCTTGACCAACAGTCCAATTACGTACCTGGAGTTCGGTCACTCGAGGAAGTGATGCTGATAATAAGCATTTATATAATATAATAAGTCACTGTTGTCTCAAGATCCCCTCAAATGAACAAAGATTTGACAGTCGTATAATTTTTTTTCGCTTAAACGACTTAGACGGGCATGACAATACTTGACATCGAAAGAAGGCAATGCTTTATAAAAGAGTGACTTTTCGTTCTGTAATTGATATAACACAACATGACCTGTGAACCATTCAAGGGTTAGGTGTGTGTGAGTCAAAGTGTATGAACTTGGATTATAACACTGCCTTAAGTCCAGAGTCCGTGATCAATATTTGTCACACAAAGAACTTCAAAAAAGAGGCTGCTCTAATCAGCAAAGACAATAGAGAGGGTCTTAGCAAAATTTCTTACCAGTCTGCCTTGGTATGAGAGACAACTGGATAGTACAACTCTCTTTTATTATATTGAGTTTCGCTTAATTCGGTACCATGTCCGACGACTTAAAATAAATTTGATGCCAATAGAATGTTTCCGGGCAGTCTACCAAATTCTATTTAAAGAAATGTGAGATTACAATTTAAAGTGTGTTAAAAAATAAATTAAATTTGAATTCCCCTAGAAGTTAAAAATAAAATTTAAAAATAAAAACAAAAACAACAAAAAAATATTTCCGACTTACATTTAATAAATTAAAGATTCAATTCCCTCAGGTTTTTTTTTGGTACCGTTTTCAATCAAGAGATTGCTGTTCTTTTTTTGTCATACCAAAACTAGCTTATACCTTCACTTGATCCTGTTTTAATAATATATACAATCCGTTGGTAGACAATTGCATTTAGTAAGTTGATCCAAGAAAGAAAATGACAACAGCAACGCAACAGAAAAGACGTTCATTCTTGGGTAAATCCCCTCGCCAACCAATTGTCGAGGAACCGATTAATCCTTATCAAGTCGTAAACCAACAATATCAACGCAATGATATGTTCCAACTGTATAATGAACCTAAAGTTATCATAGATGATGATCCGATAATTCCTCAATATAAAGTCCAATCAAAATTCGATACAAATACCAATTATAATATGAAGATTGTCGTAGTCGGGGATGGTGGCTGTGGTAAGACGTGTTTATTGGTAAGTTATGCCCAAAACAAATTCCCCGAGGTTTATGTTCCTACCGTGTTTGAAAATTATGTAACTACGGTTCAAGCACCTAATGGGAAAACAATTGAGTTGGCATTATGGGATACTGCCGGACAAGAAGAATATGATAGATTACGACCTTTGAGTTATCCCGATGTTGATATTTTATTGATTTGTTTTGCATTGGATAATATTGTTAGTTTACATAATGTTAAGGAAACTTGGTTTCCTGAAGTTAATCATTTCTGTCCTGGTATTCCAACCGTGTTGGTGGGTACTAAGAGTGATTTACCTAGTACAATTGACCCAGATATTCCGATCCAAGTAGCGGCCGAGATCAATGCGGTGGGATATATCCAATGTTCAGCTAAAACCATGTTTAACATTTCAACCGTATTCAATTTTGCGTTAAATTATTTCCAAAAGCAAATGGAAGTTCAAGAACAATATGAAAGGACGAAATCAAATAGATTATCGAAAGTTTTAGGTGGTGGAGGTGGAAGTATGGGTGGAAGTCATTCAAGACATCATTCAACTACATCAATTAATAGAAGAGGACATCTCAAAAATACTTCTTATGATTCAACCGTATTATTAGATCAACCATTGACAGAAGATTCATACACTAAGAATCCATATGGAGATTTTGGACGTCAACAAAATGGTAATGTTGCCCCGATATCACCTTACAATGATGATGAATTTGCATTTACGAAGAAAAGAAAGAAGAAGAGAAAGTGTACCATTTTGTAGACAGGGCAGCCACCGACAATGACTAATGATGAAATTATAACCCATGATGTATCATATAGACTTCCTTCTCTTTTTTTTACTTTTGGAACATTTTTAGATTTTTGTAATTGCATAATACAGTAATAATTAATAATTTGACACAAAGTAAACTATTTTTTCGGTCTGCTGGATAAATCTCGGTTGGAGAAAAATCTGAAATTTCAATTCACCTTACAGAGACCGAGAAAATACATAACCAACCCTATTCGAATATAATCTACATATTGAATATATCTATTGATATTCCAAAGCGACGATGGAGGAACTGGCGAAGTCAGAAACATTAACTAATAGAACCACTAAAAAACTGCTTCCTCTTAAGGAGGTTTCTCCCATGGTGGATCATAGCGGTGATGCCGGAAACCAATCAAGTGATCATTATAAAGCAAGATTATCTCCATTTAGATACAAGCTAAGATCAGCATTGATACCTCTAATCAGAGCTGAGAATGAATATTTACATTCGATGCAAACTAATTTAAGACATCCATGGCTTGATTTCTATTTTGCTTGGACAGCTAATTTAGCAAGTCATACTTTTTATGTATTGATGCTACCAACTCCGATATGGTTTGGGGCCGGTGAATTATCTCGAGATTTGGTTTATGTTTTAGGATTAGGGATATATTTTACTGGATTTTTGAAAGATTTCTTTTGTTTACCGAGACCAAGATCACCTCCAATTCATAGAATAACAATGTCTTCATATACAACCCAAGAATATGGATTCCCATCATCACATCTGGCTAATGCCACTGCTGTGACATTGGTATTGGCTTCAAGACTTTTCAATCTAGATATTTCAAGAACTCAATTTATCATACTTTTGAGTTGGTTGATTATTTATTATGTGTCATTAATATTTGGTAGATTATATTGTGGAATGCATGGATTTCTTGATCTCTTTGTTGGATCATCAGTTGGGGCAGGGGTGTTTTTATTTAGATTCTTTTGGGGGAAACAATGGGATCTGTTATTATTTGATAATGGATTTGGAATCATCCCAAGTGCAATTTTCATTGTGGCGATGTTTTTAGGATTGATTCATATTCATTCAGAACCAGTTGAAGATTGTCCTTGTTTTGATGATTCCGTTGCATTTATTGGTGTATTGATTGGTTTAGATATATCTCATTTAATAGCATATCATACCCAATATTTCATGCCTACTGAAGCACATACTGACCCTTTCTTACTTCCATTTGATGTTAATCAAGGAATGATGAAAAATATAGGACGTTTCATATTGGGGGTCACATTAGTGGTTATATGGAAAGCCATATCTAAACCAATCATCTTTACTATTTTACCACCAATTTATAAAATAATTGGAGTTTATTTGCCAAGAAGGAATTTTATCAGTACTGCTCATGCTAAATCTTCAGTACGTCATATTCGTTCTGCATCTATATCAAATGATCATTCAAGTATTGGTAACTTCAATAACTTTATTAAGGGAGTCACTGATCATACTAAGATAGATGAGATTGGTCCTACTACCGATATTGATTATATAGAAATGTTGGATTATAAAAAGAAAACTAATCGTCCAGCATCAGAAGTACAAAACATTGAAGAGAAACTTCTAGCTAAAAGTGGTGTATTCAAACCTCGTTATGATGTTGAAATTATTGGTAGAATAATTGTTTATGCTGGAGTTAGTACCACTGCCGTATGGGGACTTACATGTGCAATTTCTTATGTTAATGTATAGATAGTGTATAAGAATAATAATTTAATTCGTGACGTCAATACAATTGCTTACATTGGAACATGGCCTATTAATTGACAATCTTTGTCTACCTGGTCATATATCCCAGAGAACACACACCACGGTTGGTAATTGGTTGCAAAACTTTTGAAGGTGGAAAACTAAGCGAAAAAAAATGAATGGAGTTTTTCCCCAGTCTAATAAAAATTAAAATTAAAATTGTAAATACAAACCTTAATAAGTAGAAAAAAACCAAACCATTCGTTCCGAATTTTATTAAGGTTGATTTTTTTAAACTTCGTAATTAACTGTCTTTACACATCCCCCCCTTCTCCTGTTTTCAGCTGACTGTCTATTGTTTACTACGAATATCATTTACATAATCAGACTAACATCAACTAAGTTTACTTCCAAATCAAATAAGAATAAAACGTGATTCTCTGTCTCGTTTGATTTTTAAATTCTTTTTTTCTGTTGTTGTTTGTCAAAATTTATTTCCCAACAATCCTATTTTACGTCAAAATAAAAAACAACAAAAACGGAGTTCATTACGTCAATACAATTAACAATCTATTCCCAATCAAAGTCTGCTTACGTTCTTTTAGAGAAAGTACATTGAATTATTACAACTCCGAGGTAAGAATTCTTGCCCCCGCCTCCCTATTTGATATGAATAAAGAAGAGTCGTTCAATTCTTTTACAAAAGTTTCGTCCCACATTTTAATTTAATCATTATTGTTATACAAGAAAAAAAGAGAGTCAACTTTAAGGAGTAAACTAGAGATCACATCAACTAACTGTCTTGTTTCTGAAAGTCGCTTTTCATTATAAGTTCTGCTTCCATTCCGGCATTTTAGTCATTCCCCCCCCTGTTTTATTATTAGCCTGTTTTTGTTTATATAAATTTAATCTTTACTTCCATCATGAATGACACATATAGCAATGCCCAAACAAACCAGGCCATATATTATAATCCTCCTACAACGACCACATCACGAACGAACCAATCTAACATAGCTAATGTCAACACTACAAATACTCCGGGTAATCAAGGTGCATTATCAAATCATGCCATTAGTGATATATATGCTCAAATAAATCTGCTACATAACCAATTTAATAATTATCAAGGCAATACCAATGAAAAGATAAATCAACTTAATATGAAGTTGAATTATATTAACGAATCAATTGAAACTTTAAAACGAAATTTTAATGATTTGTCACAACAAGTTCAATTTGTTTTACTGAGTGGAACACCCCAAACAAATACATATGGGAATTATAATAGTCAATTCAAAACTATTGAACTATTTACAAAGAGTCTAAATAAGTTAGGAAAAGATCTTGAAGAATTTTCAACAGCAGCCAATACATTACAACAACCCCAACTACAATCACAACATCATTTAAGTCTCCCTCAACAAAATATCAGAACCTCATCAACTAATACAAATGGATCAGGTAATGCTACACATGTTACTACAGGTGGCACCAGTGCTACGACTCAATTTGAAGACGAAGTAGACGAATTGAACCGTTCACAACTTTCAAAGGCACTTTCACTTCGATCACCAGCGCCCAATAATAATTCGACCCCGACATCGCCATTTATACCGAATAAGTTTAATTTTGATTTGAATTCATTTTCGTCTACACGAAATCCTGTAAATGGAGGGATTCTGCATCAGCAACCACAACAACAACCACAACATACTGGTACTCTTCAGCCAGGATTCCATGATCCTAAAGACCAGAACTTAAAGAAACGAAGGAAGAGGTTGAAGGATTCTTCCCCTCAACTCCAACATCAACAGCACCAACAGCAACAACAACAGCAACAACAACAACGTCACCATCAGCACCAACAACAACAACAGCGTCAACAACAGCAACAGCAACAACAGCAACAAGTCCAGTCACGTCAAGCACAAGCGCAAGCACTAGTTAGTGGAAGTCAAAATAATTCCCTTAACAACCCTTATATCCTTCCATTACCTAACTTGTTAAGTGAAGATCCCACCGCTACCAACAGCAAATCAAGCTCCGTTTCAGCTGCCCAATTCATCTCCAGTATGCCGCGCAGTAACGATCCTAACGCATTAATGACCTCAGCATTGAGACAACTGTCAAACCAAACGCGATCCTCATTTTTCGGAGATGATGACATTAGTCATAGTATAGATGCATTATCTGCTGGAACGGGCGCACCACCAACCAGCAATACATCGACTACAAATGCCAATGTTACTTCAAATAACACGGCTGCTTCGAATATGTCAGGTGCATCGGGTACGGATGGTGTTGAGCTGCCAGCTACTAGTACATCCAATGATGATAAACCTCCATCGAAAAGAAGTAAACATGATGGGTCAGAATCTCCTTCAAAGGGAAGATTATCACTTGATTCTTCAGACGTTCCCAAATTTAAAGTTGAAAGAAGTCTTAAAACAATTAGTGATATTTGGAAAGAATATGAATATGGATTGAAGGATAAACCTCCTTTGAAATTATTAGAAATCAAATATGGAACCAAATGGAGAAATGACACTGAATCAAGAACATTCTTGAGACGCAAGAAGATTTATGAAGCGATTGAAAATGGCAAGAATCAAGGATATACTGATGAACAAGTTATTCGAGAATTAGAAGAATATAGAAGCTATGAACATAAGGGTGCTATCAAGAAGAGACCATTACTGTGGTTAAATGCTAATATGCCAGTCAAGTTTGAAACTTAGAGTGTTGTTGTTGAGTGTTTTTGCAACCAATTAGAATTGAAGATTTTTGGCTTACTATGGTATCACGTGATTTTGATGATAAACGAAAAAAAAATTCAAGACTAAAAAAATATTGTTTACGAGATGAGCTTGTATGCTCATTCATTTTTTTGGTTGATTTTGTATAATTATTAATTCTGGCTATTAAAGAAAGAAAATCCTTCCCTTCATTTTATGATATTTATCAAACCTCAATAGCTTATTTATATAAAGAGGATAAATAAATCCAGAAGAGGAAAGGGAAATATATGAGATAGGATTTTGTTTTATTTTGTAATTTTAGTGTAACTTTAAATTTATATAATAATAATACTGTATTAAATATGACTGAAGTAGTAGCAGTTGAAGATAAGAAACGTCCAGGATCACCAACTAGAGTCCCACATCAACCAAAGAAGAAGATACATAGACGTAAATATAAAGCAAAAGAAGTCGATCCAACTGCCCCACTAGGAGTATTACAATATGAAATTAAGGAAATCTTACACGAACATAATTTATCAGAAGATGATATTTCCAATGATATGAAATATGTTTTGAATGATCCTGAAGCCGAAGCTCAATATCATCGAATTGTTGAAAATGTTAAAGTTATTTCATTACTTTCAAATGGTGATGGGATTGGACTTATACCTCATCCCAATCCCTTGAAAAAGTTCCAAGTTGTAATCATCCCATTTGGTATACCTGAAGACATAGGTACTATTAAAGTATTCAAGACCCATCCATTATATACTGAATCTGATTTATTATCAATCACAGCCGCATCACCAACCAGAAATGATTCATTAATAAACTGTAGATATTTTGGAAAATGTTCAGGATGTCAATATCAAAATATCGAATATGATACTCAATTAGAACTTAAAAAACAAACAATCATTAATGCATATAAACACTTTGCACCCAAATTATTATCAACAAAACAACTTCCGGCAATTTTGGAAACTCAACCATCTCCATTAAAATATTCTTATAGAACTAAATTAACTCCACATTTCAATGTTCCTTGGAGTAAGAAAGGAGAATTGGAATATAGACCAAATATAGGATTTGGTGCTAAGGGGAGACCTACTTGGAGAAAGGATGGGGATTTTGGTCCCGATGGATCAATTATGGATATTGAAGAATGTCCAATTGGGACTCGTATTATTAATCAAGGGATGAAAAATGAAAGAAAAAGATTTGAGCAAGAATTTAAGAAATATAAAAAAGGTGCAACTGTTTTATTGCGAGAGGATACCAAGGTTGGCAAACAGGGGGAGGAAGTCGAGATTGGAGAAGGATCAACTGATGAGAATGGAGTTGTATCTAAAATCGAAGTTGATGTTGAAGGGAGTGGGGAGAAATTGGTTAAGACATGTGTTACAAACACTAGACAGATTGTTCAAGAATATATCAACGGATATAAATTTGAATTTTCAGCGGGGGAATTCTTTCAAAATAATAATTCAATCTTACCTATTGTGACAAATTACGTTAAATCCAATTTATCGATTCCAAATTCCAAGCCAGATGAACCAAATTATTTAGTTGATGCATACTGTGGATCAGGATTATTTTCAATCACATGCTCAAGTAATGTTAGTAAAGTTATCGGGGTTGAAGTGTCGGCAGATTCAGTCAAATTTGCTGAACGTAATGCAAAATTAAACAATATCGAAAATGCCAAATTTATAGTCGGGAAAGCAGAAGAGATTTTTGCAAGTATAGATACACCATCCGATAGAACTTCGGTGATTTTGGATCCTCCCAGAAAAGGGTGTGATGAAGTTTTCTTGAATCAATTATCAACTTATCATCCAGCAAAAATCGTATATATTAGTTGTAATGTTCATTCTCAAGCTAGAGATGTCGAATGGTTTATTAATAATACCGAACATGGTAAAGATTACGTTGTTGAAAGCGTTAAAGGTTTTGACTTCTTCCCACAAACTCATCATGTTGAAAGTGTTGCCGTCTTGACATTAAAACAATAAGTAGTACTGTTCTTTTATAGAAAAAACATTATAGGTTAAGGTTTATATAGAAACTACTCAATCAATATAGCATTATAAAATATTATAAAATAAACAACTGATTTCATTATGTAAACAATAAAATATTTGAAATCTTACCTCTTCATACATTATGTATGTCATCCCCTGACATAGTCGTCAGACATTATAAGATCGTACTGCCAAAACCTCAACCCCTTCACAACTTATTTTTTTAGGTAGCGTAGTGTAAATAGTACTGAATATATTTCCACTTCGTTAAATTATGGTATAAGTTCCATATGTCCTAGGACGTTCAGAATGTTTGGGGTAGGTAAATCCTCGTGACACTCTTCACACTGTTTGCAATTGTCTTTGGACTTGTTGGCTGCAAAAAAAAAACAGTCTTCCATTAGGGCTGTAACCCTAATGTGAATTTTCGTGTCTATACCAAAACCATTTCCATGGTTTTCGCACTAAGAGCGAGCGAACACACAGTGTATTTCAATTTTTCTACTGTACATTTGATTTTGTATGGCCCTGCACATAATCAGCACATCAAAATTCATCTTCTGCGAGTTTGGTATAGGTGAAAATTTTAAAGAAAAAAAATTGTTGTTCTCTAAGTAGTTGTTACTTTCAACATATCAATAATAAACTAGACAAGATGGAAAACGATAAAGGTCAATTAGTATGTAACCCATCACCGTCCATGTGTTGAGTATAGTTGATTTGAGAGGAGATTATTGCCTCTCTTGCACCGGAGGTTTGTTCATAATTCAAATGTCAACCACTGCAATTACGACCAGTATAGAATGAGATAGTTACATGAGAAGAGCCTGAAATATAAGACGATATAAAGAGGGATCAATGATTTGTACATTATGTAGTGGAATAATATAAAAGAACCAACACTGTCACTAGGTTTTGAGATTATCAGAGATATTCAGAAAGATTTTGTTATTAGTAGTGAACCACAAGGCAAAAGATAACTATTGTGTTGACCTTAGCTGGGCATTACATGTGTCCTTTGCATTTAATTCCAGGAGTCACGAATAAAGGCTCTTTGTCAGATTTATAGTCCCAGATATTTTTGAAAAGTAAACAATCATGATTGACCAAGCAAATATGACAAACTCAGGTATTATGAGGGCATCTATCCTCCTTCAAACAACTAGTATTGACTACTATATCCAACGACATAATTACTAACAATTTATAACTAGGTTGAATTATACGTCCCAAGAAAGTGTTCTGCCACCAACAGAATCATCAAGGCCAAGGATCACGCTTCCGTTCAAATCAACGTTGCCAAGGTTGATGAAGAAGGTAGAGCTATTGCCGGTGACAATGTTACCTACGCTTTATGTGGTTACATCAGAGGTAGAGGTGAAGCTGACGATTCTTTAAACAGATTAGCTCAACAAGATGGTTTATTAAAGAACGTCTGGTCTTATTCTCGTTAAGCTAAAGAAACATGGTTTAAAAGGGTGATATAAAAATTTTAATAATATATTTCTTTTTCATGTTTGTGTATATTTAATGTCATATAAGAAAAAATAATTTTGATAATTGATAGAAGGAATTTAATTTGTAGAGAATCAAAGGACAATAAGGAAGTGTTTCGGGAGAATGATAAGAGAATATTTGAAAGCGATATGTGAAATCTTTTTATTGAAATTGTTCAATAGAGGATGATCTATTTGACATGACCGGGGTTGCCAGCGTTTGGGCCCCCCAAACGACGTAAAAGTAACCAGTAAACCTCTACTGAGTAAATATATTATGTTTGAGCTGTTTGTATGTAAACTACCGTGTGGTTGTGCAAAGCAACTCGATGTCTGTGGGTCTAATCGCTAAATTCGTCTCGATGTTCGGAAAGGCCAGTACATGTTCCACATGTTTTGTGTATATACACAGAATTATGAGCTAACTGTTGGACTCATCAAATTTCAACCTTTTAGTTAGTAGTTCTAGGGACGCTCATTGGGTCCTTTCCTACACATTACCAGTGATTTGTTGAATCATCAACATATCTTCAGAGAGTGGGCACAACATTCATTCCCATTCAATTGGCCAGGAAGTTGAGTATCTGACCCGAGAACCAATTACCCATTACTGACCGCATATTGCTTGCAATTGAAAGATCATTAAGCATTTTTGGGGCTCCCATTAGGTTCTTCTTTAATTGTATCAGATATTTAACTGTCACCTTGTATTTGGAACTCTTCAAGACGGAAAAACCCTCGAATTGGTTGCGCCATATAAGTAACCAAGTTCCGTTCTGGATCATGGCTTCGTCTGTGTCCTTCTCTACAAAAGAAGAATGCTTGCAAGATAATCCTTCTTATCTTTCTCTATCTTCGCCAAAGTATTTTTTTCTTTTCTTGGATGCCAAGACAGGGTACGAGCAGCATCACATTATGCAGAGAAGTTATTAATTGGTAATCTTCCTAAACCTCAGCCAGTGGTGTATGCTTTATGTGATATGTTCCTCTCGGGAGCTTGTTTATCCAGTTTATTTTAGTTTCCTTACCATTGACGTATAAACTACCTCTATTCGGGTTGGTTGGAAAATCCATACTTTGTTATTATGATGATTGAAAGACTGTAAACTATTGGATTTAAATCGTGCAATATACAGTGATTGTTAGTCAAAATATTGAGAACATTACGCCAATGACAGATATACATTGTTCTTTGAACTTGGTTCCGTTTATGAAACAATATTTTGTTGATACTGTTCACCATCTTGCTAATTTTTGCAACCAACATATTTTTTGCAACAAAAAGGTGTACGTGCGGCTTTGATGATTCTTTCTAAATTTGAACAAAGTTACCCGGAGAAAAAAATTAGTTTCACATTGTAATCTCGGCGAACAATTGAAAAAAAAAAAATTAAGGGGGTTGCAGTTGCAATCGTGGTACTGGTTTTTGTGGTGGTGGTGGTAAGTGGGTGGGAAGGTGTAAGTTATAGATTTTAAAATAACCGTTTTATTTTTAAATATTTTTGAAAACGTTGATGAAATTAGACTAATTGAATCTGAATAGAGTATTTCATCGTTTGTTGTTATTTTACAAGTAGTTACTCAATTGAACAATAAAGGGAGATATTTTAATGGTGAAAAGATTAGTACAGTATTTATAAATTCCATTGCGGAGTAGTAGAACATATAGAAGCACTTCCCATTAAAATTTTTTTGCGTGATTGGGCAATTGGGTATTTGAGTCAGTGGGTTATGTGTAAAGGGTGTTATTAAGCTATTAAGGTAGCCCGTTTTCTTCCGTTGAATATAGGCTAATAATCTTAATTTTTACGTAAGAAGTATAGAAAAAGAAGGTTTTTTTGCAATTGGCCATTGCCCCACCATGCATTATCTTTCCTTCTTTTTCTTTGGCACAGATTTGTTCCGTTCCATTGGTGGAAATTGGAGAGATCTCGTAATTGACGGTAATTTTCTAATGAGATCTACATGCATCTACAAATTGATTTGTTTACCTTTTTGATATCAGAGAGGCTATTGTTTTATAAGTTTTTAGGGAACTGTGTGTGGATGTGTATGTGTGTGTAATAATTATTTAAATCCAATTTTAAAATACAAGAGAGAATCAACGATTTGGTAGTACAAAGATTAATTAATAATGAAAAAATAAAATAAATAGCCAGTAAATCAGATAAAAAAAATATTTTATTATTAAGACCGTTTTTGGTAATTCCAAATCTTTTCCGAGACCAAAAAACAATGAACTTTTTTATTTAAGTTTTAAAATATTACAACAACAAAGAAACCTCATTCTTCTGATTTACAATTGTAATGTTTTGTTTTATTTCAAAACATACACACACATTCTACACTCCATCCTCAACATCACCATCTTAAAGACACATACAAACCCATCTATCAATTGCGTAGTATAAAAATACATATAATCTGTTCAATCTCAATTCTATTTCGTTCTGGAATTTTTTTTGGCTTTCTTTCTTTCCCCTTTTTTCCATATCAAACTGAATTGTTACAACAATAACAACAACAAACTTGTATGTGTGTGTGTGTGGTGTGGTTTAAAAAAATAATTTTAAAGTTTATTTAATTTTTCAAAAATCCACTTTCAATTATTTAAATTCAACCAGAATTCCTTCTCTTTCTTTTTTCAATTTAGATAACCATTTCATTCATTCATTTCCAATTAACTTCTGTTTTATAGCAAGTCATTCAATTCAGAAGAAATCAATTGGTATACAATTTATTGTCCTTCTTTTTTGTACAACACATAGAATTGCATTTTTAAAATTTAATTATTAATTAAATTTTTAGCTGCCAAAAAAAAAAAAAATTTAAAATAAATAAATAAATAAAAATACACATTTTACAGTAACCTCCCACCCCCCTCATCCATTTTGCTGAATTTTTTTACATTTTTCATAGATTTACAACCAAACTAACAACAGTTTACCACCCCATCCCCTCCAATTCCATAAACAAAAACAAGGATCATGACTAAGGCGGTGTTTACACTTTTATATAATCCAAGTTATCTTGCTGGTGCATTGGTATTAGGTTCAATTATTAAGAAATTGATTACTAAACATCAACAACAAGATGAAATTAAATTAGGAATATTAATTGACAAGAAAAATTTCACTAACCATCAATTAAGTTTATTATCCAGATATTATAATGATTTAATTGATGTTGATCCATTGGAATCAACAATTGTTGATAAATTACATTATGATTTAAAAAGACCAGAATTAGCCAAGACTTTCACTAAAGTTAAATTATGGTCATTACTTAAATATGAACAAATTTTATATTTAGATTCTGATACTTTACCAATTATACCAACTGGTTCTCAAGGTGATGTATTAGATTTATTAAAATTAAATTTCCCAAAATTTAAAATTTTAGCTGCTCCTGATTCTGGTTTCCCGGATATTTTTAATTCTGGTGTATTTGTTTTAAAACCAAATTTGAATGATTATACAAATTTAGAATCTTTAGTTCAAGAATCTGCAATTAATCCAAATGTTTCATTTGATGGTGCTGATCAAGGTTTATTAAATCAATATTTTAATACTCAACCAGATTGGGTCCAATCTTTATTGAAAAAAGGTGAATCTGAAGTTGAAGAATCAAATTATATTACTGATTCTAATTGGGTTAAAATTCCATTTTTGTATAATGTTACTCCAACAGCTCAATATGAATATTTACCTGCTTATAAACATTTCCAAACTTCTCCAGAATTTCCTGCTGAAGTTCCAACTAAAGCCCGTTTAGAAGAAGGTGATCAAGATCAAGATAAACATGATGAAGATGTTTTAAAAACTACCGTGGACACTTTAAATCGTTATCATTCTACTGCTGTTAGTTATATCAATTATTCCACGACTCAAGTTAAATTGGTTCATTTCATTGGTCCAATGAAACCTTGGAGATCTGCTACTTCAATTGGTGGTATTCATAAAGATTGGTGGAATGTTTGGATTGAACAATTTGGTGAAAAATCAATTCAAGAAATTGTTAGTCCTCCATTCAGTCAACAAATTCATGAATTACCAGAACAACAACAAGAACAGCCACATGTTGAAGAACATCATGTACCATTTGCAGAACAAGAACCTGAAGGTTATGTCGCTCCACCACAAGATCATTCCCAACCCGGATCGTTATTAGATCCAGCTAACTATCATCAATTTGAAAGTCATATTCAACCAAGTGTAGATGCTATGTGGGATCCAACTAAAGAAGCTCCACCAGTGCATGATCATTATCAACATGATGAAGAGAGAGGTAGACAATTTGAAGAAGGTATGAGATCGTTTACTAATGTTTGGGATCAAGCTTATGAAGAACCACAATATTTCCACCATCATGAAGAACAACCCCATCATTACGAAGAACCACAACATCATCACCATGAGGAACATCACCATCACGAAGAACATCATCACCATCACGAAGAACATCATCACCATCACGAAGAACCACAACATCATCATGAAGAATATCACCACCATGAAGAACCACAACATCACCACGAAGAACATCACCACCATGAAGAGCACCACCACCATGAAGAACCACAACACCATCATGAAGAATATCACCACCATGAAGAATATATCCCAGAACCAGCTGATCCATTACAAACCTATGGACATCATTACGTAGCCCCAGAAAGAGTGTTTGACACCAAATTCGACTATTTCCCCACCCATGTCTTACAACAATTAGATAAAGCCACATTCGATGAAACTGAAGCAACAACTCCTTCACGTGATTCTTCAAGTGGATTACCTACAAGTTTGAATTTCAATAGTGTTAATCAACAATTGGAAAGAGAGGGTGCTATAGATACGAGTGATTTCGAGGATGTTTATGATGAAGCTCAAGAAGGATTTGATGAAGATCGACCTGGTGAAGAGGAGGAAGAGGAAGAGGAGGATTTTGAGAATATTCCTAAGCTTTTCCCATGGGAATTTAGACCTTCTGTTAGGGCTGAAAGAGTCTTTGATTAGTGTGGTTGTGGTTGCTTTTTGTATTTTGATTTCGTTCGACGTCATTTTTTATATTCTATTTGTTTGTTTTTTGTTTTACATTCCGTTACCTTTTCACCAAACTCATCCACTTCACTTTTTTTTTAAGATGGGTTTTCAAGACGTTATTATAGAACTGTTTGGAAGAAGCATTTGAAGAAAGAGAGAGAGAAAGATTGAGTTTGCCCTTTTTTTTAGTTGTTTCCCTTCTCGCCGTAGTACTAGCACATACATTCATCTTTTTTATATGGTAAAATTTAGTTATTGTATAGTAAATTAGACTTTTTAATTTGATAATTTTTTATATGGTAAAATTTAGTTATTGTATAGTAAATTAGACTTTTTAATTTGATAATTTTTTATATGGTAAAATTTAGTTATTGTATAGTAAATTAGACTTTTTAATTTGATAATTTTTTATATGGTAAAATTTAGTTATTGTATAGTAAATTAGACTTTTTAATTTGATAATTTTTTATATGGTAAAATTTAGTTATTGTATAGTAAATTAGACTTTTTAATTTGATAATATATTTTTGTTACATGTAATTGCTGCGAAAAAAAAGACAAGTGATGGTTGCAACATTTCATTCGTAAGTAAGTTAATGTAAGTTTATGCTGCTAATTGAAACAGTACTTGAAATTTTAATGTAGGACCATCTGCAAAATGATTTAGAAGATTTAAGAGATAGTAGTGATTTTTAATCTAATAATAGATCGAAAGCATTTACACATTCTATGCAATTTGCTAGAAATTTTCTGCAAAATTTCCAATGAATATGATGTTGCTTGGGCAAAATAATCCCTAAATTTTATTTTTTTTGTACCGAGATTTTATTGTCTCAATTAAAGTTAGAAAGTGTTCAATTGATCTCTACAGAATCTAATAACACGTTTCCCTAATTGTTAATGTGTAAAATCAAACACAATTAGAGTTATAGTTCAGAAATTTTTGTGTATGAGAATGGAATACACGTGATCACAGATTACCCGGATTAAAAATAATTTGGTTACACAAAGGACCCAAAAAAATAAATTTCATTTGTATTGTTTTCTTTTTTTTTTTTAACGCTCTTCACAAAATTTTTCATTTTTTTGATGATGGATGTGTTAACTTAGTGTAAGCAAATAGCGAAGGAAAAAAAAAATTTTTTTTTGGAAGATCCCCTGGCAATTCGATTCTTCTTTCTTTCTTTTAGGTTTACTCAAATACATATATATATATAATATATAAACAAAGTTAATCATGGCTTCCGAAGGTATTACTGAAATTGATTCTAACTTAATTGAATCTAATTATGACAATGTTGTCTACAAATTCGATGACTTAAACTTAAAACCAAATATTGTTAGAGGTATTTTCGGTTACGGTTATGAAAGTCCATCTGCCATTCAACAAAGAGCCATTTTACCAATTACTGAAGGTAGAGATGTCTTAGCTCAAGCACAATCTGGTACTGGTAAAACTGCCACTTTCACCATTTCTGCTTTACAAAGAATTGATGAAAATCTTAAAGCAACTCAAGCTTTAATTTTAGCTCCAACTAGAGAATTAGCTTTACAAATTAAGAATGTTATTACTTCTATTGGTTTATACATGGATGTTACCGTCCATGCTTCTATTGGTGGTACTTCTATGGCTGATGATATTGAAGCTTTCAAGTCTGGTGTTCAAATTGTTGTTGGTACTCCAGGTAGAGTTTTCGATATGATTGAAAGAAGATTCTTCAAGACTGAAAATGTTAAGATGTTCATCTTGGATGAAGCCGATGAAATGTTAAGTTCTGGTTTCAAGGAACAAATTTATAACATTTTCCGTTTATTACCAGAAACTACTCAAGTTGTTTTATTATCTGCTACTATGCCACAAGATGTTTTAGAAGTTACTACCAAATTCATGAACAACCCAGTCAGAATCTTAGTTAAGAAAGATGAATTAACCTTGGAAGGTATTAAACAATTCTACGTCAATGTTGATGAAGAACAATTCAAATTCGATTGTTTAGTTGATTTATATGATTCTATTTCCGTTACTCAAGCTGTTATTTTCTGTAACACCAGATCTAAAGTTGAATTCTTAACCACCAAATTAAAGGAAGAAAATTTCACCGTTTCCGCCATTCATGCTGATTTACCACAATCCGACAGAGACACCATCATGAAGGAATTCAGATCTGGTTCTTCCAGAATCTTAATCTCTACTGATTTATTAGCTAGAGGTATTGATGTTCAACAAGTTTCTTTAGTTATCAACTACGATTTACCATCCAACAAAGAAAACTATATCCATAGAATTGGTAGAGGTGGTCGTTTCGGTAGAAAGGGTGTTGCCATCAACTTTGTTACCTCAAGAGATGTTGGTATGATGAGAGAGATTGAAAAATTCTACTCTACTCAAATTGACGAAATGCCAGCTGATATTGGTTCTTTATTCGCTTAAGCGAATTCATTTCATGAGAGGGGGGAAGAACTGGTCGCTTCTAACTTTCTGTTTGAAGGATAGAATTAGTACATGCGACCAGTTCTTCCTGTTATCTATTTGTTGTGTCGTATTTCATTTTCTTTTCTATATATAATTTATATACGTTTAACAAAAATCTTGTTTCTTAAACAATTTTTTTTTGGTTGCGCCTCCTTAGAATTTCATTTGATTATCACCGGAGGCAATTCTAGATAGAGAGAGGTAACCGACATGAGCTATGCACATACAACAATGCCAGGGGCATTTCCAACCCAATTCCCAGAAAACGACATATCTCCATCATGTCTGCAACAGCAACAACACCAACATCCAAATGGCAACATTGCCACTACGATCTTAGAACATGATGAAATTCACCGATTCTCTCAATCTAAATTCATAACTACAAAAACGAGATATCAACATAACATCCTATCCCAACTCACAACAATAGTCTACATACTATCAGGCTATCAAGCTATTAAATATTGTTATTCATCCGCTTTTTTACCATTAGCAATGAATGTCGTCTGTCAATTATTCTTACGGGTAAACATGATTGAACAATCAAATGATGCATTCGAATTACTTCGAAATACACTTTCCTCAAGATTGAATGAAGATGAATTACATCATTTCTATGAAAGTAAGACCCGATTATTCTGTCGAATCATATATACAAAAACAGTGATTAATATATTGTATCATATTGTGTTTGTGGGCTCTTGGTTATTTGAGATTATTAATTTAGGGATTTTGGATGAATTGGAACATGGGTCAGTATGGGCGATTTCATTTATAGGTGAGTCTGTACCTTCGGTGGAACCTATGGATGGATATACTACAAAAGTGATTACATTAGGATTACCACAATTGATATTTATTGATTTAATTGTGTTATTTATTGAATTGGTACAATTTCAATGTATTTATAAACAATCACCAATAGCACGACAAGGACATGATACTAATCAAGAAGAAGTGTTTTTGGTAAGACGTGAAGATGAAAGGGATAGCGGTGGTAACGTGGACGATAGTGTGGATATATCTGAAGAGATACCTAGTGTATTAAAAGTGCGGTTATTTGAATGCTTTGAACCAAGTGGATATTTGGATGATGTATGAAGAGGTTTTATAGATATTTGGAATAAATAGGGATAATTTAATTGGACTTAGTATGATCTTATGAGAGTTAGATTTAATTGATGCGATTGTGTAGATTGGTTGCCATTCTAAAGGATACAAGAGACAATAGAAGTTTCTTGATTACAACCTGAATCAACTGAAACTCTTTCCTTGAGACCTTCTCTCTCCCTCTCATAGTATCTAGATCTTCTAAATGCTTATTTTGGGTACCCAAGTACCTATCCTTGTGTGGCAATAATGTCAGTCTCTTTACACGATAGCCATATAAGTCAGACCAGATATCATATCTAAATAAACACCTGACATCGAATGTATTTATCAGACACCAAATGTGAAGTCTTTTGCAGCTAGTCTCATTAATGTGAGTAACGTTCTACTACAGAAAATGAGAGTGTTGTAACAATTAAATGATGTATAATTCTGAAGGATACACGAAATAACCAACCGAAACGCTGTTAGAGACTTATTAATCTTAATTCTCTATACTGGCAAGTACTAACCTATATGTCCATTTGATCAGTGAAACATTAATAATTGTACAGGCTATTGTGCTTTAAAAAAATCACATAATCAATTTTTTTGCAACACAATTCTCACTGGAAAAAGACGCGTCCCATGAGAGATCCATTTCATCACAATTTTTTTTTCGTGTTTTTTTCATTTCACCATTGCCATATCTATTCTTTTTACTTCATCATCCATACATATACCCTTCTAACACACACACACACACATATATACAATGACAACTGAAATGGAACAAATCATCAAAAAACAAAAACTCGCTTCCACAGCCTTAAAAGTCTTCTTACGTTCCCCCGCCGCCAAACTCCCAACTAAGGGATCTGCATTAGCTGCCGGCTATGACCTCTACGCATCCCAACCAGGTCTCATCCCCGCCAAAGGACAAGGTCTTATCGCTACTGATATTTCAATTATCGTTCCAGAAGGGACATATGGCCGTGTAGCCCCTAGATCGGGCTTAGCTGTCAAGAATGGGATTTCGACTGGTGCTGGTGTTATTGATGCTGATTATAGAGGAGAAGTTAAGGTTGTTTTGTTTAATCATAGTGATAAAGATTTTGAAGTTAAGGCTGGGGATAGAATTGCACAATTGGTTTTAGAAGTTATTGTGAATGCTGATATTGTTGAGATTGATGCTGATGAGTTGGATACTACTGAAAGAGGTGCTGGTGGATTTGGATCTACTGGTAAGAATTAAATAGATTGTGTAATTGTAATATAATAATAAATGTTGTAATAAATGTTATAATATAAAATATATAGTTTGAACTAAAAACATGAATAAATAAATAAAAATGCAAATTGAACTAAAAACATCAAACTACAAAAAAGGAAAATGCCAATAATTTAAATATAAATATCATCTAAAGTTCAGTCCAGTCTCTTTACTTTGACTTTACTTCTTCTTTTGATTCTGAGGATGATTCTGATGATGTCACAGGTACTTCTTCCAATTTAGGTGTTGTATGGCTAACTTCAGGAGCTTCAAGTTTCATACCATCAGTGGCAGTTTCTTCATATTCATCCAATTTAATATCATCTTTCAATTTTGTAACTGTATCTTTTTCTCTTTGATTTTCCTCTTCAATTAATTCCTCTTGTTCTTTCAAAATATTTAATTTCAATTTAGAATCATCAGATAAATCCAATTTAGCAACATTATAAACTTCATCAGGAATAGAACTTAATACTGCCAACAAGGCATCATAATAACTTTCAATACTATTACCTTTTTCACCATAAGTATAAGCACTTGATAAAATCAATAGAGTAGATGGAATTTTTTGTCTTAATCTTAAATCTAACCAAGTTTCTAAATCTTCTCTTAATCTACCAGGTGAAACATCACTAGTTTTAATTCCTCTTTGATTACAAGCTAATTGTAATTCAGGAATAGTTAAACTATCAACCCCTTCATAATCAATGGCTTTATCATCTTTAATAATCGTTAATAAACGATGCCTAATTTGATATCTTAAAATAGTATCAGTACCAAATGGTCTTAAACTCATATAATTTGCCATTGCTGCCAATTGAGGACGAGATAAATTATCCAAGACATGATCATTTTTAAATAATCTTGCAACTTGAATTAATTCATCTCGGGAAGGTTTTTTACCCATATAAATTGCATTAAAGAATGAAACAAATGCTTCTTTTTCTTGTTCAGTAATTTTTTTCAGTAATTTTAAACCCAGTTGAGCCATTGTTTGTTTAATATATTCAGAAGCTGATTTTCTGGCTTTTTTCAATTTTAATTTCTTCTTTTGTCTATCACTACTGGTTTCATAAGTTGATGGTAATAAATTAGGGAATAATTTTAATGNGTCTATCACTACTGGTTTCATAAGTTGATGGTAATAAATTAGGGAATAATTTTAAAGCAATTGGTAATAATAATTCAGCAAATGGAATTAAAATAAACATTGAAAATGGTACTAATCTCATAACATCAACAATTGTTCTTTGTAATTGATTTGATTCACGACGTGATAATTCATAGCCGGCCATTAATTTTAATAATAATTTTGTTGATACTTTAATTTCATATCCTAATAATTTTGTACCAGCCCAATAATGATTGACTTCATGTTTTACTTTTTCCCAAATACTTAGTTTAGGTTCTTCATCTTTAACAATGACTTCAGTACCTTTTAATGGGGGATGTTTTTCACCTTTTGTTGTTGTGGTGGGAGTGGTGGTAGGAGGAGTTAGTGTTGGTTTATTAGATTGATGTCTAATAAATGATTTAATTAATGGATAATTTACAGTATTTGAATTAAGATTATTATGTAAATTAGGTGTTAAAGGATATCTTACAGTAGAAGTTACTGAAGCTTTAATCATTAGACTTCTTATTGTTGTATGTTGTACTATTATTTCATTGGAAAATCGACCAATAGATCTTTGTAATAATACCGGGGAAATCATATTTTCTTTAGGATGAACAAGAAGATGGCAAAAAAGCAAGTAAATTCAAATAAATAGTTTTGAAATATATATCAAATAGTAGTTGGTTGATGATAATAAGTCTATAAAATGTAAAATATCAATTGTAAGTTTCAATGGGATATGCCTTAATAAAAAAAATGTACTTTGAACTTATATATATTTGCTATTCTCCAATGATAGGGAAAAGAAAGTGTAAAGTATGGGCAATTGAAAAAAAAAAAAATTTCAGATGGATTGTAAAGAGAGAATGGGAGAGAATGAAAAAAAAAAGGAGCAGAGTATTAAAATTATTATTTTTTACTCCGAAGATTTGTTTATGCAGGAAAAACCGGATTATCCATATATTGGCTTCCCGGCACTTCAACCAACCAGCATATTGCTATATGTACCGTATGGAACCAACGGGAATTGAGTTGACGAGGTGTCACTAAGGACCTTACGAGTATTTATGGATTGTAGTACAAAATTTAATCTCTATAGTATGATTTTAATCAACTCCGAGACTACTTTCTGGAATAGTGAATATCCTACTTATAATATCTATTATTCAAGTACTATGATCTGTAATTCTCGGAGTATAGGCGCATCCCGACACGTAAAGAAGCTGACTGCTTTACAAAAATAAATTTGCCACCTTTGTTGTTTCATGTTTGACATTTTTTTGTGTCCCCTTATCCTCGGCTAAATAGAATTACATATTCTATTTTTCTCTGACTCTACTGTAGACTTGAACAGGAAGTGGAGGCGCCAGACATCGATAACTCTTGCCCTACAAACAGTCACTATCAATAGGTCTTGTTTTCTTTATGGATGTCACTGATTAGAAACTGTTAGAATAGGAAGAAGAGTAACTACATATACAATGACGACTGCCTATTCTCTCTGAAGCATCTGTTGAAATCCCCATCAACTTTGCAACTAACAGATCTAATCACTTTTTACAATCAAATTTACCTTTTTCTAAAACACTATCTACTATATATAAAATGATCAAACTATAAATTATTCTTCTGGTTCTAAGCTTTGAATTTTACCTTGATTCTTAGATTCACCACTAAGACCAACTATAACAATCTTATCAATAATAGTATGATAATCATCATCATCACCTTCAAAAAAGATATTTAAATTTTGAACATTTTGAAATCTAACAAATTTAAATTTAGCTTCAATCCATTTACCATTAACAAGATCTTCATCATCATCATCTACATCAATTTTTTGTTCATGAGGAGAATTTGAATCTGCAGCATCATCGAATGATAAAATAGTTTGAGAATTTGGCCATACTTTAATAATATTAGGTAATTGGCTTTCAGAACTTAAATCCTCTTCATCAACTACTAAATCTTCATTAATTAATTTCTCTTGTTTTCTTATCTTAATTAATACTGAATAAATCTTACAAATGTTTAAAAATGGAATGAAAAATAACAATTGTGAATCAGCATCTGACCAAACTGTACTTCTATCTTCATTTGCATCATCCAATTTAAACAAATCTTGTACCTCTTTATCTTGATATAATGGAATCACATTTAATGCTTCAAATCTTTGAAAATCAATCGAAGAATTCAAAATTTCAAACCCCTTTGGAATAAAATCTTTAACTTCTTTTTCAACCCCACTTAAAACAACCGAACCAGAAGCATTCCCACTTCTAGCCTTAACACTAGAATCAACACTAGCTTTAACATTCAAACTATCCAAAGCATTCGTAACCCCATGAACATCAGCTCCACGTATACGAGAAATTTCTTTCCCTTGTTCAAAAAAGATAAATGTAGGAACAGCTGTCACTTGATATTTGGTAGCTAAATCTTTTTGAGTATCTAAATCAACTCGACATATTTCAATCTTATCATATTTACCACTGGAATATAATTGATCAATTACTGGTTTGATAGCTTGACAAGGACCACACCATGATGCGGTAAAATTGGCCATAAGATACTTATTGGCAGATAAGTAGTTTTGGAAATCGTTTGATGAATTTACGAACTGAACTGACATCTTCTTAGTTGCTTGGCTTTCGATGATTAGTTGTTCAAAACCTATAATGATTGATGGATATTGAATTTAAATGGCGTTGGTGGTGGTGGTACCTTTTTAAGCACAGGCGAAAAAAAAGTTGAATCAAATTACATCACTTGTATTTAATTACTCACTGCCACATTAACCTTCAACAAAATTAGTAAGGTTTGTAAGGATATCCAACCAACATGTCACAACTCAGCTCACCAACTGAGAAGAGAGTAAAATCAAACACAATATCACGACTATCACTGCTTAGACTATCTAAATCCGCAGCGCCCCCTTCATCATCATCAAACCTTCTAGACCCCAACACTCCCATATCAACAAAAATACCACCAAAAAGAACTAAAGATGATACCAATACTTCACAATATCAAGACATCAAACCCAGAACGAAACATTCTGCATTTGAATTAGATATAACAGTAGACGATGTAACCAAACAACATCAGCAACAACAACGCCAACAGCTACTAGCACCACCAATGGAGGACAGCCCAGTTGAAAACGGGGTCTCGAAACATGATTTAAGAAAAGCAGGAGAATTAGCTTCATTATTCCTAGATACCCGAAACATCCTCCGGGCTGACTGTAATATAATCGACCCATTAGCCAACACTGCCTCCCCAGACTCACCTACATCCCCAAAACTTGGCAATGGCAATACTCATAAAGGAATCTCCATATCCCGAAGCACCCAATTCCGTGCAGAAAAAGTAAAGGCAATGCTAGGGATGAAATATATGTATATCGAACGAATCTACGAATGGCGACTCGCCCACAGTGGAGAACAAAACCGAAATGAACATCCAGGAGTAGAAGGTGTATATAATCCATTACAAATTATTCGAAATCGGAAAATTAGGGCTAAGCATGGAGAATTCCCCAATCCATTACCTGCATCAATTCCATTAGCATGTAATGTATTCAGTCGTCGGAATCGCGATCCAAGACTTCAATCGAAAAACAGCACCAAGCGACCATGGAGGATGATTTGGGCGGTGGAATTGGATGAGTTTGTTGGTGATCCAAGATGGAGAGCTCATCATTGGCATGAATTAAGGAATTCGAGGGGGGAATTGTGGTTTCCTCCTCCAGGGGGAGGAAATAAGTCGAAGAAATTAACTAAAAGATTGCATGATAAATTATTCGATAGTAATAATAATAATAATTCCGGAGTTTCATCATTATCATCGGATGAAGATCAAGGAAGCCTGATAAAGCGTCCACTACATACCCGAAGTCGATCTGCAGGGACGACGACTTCTGATTCAGATATTCATCTAATCAAGATCTCGAGATCGAAATCTCCATCCAAGAAGAAGAAATTACGTCACAAAATGAAGAAATTATATCAGGGGACTAGTAGTACAGGGGGTGGGGGGAATAGTAGTAGCAGTGGCAATAGTGAAAACAATCCCAATTCATCCACATCTTCGAATGTGTTTAATGACGAACAATCGACTACTGATCAACAAGTAAATTCAGATGGAGTTGATCAGTTGAGTACACAAATGTTTAAACGAGTGAATCTTTCTCATGACACTGAAAGCATGGATAATGAAGATAGTGATAATGGACAACAACAAGATATTAATGATATGGCTTCTGTGCATATTGTGCCTACTATTATGGTTGACCCAGTGGCTTCGCCATCACAACAGGTCGATCATTCCATCCAGGATGTTGAGTTCGTTTCGACCCAAAAACGGGCGAGTGAGATAGAACAAGCGTCATCACCTGAAGAAGGCGAGGACAACACGGGAGAAGGAGAGGAAGAGAATGGAGAGGTTGTTAGTGGTGAAGAAGATGAAATCTCCCCCGAGCATTGTCGACTCATGATTGATCAAAATGAACAAGATTTCTCAGAAATTTATACCAATCTCCAAGACGTCAATCATTCAATTATCCTTCATCGGAATTTCTTGATGTATATATATCCAATCTATCTCGAATTAGTCCAACATAAAGTCGATGATATTACCCATAAACGAATCTATGAAATTTTTGATCAAATGTCAAATATCAATGAGGATCAATTACCGGTATATGAAGAATTATATCGGGGTTTTTTGGATGAGATAAAATCGGTGATCCATATGGTTAATGACAATTATTCCGTCAAGATCGATACGTTGTTAAGTTCGAGTGATCGGGCCATTAGTGAGATCAATGCGTTATTATCATTAGAATTAAGAAAAGTTACAGAAAGATTAGATATTCTTGATTCATCCGTGCATTCGAAAAATATCCGTCCGGCAGATTTAAAAATGAATCTTAATGAAGGGAGAAATTACAAGATTTTGTATTTTTGTATTGAGAATCTAATTATAATATTATTGAGATCGATTTGGGTGATTGTGAATATATATAAAGGAACGACATTTGTGTTGAAGGTATTGTTTGGGTTTGTATGGGCATTAATTTCTTAGGTTATTTAATTCAATTAATATTTTGTTTGCATTTATGAAATAATCATAACTTGAATTAGGTTGGAAACTTGTTAAGGAATCAGTAGTTGAATTTTTTGATCTAATTGATCTTAATGATTTCTTATGTAATAATTTTTTGGTTAATTCAACTAATTTTCTTTCATTTTCCGTAGTGTATGAATCCTCATCAAGGAGATTTACCCATTCTTCATCTTCATCCTGTTCATCTCCAGGAGTTAAATCAACTTCTAAATCATTTGGAACATAATGATCACCAGTATCAATCATTACCCCGACAATTTGTTGACTAATATCTTGATTCTTGAATAATTGTTTCAATAAGCTTAATTTATATTCATAATCTGAATTTGAAACTCGTTCAATATCCAAAACAATCTTGACAATTTTGTTTTTTAAATTCTTATAACCATTAATTTGCGCAATAAATTTAACAATCTCATCCAAGGTGATCTTTTCATTTATAGGTAAAATGACAAAAGTATCTTGATTCCCAGTTGTACCCACAACAGCAACAGTACCTGATTTAGTTATCGACAAAAATTGATGAGGTTGAGAAGTGGCATAAATTGAATCCAACGCACTAGTTAATTTATGATCAAACATATCCTCATCAAACCCAGGATTAAAACCCACAGAACAAGATAATCCAGAAGCTAATTCACGATGTAATTGACATTCCATTAAGGTAGGACCTACTAATCCCATTGTGAATAAATCAGAAAGATATTGTGGGGTTAATGTATCGGAGATTTCAGCGACTAAAGGGACTTGTTCGGCTAATTCACAAAGTAATGAACGACATTGAGGAATACCTTGAGCTATTTCATATGTCATGATTGAAGAGGGGTTACTGGTGGTTGATCCATATTCATGATTGTATTTGGTTAAGTTTGATCTGAGGGATAATAATAAATTAGGTAATGTAGATTGATCTTGATAGATTGATTTTATATCTTCTGGAAGAAATTCATTAGGAATTGATTGGAAAGTTTTCCCAGTTTTCATCCCGAGATATTGAGCACATGCTTTTATTTGATTCTTATCTTTTATATATTTTGGACCAGCAATTACCAAAAGGGGATTTTTATTACTATTGTCATTATTAAGAAGATCCGCAATTTGAGATCTTTCATGTAAGATCTTTTGTTGGACTAAGTCAGATACTGGGTATAAGACATTTTGAATAACTTCTGGTTGAGGAATAGATATATGACCTTTGACATTTAAACATAATCCTGAAGTTATATTACTATTATTATAACTACTAGATCTAGATAATTGGCGACTATTATTTGATAATGATGCTGAATAATCCCATTTAGGACCTGTTTTAATACCTGAAGTTAAAGAAGAAATTGATTCTTGAAGTGTTTCTGATTCTTCTGAGTCGGTTGTAATAGTACTTGCAAGAATACTGTTAACAGTGGAAGTAATTTCCATTGTTGAATCAGGCAGATCAATTTTTTTTATTGTATTTGGAGATATTGGTTGCGAATGAATCATTTTGTTTGATTATAACTGAATTGGAATAGAAATTCTTTAGTTAGTTTGATAATTGATGAGTATGAGTCAGATGTATTCTAAGGAATAAGCGAATAGTCTTAAAATGGAATATAAATGGATGTAGTGGTGGAAGTAAAAAGAAGTGTGTAATAAATTGGTTATGAATATTTCAATGAGATATTTAAATAAAGTATGCGAAAGAAAAAAGGAATGTTAAAAAAGATGAGTCAAAAAAATAAAAATAAAAAAAAGTTTAAACGGCATAATTTACAAGCAAGAAAAAAACCGTTGCAAATTCAAATTCAAAAAACAAAGAGAGAGAGATATTTTTTTCTTATTGTTTTATTTTACATGTAAATATTTTATTTTAATGTTGCAATTTTTTCTCGGTAATTAATTCTCTTTTAGGACTCAGACAATCTTCTTAATCTTTTAATTATATAATTCAACCTTTTGGGAGTAACTATGATTCACCAAAACTAGTATGATACTTGTCAACCCTAATTTGATTGGCATATAGAGTCATAAGTGACGATCAGAAGATATAATCTTCCATCTTTTGTAATAAAAAATATGCATGATCTACAGCAGCAGATAGCACTTAGATTCTTTTTGTTATCTGTTTCAGATAATCAAAATTTCTTGATTAGGGATTCTCAATGAAGTGAAATTTAATCAACAAAGAATGACCTATCCATTTTAACTACTACTGTTATCTATTCTTACATAATATGAATTATCATATTTAATAAACCTTTTGTATTTCACACACTCTCTCTTTACCTCTTCTGAAAACCAAACTGTAGAAAGATGCATATTGAAATTCTCAGCCAATATCCAAGAAAATATACCAAATAACTTGAGAGCCCCCCACAACACTCCAATTCTTATAAACGAGAACTTCTTATGACATAAATTTAAAGGCACAAAATGATTAGGAACCTAGGCTCAGGCACGGATTCCATTTGGTCAAAATAATCGACCAACGAATTGTAATTGCTACAGGATTTATTTAATACCAAACTCATTCTAATTGAAGCTGTTCGACACTAACTAGTGTTCTTCTTTGACTCCAATACACTAACGAAAATAATAAGAACTAAAAAGCGTGTCATAATCTTTATCTATTCCTATCCCCATTATTTACTTTTGCAACTCCCAATTCGTGTTTCTTAAGTCGTGTACACGTGCTCAAAAAATGCCATGTTAAGAATATTTCTTTGTTGCCTGTATATTCTTCACTGTGTATTGTTTTGCTACAGTAAACAACTCCTATCCTCTCGATATTCATCAATGCAGCCAAAATCAATAGCTTTATTGCGTATGTATCTTCAATATGATTAGAAATACTTACACCAATAGGAAATACTAACGGTTTCCCTTTAGAAAAAATCGATTCAATAGTTGAACAATTACTTCAAAAATTCCAAGATATATTCGAAGTATCAATCAATGAAGATAAACCAAAAGAACTCCTATCAGTTGAATCACTAACGATAGAATCAGATGCTATTCATATAATAAGACTATGTGAAGATTTATTATCAATTTCAAGAAGTTTAAAGGAAACGTGGTGTTTGGGGACTTTGAAAGTCACATCTACAAATGATTCAAAATGGCAACAAGGAGAAATAGATCATATATTTAATCAATTTAATGTATTGACAGATAGAATTGCACAATTTGAATCTAAGAAGACATCGATATAGAATTTATTATTATTTCAAAAAAATTGTTCATTAATTCATATACACATATTCACTTGACAAATAATTCATGAGAGATGCTCAAAGAAAAACTACGCTCCTAGCCTAAGCAGTCCTGAAAGGACTTCCTGACCTACTGTTTAGACGACTACCCACCCTACTTGGTCTCCTACTATTAGCTAGACGTCCAGGAGGAGCTGGAGGAACTGGTTCCTCCATCTTTTCTTCAAACAAATGAACATATTTCTGGACTTTTCCAACTCTAATGAATTTAAATTTCTTATCACGTTTAATATACGAAGGAACATCATTTGATTTAAATGCATATTCCAACCCTTCATCTGTATTCAACATGAAAATTGACGAAGTTGAAGACATCCTTGATACGGACTTCATTTTTCTTGGCGATACAAATGACAGTTGTCGAGATATAGTTATAATTCCATCATCCTCTTCTTCTTGTTCTTTATTAGTCCTGCTTGTAAGAACGGTAGGTTTTAATTGTACTGGAGGTTGTAATATATTATCTGGAGAAGAATAGTCTGGATTGTCACTAGTTTTTGGCGATTCAAATTCATTTTCATTTTCACATTCAACTTCCACTAAATCGTCTAAATGGAAACTAGATGAACTAGTATTTGGGTCAAGATCTAATACCCTTGGCGCTTCTGTTACTTCTTCTGTCTTTGCTGTATCTTCATTCAATTGTTCACGCCTACTATTCAATCTAAGAGGACGCAAGAAACTCATATCATCTTGAACGGTAGTTGGCGGTTCTTCATCCTTAATTTCATCTTGGATATCATCTTCTTCATTATGTCGAAGATTTTCAATGTCTAATAGAAAATCAGGACTCTTTTGTTTTGATAATTCATCATTTGAAGATGTTTTTGCCAGATAATCAATACTGCTATCAATAGACACTTGTCCTGATGATATATCCCCATTTACAAGTGATAAGGTTTTATTATTAAGTGATTCTTGAGTTAATAAATCTAGACAATTTGTTGTCGTGATTGATCCTAAAGATTCCCCCGTGCCTGACTTATCATAAACTTCTTCATTTTCACTATTATTTAATGTCGAGTCATTAATTTCAATAAAGCTATTATAAATCATATCTTCCTTTGGTGGAACTTGGGCCTGAAGTATAGGAGTTGCCAATTCATTTGAATGTATTGAAAACAATACACAAGCTCTGATATATGATATTATTTCGTTCAACAAATTATCATCACATAATATTAAAAGTCCTAAATTTTCATCTTTTAAAAAATCAACAGTAACATCTTGTAATTCTTTATCAAAGGCAAAATCCAATAATTTTAAAGTTATATTCACAATAAATACTTCTTCTGAACATAATATTTGATTATCAATTCCAAAATTATCAACAACATTTGGTGGTTTCATTATTCGTGATATGAAATCTGAAGTATGCAGACATGAATTATATTTAGCTATTGATATTAGATTCTCTTTAAGTAAATCAGATGGTTTTATATTTGAATTTCTTAATAATAATGAATTTAAAGCTGTATTTATATTGAATTCAATATCGGATCCGAGAAAGATTATTGAATGTTCATTATCATGATGGGGTAAATATCGTGTTTTAACAATCTGGTGGATTTGTGCCGGTATATCTGATGAGAATACGAAGTTTGGTTTATAAGGATCATTATTCAAATGCTTCTTTAGTAGATTGGATGGCATCATAATAATAAGTACAAATCACTTTGTTTGTTCTGTGAATACCAAAAATTCGGGTGTGTGTGTGTATGCGCCGTATGATACTATATCTAACAGAAACTTTTGCTAATCAAAATGGAACGTAAAAGACGACGATGGAAATGGATTCTCGGTTTGTTTCGGGATACTCCTTAAATTTCAGATAGACTCCTATTGTGTGTAATTACAAAGTGATTAATTGAATTGTGTAGTAAATTAACTTTAAAAAAAAATCCTCACTTTTTACTGAATCAACCGAAAAAGTAAACATTTGGTATAAACTGTAAAAGCTTTATTTGTTTTGCTTTTGTTTTACAGGTTATGGTAACCCGCAATATCTCGTGTCTCAATTTTTCTTTTTACACTTTGGAACACTGGAATATCTTGAAGCTCTTTGGTTGACCAGTTCACCTTCTTTCCTTATTACTTACTATCCAATCTGGACCTAGCAATGTCGTCATATTACTTTACAATTATAGGAACTCAGGATAATCCAATCTATGAAGTAGAATTCTCTTCATTTAAAAATATCCCCAGTTCAACAACCACTGCACCATATGTACCTGGCAAATCACAATTTCAACCAAGCATTAAAGAACTTCTACCATTTATAGCCAATTCCTCATTAGATTTAATAGAAGAGTCACAATGGTCATCAACCCCATTACATCTAGGAAAAGTTGATTCATTTTATGGATTACTGGTAAATGCATTCTTAACCCAGGGGAATATCAAATTGATCTTATGTTATGATGGTAATGTTAGTGGAAGTAAATCAGAAGAGAATTCAATTAAACAATTCTTTATTGAGATTAATGAATTATATGTAAAGAATTTATTAAATCCATTTTATTCGGTTAATGATCCTATAATATCTCCGGAATTTGATTTAAAGGTTAAATTGTTAGCAAAGAAATATTTATAGATTTACAATTTAATTATAGGGAACGAATATATATATACAAATAGGTTGATTTGGGAAACATCTTTATTGATTAGTTCTTATCTTCATTTTCCTTTTCTTCAGGTGTTTGTTCTAATACTTTTTCAGTTTCAATTTTGTATTCCCCATTTTCGCCTTCCACAATAATACCTTGATCTTTCAATGTGGTAAACATATCTTGAGGAATCCAGCCACCAGTGGCAGCAAATGGACTGGAAACAGTTTCAACTTGATATTGTTCCAAATCTTTATGGAATTCATCCAAATATTCTTGATCAAATTCAATTGGGAATTCAGTATCAGTAGAATCAACTAATTCATTAGCAACATAAGCTTCCCACATGGCTTGTAATTGGACAATAGAACCTTCAACATAAAGATAATCCTTATCATTCTTTAATTCCAATGCTTGTACATATGGACTCTTTAATACTTTAATATGAGGCGATGCAACGGCAATTAAATCGTGTCTCTTGGAATTTAATTCCAATTCCCAAAGTCTTTCATTTCTAGTTTTGAAATACATAAATTGATATTGTTGTTTTTCAACTTCATCCATTTGATTATAACCTGGAATATCTTCTTCTAAATTATAAATCTTAGCACCATGATAAGCTACAAAGTTTGGATAACTACTAAGAATGAATGGCTTAATGGTTGTATTTTCGAAATCAATGAAATAATTTCCCTTGTCTTTGGTTTGAATAACATTCAAAGGATCTAAATCAGGTACATATAATCTTGGTTTAAATAATTCTTCAGCATTCATAATTGATTTAGATTTTGGATTAAATAATTGATTTCCAACTTGTTTCAAATGTTCAAAAGTTTTGATTTGTTTGTTAATCAAATCTTCAGAACTAGTTTCACCTGCATCGGCTTGAACTAAAGATAATCTATTCTTTGCATTTTCCAATTCAATATCAGCAACAGCAGTGACAACATCAAGTGGCTTATCAGCATCCCAAGGACCATTATATTGGTCAACTTTACTCTTGGATAACTTGTTCTTGTTCTTAGTGAATGGCCTTTCTACACTGCTACCAATCCTCCACCTATTCTTTAACAATGGATTTTCTTCTCCATCATATGGTAATTCACTCTGTAACTTAACATCAACATCATTACGGAAATATAAGGAACCAGACTTATTGAAAGTGATTGATAATAATTTATCTTGAAATTCAGAAATTGGTTCAATAACCGATTTCAATTTACTAGTAGTTTCTTCTGAATCTGGAGCCAATGGGACCCATTTCTTCATTAACAATTCTCCATCTATAAATTCTTCCAAAATGAAAGGAGCTTGTAATGAATTTAATTTAGAATCTCCATAAGCTAAAACTTTTGGAACATTTAAACCTAATTTCAATCTAAGAAAATCCATAGTAGCCACTTCACTCTTGATTTTTTGAGAAATAGCATAATCTGAATCTAACTTATATGGAATTCTCAATACTAGTTCTTTACCAGTACTTAAAGTGATCTTATAAATACGATGATGTTTACCTTCATGAATACTAGCAATAGATTTAATTAACAATTTAGAAGTACCTTCACCTAAACTACCAATTACATCCTTACCTAAATTGTTAGATAAAATATATGTCCCATCTTTTAATTGTTGAGGTTGTTTAAGTAATGGTTCACCACTGGTATCGATATTTTCTTTCGCATTTCTAGCAATATTCAATTCTTCAATAATTGAACTTATACCTTCAATCGAAAAGAAAGTAACACGTTGGAGTTTCTTTAATTTATCATCCTTTAACCATGAACCCCAAGTGTATTGGAAAAATTGACTTCTATTTGGATCATTGGCATCTGAAAGTTTGGTGAAAACTTCAGTTGGCTTTTCTGATGTAGTTGCAAGGAATCGAATTGATTTGGTTGCAGTCAGGGATTTTAAGAGGGTAGATGTAAGATTTCTTGTCAGTTTGGCACTGACTAATGCGTTTCTGGAGATTCTTGAGAGCATTGTAGCTGTTGGGGATTTACACGGGTATCTAATAAAGAATGATGAAGACCCCATTTTTTTTAAAGAAATTTTTCACCTCGTTGGCTCGGCCGTCGTAGAAATGATTGCTGCGAATCTTGAAACAAAATTTTGCCGGGGAAATTGAAATTTTATTGCGAGAGTAATTTCCACCAGCCCTGCCAAAGGAAAGAAGGAAATCACATAATTAGTGAAAGATATGGAGAGCTTTAGTTTAAGCATTAAATTGCTTTATTTAAATATCTTTTAAGCTTGCTTTGATTCAATTCCCCACTTCCTTGCATAGAAGTACTTCATCTTTTCACTGTGGCATTAGAACTACGGGGTCGGGTTTTACCACGGACTTTCTGATCATTTAAGACAAGCTGTTCAGTAACGTTGACAATGAAAAGACTATCAACAGTAAGGGAAATGTGTCGTTTTACCAGCTTTTAATTTTTTCGTTTATAGTCCAAATTAACTGTGAAGCCAAAAAATGGCATGTTGCAGCCACTCGCACTAAAAAATATCTTGGTAAAATGTCAATCATGCAACAATTCATGCCCAAAGACTAATATTAAAGAAATAATAGATGTGTGATAAATCAAGTGTCAAAGTTTGTTGAGAGGTTCTCTATATCCTAAAGTAAACATTATGAATTTATTAATTTCGCACGGATGCATTTATGTAAATTAAATTAATAAGAATGTCTTTGTTTCTACTTACTTAGGTTCACTCTCACTGCTCATATCTTCTTTATGCTCGGCTTGATCTCGGTGAAGCGGATGCTTAACGTGATGCTTTAAATGTTTTCGGATTTTAGACTGACTAGTATCAATATCAATATCCGCAGAAGAAGACATGATTTCATCTCCACTACTGGTACCAGGTTCTTCTAATGAAATCTCATTGATTTCCTTCGCCAATCTGGATTTGGCAATGCTTTGTAATTGTTGTGTATGTATCATATTGGCAATAATATTACTTGAATAAGCAGTTGGTCCATGCCTATGAAGTCTTCTTCCTTCAATCCCATCCTTGGTTGCAGTAGTCGAAAGGCAAGATGTTGTTGAATTCCGAGATAGCGGTCTTGAAGGAGTATCTATTGCCAAATACTCGGGGCCTAGCAGTTCACTTGCAGTTTCACTTATTATATTCTGTTGATAATCTGACTCGGTAGATACCAAGGACAAATTAGTCCCATTAGTATCATTCAATTTAATTCGTTGATTATCGAATGCTTCTAAGTTCTTGGATGTGACACTGTAATTTGAGTCTTTTGATGATATGTCATCTACGTATTCATACCCTGTATATCTCTCTTCTCCTTGGTTGTCACCGTCATCCTCAATATCGCTACCATTCCCAGTCGAATCTTCACCTTCCATGTAGAAATCGTCCGGCGAATCCAAGTTTATTTTCCCACTGAAAATTGATTTAACACTAGCGGCTGGGTGTGACATTTTGAATATTCTGTATAAGTTTACTCCGTATAACTTCAAGAACTACTTAAAAATGTATAATTATAACTTCTTTATAAAAAAGTATACTTTGAAATAAACAAAACTTGATTTTAAAGTTTATGGAGAATTCCAATTAAATCAGTTCAAAGAGACTTTAAAACTTACAAATTCAACAGGGAGTTGGTTAGTTGGTTATATGCAGTATATAATAATTGCTTTCGTCATCCCATTTTTTTATTATCGTCACTCAAATTATTTTTCTCCACAATAATTATTAAAAAATAAAATCTTAAATTCGCTATACAAAAAGTATTTTTATATCCTGTATACAACACTAAATAGAATGTTCTCTTGCATGGAAGAAGATGCTCCGTTTAAGAAGTTGTTGTTTGTAAGAATTCATTCTCAAATGAAATATCAACTGAATGAACATTTAATATTTCATGATATGAACTACTAGCACCTAAGAGCTCACGGGACAAGTTATCCATATCTGTATTACCACTGCTAGTTAAAGTAATTTCTAACAATTTATTCTCAATTTGTTTAAATACTTCAGCACATTTCTTAGCCACAATCCAATCACTACCAAAAGCTTGTAAGATTTCTATACAATAACAAATCTCAGTTTTTGATTCAACTAAATCAATTGTCCATTTACAGAGACAATAAAGCATGGTAGTACAAACCATGAGGAATCGATACAAGGTTGTCCAATTTAAAGGAAGGAGTTTTGCAATGTATAACTTATAGGTAGATGCTAATGTTTCAAGACAGGAATTCCCGAGAATTTCAAGCATACTAGGAGAAGGCGTAGGATTCAAATATGATGGGCGATATAGCAAGATTAACAAATGATGGTATCTTGCACTATACCATGGAATCAGTGAATGGAATGAAACCCTCGATGTAGGAGTATTGATTGATCCTGCTTCCGTATACCATTCATCAATTTCAGTTCTGAGCTCGGATAAGACTTCGTCTCGGTACACTTCTTTGGGTTTGTTCTTGATACATATGTGCTTATGAGTACTCACCGAGTGGACTCGACGGAGAATTTGACCTTCGATTCTTCTTAAACCTAATAGGAGATGGTTTATATCTATGTCTTCATGATCGTCGTCTAATAACACTGGCAATGGAGTGTTTATGTCATCGTCACTAATCGCAACTGGTCGACCTAGCGACACACAAGTTAATCTGTCAAGCATATAGACACTCCAGAATAAACGGGATCTAAATTCGACTTGTCTAGGAGTCAAATTTTTTGCCTCAAGTTCTGAGATCGCTTTATTTAAACCAAGATGGATTGCAAGTCTAGTGACTTTACCCATTATTTCCCAAGCAGTGAATTCAGATGGATCAAAAAATGAATATAATCCTAAAAGAACTAGATATTTAACATTCTTAAGATCATTACTCGATAGATTATTATGAACATGATTCAAGGCTTTACTAACGAAAAACTCAGAAATCTTCTTCTCTCTATTAATAACCCCGGATCTTTCTAATCCTGTACTTCCAATGGCGAGTACTATGTACAACTCGAATTTATCATCAAAATCATCTAGATCAACTTTATCATTTTCAAATAATTTGTTAAACTGATTAAGGAACTGACGTTTGTTTATCACAGGACACGCTCTATAATTATGAAGGAAGAAAGCGTTAATAATTAAAGATAACAATTCTTTATCGATAATCGGAGGGATAATACTAACATTAGAATTTGTGTTTATCCCAACTGCACTTATCAAAATCTTGGAAATTTGTTTGGGATAAGAATGAAAATCTGGAGCTCGAGCATCAATAGGATTTAATACCGTACTACTTTGAACGACGGGGGAGTTTAATGGAACCTGACTCTCAGATTTTAAGTTGTTTTGGACAAACGTATATTCTTGAATGCCAACAGTCTCTAATGAACGAGAGATTGATCTAGTTCCAGACATTGAGGATGATGATGCTTCCTCAACTTCTTCAGAACCCTTCTTAGATTTTCTTTTCTTTCTTGGAACATAAGTACATGACTCTCCAGCTTTATCACAATTAAGGCACTCAGGTGTGTTCTTGCTACACTTTTTCTTTAATTTTCTACATCTTACACAACTTGTCAACTTATCAAAATCAATTTGTGGCGTAGTAGAACGCGAAATGCTTGGCTTCTTAATACGGAATTTCGTTACCAAATTTTCTGATCCTTCTACTGTTGATGGCATGGTTATTATCGACGATATATCGCTCGTGATGCTGTGTGTTGATTCTGCAGACATTGTTAGTCGTTGTTGTGTGTTAGAAAAAGGGGGAAAGTGTACTGTGGATTTTTACTCATTGAAAATTTTGGAGCCACACCAAAAAATTTACTGTGGATTGCGATTGTCAGATAAGAATAATGTTGCGCAATGATTCAAGATAGGGTATATCTCGATCCTCAGAGGATATGACAATTTCACAACCGCTTTACAATAGGATAGCCATCATTGGTGGAGGTCCTCTGGGTCTTGCAGTTGCAAAAGCCTTGGCTCTAGAAACTGTGAAATTTGACTGTGTAGATGTATTCGAGAGGAGGGACAACATAGGTGGAGTATGGTATCATGGAGGCAATAAAGCTCTAACTCGACCAACCATACCTTCTACAAGTCCAGTTGACGAAGAAATAGTATCAACGGAAGCTACTGTTTACGATCGGTTCTTTTCTCCTATTTATGAGCATATGGAGACCAATATAACATCGAAGATAATGGAATATAATGGAATTGAATTTCCTTCCAATGTGCCGAAATACCCTACACGAGAACAAGTAGAGTATTATATCCAAAAATATGCAACTACTATTCCAGATGAAGTGAATATCCGTTTGAATGCTGATGTCCAAAGGGTTGAGAAGATTGGAGATACGTGGGTGGTCCAAATAGAAGACACCATATCCCATATTATTCAAGAAATAAAGTATGATGCGATAGTTGTTGCGAATGGACATTTTAATGTGCCATATATCCCTGATGTCCCAGGATTAAAAGAATGGAATGGAGTCCTTCCAGGAAGTATTCTTCATTCAAAATACTACGAAAGTCCCAAGCAATATCGAAAGAAACGTGTTCTTGTCGTTGGAAACTCAGCAAGTGGTGTAGATATATCTACTCAGCTAAGTGCTTATGCAGAGGTATTTGTTTCAGTGAAAGATTTAGATAAAATTCAGTTGAGAAATGATCTCATTAAATATATTGGATTGATTGAAAAATATGACCATGTCAATCGATCAGCTTCGATGAATGACGAGATGATCACCGATATAGATGTGGTGATCTTTTGTACTGGATATCTTTACACATTTCCGTTTTTGAAATCTATCAACCTAATTACTGATGGGTTTCAAGTAAATAATTTGTACAAACAAATGTTTTACATAGACGATCCTTCTATTTCTTTCGTTGCCCTCTTACGAAACGTCGTACCAATGCCTATTTCAGAATCTCAAGGTGCCGTCATTGCAAGAGTCTATAGCGGAAGACTTGTCTTACCATCAAAACACGACATGAAACAGGATTACTACAGCGAGTTGGCACTTAAAGGTTCCGGTCTGGATTTCCACAATTTCGCATTTCCAAAGGATGTTAACTATTGTCATCATTTACAACAGATTATTGATGATAATAATCTAACACAACCAGGATTATTGGCTCCTGTTTGGGATGACGAACGAACATATCATAGACTGCAGACTAAAGTAGAGAAGTCAAAGAGGTTGGAAAAGTTAGTACAGCATGTTCAACGTTTAAGAGAAACTGGAGAGGAATTTTCTCTCCCTGATTATTGAGTTTAGTTTTTATATTTATAAATAGAGCACTTTTTTTTTGCAACCATTTGTTGCCAAATTTTTGTATCACTTATCTTCTTCTTCTCTCTAACAAACAATACAATGCAAGGCCAATCATATAAACAAGAAATCTCGGTGCAAAAGTCGCAAGAGTTAGTTCAAGAGTTAGTAAGTGTATCATTGTATTGCATCACTTTTTTACGAAATATCTTCGAAGATGAAAACTATTTGGATAGCAAGTGCTATGCAGATGATGCAAAACAACATTCAGTTACTGATAAGAATTATATAAGAACAAAGAAATTAATTAAAGGAGTTAGTCAACAAGGTGATGTCTTTGTCAATTGTGTTGAGACGGGAATTAAAGCCACGATTGAATTAGAATATCTAAAGGCAATCCAGTTTTCAATTCATCTTTCTGAAAGTTCACCTCAGAACATTGTCGAGAGCTATGTGTTTGTTATAGACTACTTAAACCAGAAGGTTTCTATTCTGTTGAACAACTTGCATGAACTTACTGTTGATACTGCTGAGGTCATGAAACAAATTCAGAGTTTGATTAAAAGGTTGATTGTGTTAACGCAATCTTTGGATCCTTTGCCCGATGAAAAATATATCTCAATTCGATTGATGTTCAATGATAAGTGTCCATCTGATTATCAACCTCCATACTTTCAAGATTGCACTAATTCTGATCCTGCTGTAATTCAAGTGGAAAAAAAGGCTGATAATGATGATTCAAGGTTCGAAATTGGTTTCGTTAACACAGGTAAAAATAAGGTTAAATTGAACGTTCTTTGTGCGCCTTCAGATACTTCAGTTCCAACCACAACTCTTGATCCATTTGATATTGTTGATGGTATCGGTACTGATGTAGAGGATCTCCCATCTTGTTCATTACATTTGGATGACTTTTTTGAAACAGAAGAAGTGGTTCCCCATACACAAGTGATCCCAAAGCCTAGAATCCAAGAAATTGAAATTCAAAGCTGTAAGAAATGCAAAGCTAAAATTAATTTAATTGAACATGGTGACCATACGAATATCAAAAACAGGAAAGCTATCTGTATGAGGTGCATGTTTCCAGAAATGGATCCAGATATGTTAGTTCTTATAAAAGTTAGGTTGCTTTGGAATCATTTGCTTAACAATGATTTTGGCACCTTTGGAACTTTGTTGAATGCTATGGATGTGAAAATTAATGAAGAAGAACTAATTGCAAAAATTTTCAGTAGACTATTTTGTGATCACGCACTAATTATTACCAACAGAGGTATTTTCAGTTCCGCTCATGGAGATTACTCCAGAGGATCAGGTGAATTTACTCCTTTGGTGTCCGGAATGATCGACAATAGTGGAACTGAGTTAGAAATTGGAAGACAATACTTCATCATGTTTGTTCCCAAGCTAAAAGGCGCATTCAACTTTATGAGTTATGATAACTCGGTAGATCAAATTTACTTTCCTAACTTTATGGTGGCAAGAGTCGACATGTATCGGAAAAATCTCAAGAAGTTCAAAGCATTAAAACAACCATCTTTGCTTGAACCGGTTAAGAGCAATTCCGCAGGTCTGCTGGTTTCCAACATTTCGTACCCAGGCAGAGATCAGTTCAGTGACGCGGCCGAGACGACTAATAGCTTAGCTGATCTTTCCTTTGAAGACTCTTTGGTGTTCTTATCGCAGCAAAAGGATCAATTCGCTATCCCAACCACAAGGAAACCAGATCATCAATTGCAGACCTTAGAATTGAAAAAGCGCAAAATAAGCATAAATAAGATCTGATGATCCGTATTTTACATGTAGGGTGGCTTAAAATTTCGCTAGTAATTTTTCAGACTCCGAGGAAAAAAATAAAATCGAAACACGTCGTATCGTGCAATACAGAAATGGAATCGTCTGATTATGTGGGAAGACGCTTTAACTAATATCATGTCATCTATTTCCGTAAGTCGCTTGACACTGACTAAAAAATTTATGAAACAATGGCGGATCTCATCTTGCGCATACAATTCTAGTACTTTTTTTAATTTGTTTAATACTGTAGGAGAAATGTGTAGTTTAAGTCCTCAACCGTCAACACCAAGAAGTTGCACGTTTTTGAAATGTCATTGCCAAGAGTATCATAACGCATCTATTCCTTATTCTAGCCACTGAGTCTCTCTTTTGTGGCATGCGCTTTCTTGTAGGTCATTAGGTCTTTGGGGGTCATCAGATTTCGGAAATTAAAAGAATGGTGAGAAGAAAAAAAAAGTTTTCCAATGATTTCTCGTAATTGCATTCTATTGCGGAATTACTAAAATCACAAAGAAAAAAAAAATTACAGAAAAAATTCTTCAATGATTTAATGGACCATACAGCCACCTCCACTAATTAACATTTTCAATACTTTTGTGGGAAAGCAAAGTTAAAATGAGTAAAATAAAAACACGGAATACAACAAGAAGACGACATACAAACTCAAAGTTGGGATGCCAGAATTGTAAGAGGAAGAAAATAAGATGTGACGAACAGCTTCCCCAATGTGGCAACTGTATTCGAGGTAAAAGAGATACATGTTCATATTTAAATTTAAGCCCAGCGGAAATAGAGAAGATAAGGTTAACCCATTCATTAAGAGATAGTCAGAATAAATTATTGAATCAGAATTATAGGTTACCTACTTCAACTACAAAGGGTCAAACTTCACAGAATTATAAATTGTCTGATACTATTCTAGAAATTAAGTTTGAATTGGCAGATTTACCTATAAGGATCCCATCGATACCTTATCCACCATTACAATTTAATAACCTTTCTGTTGATGACTTTTCCGACGAGTTTCATGTGATAACAGAAAGCGAATGTGCCTCTTCCACGAAATCAACTCCTTTTCAGCCAAAGAAATGCAACAAATTACCAAATGCTATAGAGCAGGTACATGTCTTCCATCCGCTTCGAAATATATTTTGCAAGAAGATAAACGTTGAACCCCATTCTGGGGCAGAGTTGACGTATCATGGAGTAAGTGGGAAAGTATCAATTTTTGATTTCTTGTGTAACTGCTTAATGCGTTTACCAGCCAGGGTGGATGAAAATGATTATATACTTATCCAAGCTTATCTATGTCTTGGTGAGGCAGTATTGCTAAATACATTCCATCAAAGAATGAAGTATTCCAAGTCCAGTGATAACCTGTTTGTGAGTTTTTTAGACAAGAATTGGCTAGAAAGACATGGCCATTGTCAGCGAAATCTCAGATCTGCACTTGCTGATTTTGATAAAATTAGTATGTCATTAAGTCCGCAACGTATGGCTCACCTTGGGGAGATTTATTCCTTTTCTAGTTATCTATTGAGTTTTGCTATTTTAATGATGAAGTTTGGTGCGCAAAGTTATTTCAATTCATCCAAAGGAGTATGCGCATGTTTTGATGTGTATTCAAGATATATAATACGTAATAACTTGCGACCCATATCAATTGTTGGATTCTTGTTAAATAATTTACAGACCAATCTTGTTTCAATTAGTCTCCCTTCATACAATCCACAATTTTTATTTGAAATAGAGTCGAATTTAAGAAGTTTGGAATTTATATTTGCTAGTCCACTTACCTTTGGAAAAGATTCGATAGATGAAAGATTTAGAAAGATAGAATTTGAATATAAAAGTTTAATGAAGTTCTTTTCTGACGTTTTATTGCCAATTATATTTCTGTCAAGAAATGAAAATGTCGTTTGTTCATATCCCCCATTGGTTATATATGAGGTCTTTAGGCAATGGCATACAATAATCCCTTCTGAAGCAATGGCATATAAACCTAAATGGGATAGTGATTATCCCAAAGAATCTTCATTTTTGAATGATTTATCAACCACACTTTATATGTATTATTATGCAATGGCAGCTGCATTGGATGCTGTGTTCCCAGCGTGCAAATATTTATACAGTATGAGTTTTATGTTTCCTACAAATAAATTCTTCATTAATAGAAGTGTCATGACAATTAATAAACAGAACCTGTATATGCAAAGGTTGTACAAGTATAGAATTGATGAAACTGTGCAGAGACATATTTATTACGCCTCAAGAGTATTTGCATTTTTCAGGAGGAGATTTGTATTTTATCACAACAATATAATCTGGTCAAACCCATACAATGAATCTCTTGTGCAAAACAGGTTTCAATCAAGAGTTATAGCCACCGACTTGGAAGTACCAATTAAAAGCTTTAATACTACCTTAATTAGACCAGAGCATTATCCAACTAAGAATGATAGTAATCCTAATAACGTGAACAATCTTGAGTTCATTCGAGAAGATGATACAATGACGAAGAAATTATATGCAAGGAATATCGAAACGCTTTCATTCTTTGATGAATCGTCAATCTTACAATATGATTTTGAAACGATGCTATTATTACGTGATTATAGACCGTTAGATGTATTTCCTAGAAAGCGTAGAGCGTTGGAAGTAGAAGACATAACTCAATATTATGAGGATAGGTTCTTTATACTAAGTACCATAACCTAGAATAGCTTTTTAGTATAAAGTAAATAGATAAATAATATTTTGAAAGTGAATTCCTATTGTGCATAGACTATACCTTCTTCTAACTATATTTAACTGTCTCCGTAAAATTAATCGGTATTCACCTGTGTAACCCTGGTTTGATCCGACAGTAACTAACGACACATAATATCAACGCGTGTGTGATACTGAAGTCGATATTTTATTGCCAAAGAATTGATGATGTTGGTAATGGCTGCAATATAAGATTTTGGTTTTGTGTAACAAGTGCAGGGCCAGAAAAAACTACAAATCTTGACATCTTGAGAAGAGCAAAAACACTTACAACACACTATTTAAAAACATTTATAAATTAGTAATTCCAAGATGTCGCATAGTTTAATATTACCGGGTGATAAACTCCCTATCGAAGATGTAGAAAGTATAAAGACTGTTATAGGTCCTGGAATCTATAAGAAGCCAACTTCAAATACACTCATTGCATCAACTGCTGGAATCATTTCAGTTGAACAAAACAAAAATCATACCAATCAATTAGTTTATATAGAATCAAACTCAAAGAGATATATACCCCATACTAATGATTTTGTAATCGGTATAGTTACAGGTGTATTGGGAGAATCATATAAAGTTCAATTACAAGATTTTTCTTCAGCTGTCTTACTTCCATTTATGGCATTTCCAAATGCAACTAAAAAGAATCGTCCAAATTTAAAAAATGGTCAAGCAGTATATGCTAGAGTAACTCAAGATATTCCTGAAATTGAAGCAGAATTAGAATGTATTGATCCAACTACTGGTAAAGAAGGTGGGTTTGGATTATTGGATGAATCTGGTTACATATTTGATGTGAATTTGAATTTTGCTCGTGAATTGTTATTTAATCCAAACACTATATTCTTAGAAATGTTGGCTACAAAATGTAAGTTTGAGATAGCGATAGGTATAAATGGTAAGATTTGGATCAAATGTGGTGAAGGTTTGAAGATAAAGGATGAGAATAGTATGGAAGAAGATAATGACGATAATACTTCACATACACCTGTGAGTAGCATCAAAGATTTACGTGCAACTTTATCCGCAGCAAGATTTTTGACAAGATGTCAATCTATAACACAAGATAAACTTAAATCAGAATTAAATGAAGCTTTTAAAGGTATATAGAAAAGGTATAAATTATCATGTATAGTAGTAGTAGTAATATTAGTATAAGAGTGAAAAAAAAAAATTCTTGTAGTATCAAGATCATCGCCAATCTCATCGCAAAGATGTTAGAGAATGAAAAGATCCAGAAGCTCGATGCTAACCAATTAGCAAGACAGCGTAAGAAGATAGAAAAGGATAGAAGAAAGAAGGTATATGATGATCAACAAGTTCAAGGAACAAACAACTCTTCAATCGTTTCGAAGAGAAGTGTTGAGATGTTGTATCTTACCAAACTTCAACCAGAACTAGGTGAATGGTTTAAACATTTTGTCAAAAAGGGAAAGAGAAGATCCCCTGCTATTAACCGAGGATATTGGATTAGAATGGAAACTATTATGCAAATGGTTGTTAGAATCATGAAATTAAACCCGAGTGGGAAAATTCATGTTGTTAATTTAGGTTGTGGATTTGATCCATTACCATTTCAATTATTATCGTTATATCCCGATTATGATTTAAATTTTATAGACATTGACTATCCTGATTTGATCCAAAATAAGTATGATATGATTCAACAAGCTGACGAGATTAAAGGAGTTATTGGTACCCAACTGGAATCTACTTTATGTAAAATCTCAACCAATAATTATAAACTCGTAGGATGTGACTTGAAGAATTTGAAATTATATGAAGAAATACTTCCTCAATTAGTTGAAGGCGATTCCTCAATCAAAATCTTTATTGCCGAAGTTTCATTAGCATATATGAAACCAGAATTTGCCAATCCAGTAATTGAAATATCAAGTAAAGTTTCCAACAGTCATTTCTTAATCTTGGAACAAATAATGCCAGATTCTCTGGATAATGCATTTGCAACTAAAATGTTATATCACTTCAATCATTTAAGAAGTCCAATTCAATGTGTTGAACATTATTCTACAAAAGCTGCCCAATTACAACGATTCAAACAATATTATCCAAATGCTGAAATTAAGAATTTGTTTGAAAATTGGTTATACTTAATAGATGAAGAATCTAAAAGAAAGGTATTCGAAATTGAGGAATTTGACGAATGGGAAGAATTCATAATTTTCTGTCAACATTATGTAGTTGTTCATGCTACCAATTCTGATCAAATGATTTATGAATGTGAAAATGGTGAAATTGAGTCCCAAGAATATCCAACCGATGAATCAGTTTCTATGTCATTAGATGATAGATTTGATAACGAGCAATTGGAACTTAAATTTCCGGCTGTGGCAGCAAGTGGTGACAATATCTATATCAACGGTGGGTTAAAGCAAACAAGAACTAATGAAACTCTTGCATTGGATATTAAAAATGGTACCTTATTGAATGTAGCACAAGATGAGAATGCTCCTCCACCTAGAATGTGTCATACATTGACTACTATGGGGGACAAGATGATATTGATGGGAGGGAGATCTAGACCAGGGTATTCTTTCCAAGATGTTTATAAATTCCAGGATAATGCTTGGGAAAAGATCAGTGACCTTGAATTGAAGCGTGCTAGGCATTCTGCTGTTCAGCTAAATGAAAGACAGATATTAGTTTTCGGTGGATTGGAATCTGGTACCAATTCTGATAATTCATTCATGATATATGACGTTGAATCTGGCGAGAACAAACATGTGAAATTAAAAGGAGATAATCCCGGGAATTTGGCAAGTTCTTCAATTATATATAATGGAGAATACGGTTTAATTTCAGGAGGTATAATTGATCATTTTGTCCCAGTAGTGAATGATAAACTATATAAATTTACAATTGAAGGTGATGTTATCAATATAAAAGAAGTGTTTCAACATCCGTTGTTGTCTAGGATTGGAAGTCAGATACGCTTCCTTGACCTGAATAAACTTCTTGTTGTGGGAGGAATATCACCGTTGCAAATTCTCACCCGTAGAACCAATATAATGACTTTAGATTTGACAAACTTCACCTGGAAGAGTTTTGAAATTCCTCAAGATATCAGAAGTCAACATCCTCCAATATTTATTGGATTTGGATTGGTTGAAGAGAAAAGAAATGATGGGAAACAATCATTTGTAATTGTAGGTGGTGGTGCAGTATGTTATTCATTTGGAAGTTGTTTTAATACAGTATATAGATTGGATATTTTATAGATTTAAAATCAACCATTCCCCAATTTGTAAAAATACCTTTATAAACTAAAGCAACTTAACTATGTAAGAAATTATTGGTGCTGCCATTTGAAGGATTAGTTGCCAAAAAACACTAATAAAAATCTGAAAGTGCTGCAAAAAAATTCTAATTCATTCTGTAACTTTATACAAAGTTGACTACCAACTTATTACTCCTAGTTTAAATGGAGCTAACTCTATATATATGACTAAACGTGTCCAATCCAACTGGTTGCTGTTTTTTTATCCATTATAGACTCATAGCTTGCTGTACTAACATCAATAACTCCCTGCTTCCAATGCTTAATCTAAACTATCAAGTCCCATAACATCCATCATTCTGGTTAATGCCACCTTGATCTTAGCTATACATCTCCGAATGATAAATCACAAGATCGTTCTATTGGAATGTTGTTGTCTCGTCTTGACAAGATCTTAGAGGGTTGTTGGTGGGGTTCTGTGGTTGCAAACTTGAGTACGGCTTTCCTGAGCCAAGAATTGTGATAAGAAAAACTAATACTCTGGTCACTTTAGGCAAACACCATCATCAGTTTAACCACGGGCAATGATTAAAATTTCGTTAAAAAGTTAGAACAATCGGATAAAACCACTTACTTTTCATGCATTGCAGATGATGGTGGCTGCAAATTGAATGATGATTTCGTGAGTCATTTATCTGCATCAAGGCTAATTAAAGAGGTGAAGTTTCAATCCGCTACGTCCGCGGATGTTCTGAATCCCTTTTCCCATATCTATTTCAAGATCCAAGTTACGGACACTGGTTATGGTTATGAGTATTTCCCCCCTGAGTTTAATTATACAAATTTGGTAGATAATACGACCAAGCAAGAAGTTGGAATTTATCAGAAAAAAAAGTTTCTTTCAGAGATCATTATTAGGAAAAGAAATTTTATTTTTAGAGAAAACTAGGCTGGCTTAGAGTCATCGAATCAAAGACAATTAATGCTGGCTCGGCTCGTGTTCAACCCGATAATATGATGCAATCACACAGGAATAAGTCATCATGGTAATAGTAATAACTGACTAACTTGAAATCCAACTAAAAATAAAGCTATCGTATAACCACCTATCTCGCCTCGGTACAAATAATCTTGTTTCGGCCCGCCCCTCCACCCTTCCAAGCAAAAGAGACAAAGAGTGAGGAAAAAAATCATGTCATAAAATGCACTAGCTCATCGACTCATGCTATGTTTGGCTTAGAGAATTTAGTCAAACGCGGGATGAAGTCATGCTTTCCGATGAGATCAATTAAATTATCCCCGGAAAAGCTGACACAATTGGCTAATAATAGCAAACAAACTTGAAAATCGTAAGCAATTAAATACTATCATCTTATTAACAACAGAGGGATGTGTGTAGTCCATGAAGTATTTTAAATGTGGACATAAAACGTTTTTTAAACTTTTTGTATTGCATAAAATGGGGGCTGGAGAGAGTAGGACGGGGGGGGGGGGATTTTTTAAACTGGTTAAAATTTTAAAAAAGTTTAAGCTTTTTTTCAGACGTGTTGCTTTTCTTTTTCGGAAGGCTGACTGTATCAAAAATAAGTTTTGAATGATTAAGGAGGCCATTCACCTTATCCTTTTTAAATAATTAAACTATCCCGTGTTAAAATCCTTGGTTTCAATTTTTGACTTTGCTTTACATTTTATTTAATAATTTGGCTGCTTTTAATTAATTAATAACAAACTCCACAAATATCCCCCATCCCCCCTTTATACCTTTTTACTTTGTTAATTAATATTTTTTTGCCAGGAACAAAAATACAAAGAAAAAAAATGCAATCAGATTTTGTATTGAGAGAAGAATTTATTTTATTATTATAGAAGATATTCTGAAAAACTAAAAGGAAGATACTAAAATAATTAATTAAATTACCACATTTCAGTTTAAACACATTTAAAAAAAAATTGAACTTTAAATCTTTTTACATCCTTTTTTATATTTCTAGAGGGTTTTTTTTAATTCATTAACGAATTATCCAATTTTTCCTTTAGGCATATAAACCAAATTGAATTAGCTTGAATTCTTTAGTGGGTTTTTCAATCAAAGAGTGTGGTGTATAGATAAGTTTTTAGAAATATCCCTTTCCCCCCTCCAAAAAATCCCTTAAGAAAATAAATTAATGGTGAGATGAACGATTCATATCCCGCATTGTGTCCTAAACAAAAGGAGTTCCCACTGCAGGCATCAAGACCTCATCCTAGCATACAGATAGACCCTAGTATAACATCAACATCTCCATTTGAGTCAACTGCATCCTCAGCTACATTAAATAGCTCAGACACTACTGGCACTTCTACCCTTCCACTACCCTCCCCCTCCCCTATATCCCCCCACCACCAAAGACGACATTCCGTGACATATGAGCCACCACCACCACATTCTACACATCCAACCCTACCTACAATCCCAGATACCACCAAGAGCTCAGTCTCTCATTCAGTTTCCTATGATAATCTACGTGAGTTGCCGTTATCGATGAGGTTTATTCATAAACCAAGTAGGTCCCAAGAATTGTATATTAAGGCTAGTGATCCAACTAAGGCCAATAGTCTATTGAATGCTCAATTAACTTCACCGGTCAATCTTAATAAAGAAGCAGATATTGACCCCGTAAGAAATAATAGTATTGATACCAATAGTGATGTATTAATGTCTTCTTCTTCATCGTCGTTGAATTCCCCTCAAATTAGTTCAACCAACTATTCAAATGGTAACTATAAATTGGTTCGTAAGAAATCTGGAGAGCTTTTGAAACCCTCATTAAAGGGTGGAATAGTTGGCTATTTTGATAAGAAAAGATCCCTTTCGTTACCGGCAACTCCCACTTATAAACAAGTTCATTTTGGAAGTGCAAATGACATCCGATATTTCAAAAAGAAAGACAAACCAGCAGCAATATCTGCTACCAATTCACCTACTTTGGAAGGTGCTGAACCGGATGAGTCAGACGAATATAGTGTAGAAGAGGAAGATTCGGAGAATGAAGATATGGAATATCATAATTTCTATTTAGATAATAAAGGAGATACAAAATATCCAGGAAGAGCGGCCATGTCAGAATCCAATTCAGTATCTACTAGCAACAAGTTGTCACGACATGTTGAATGGGAGTTAAAATTACTTAATTTCCCACCATTATCTTATTTACGTAAAATTGAAGCTGAAACCCCAGTATTTTTAGAAAAATTATTCTTATCAGTAGATAAGAGACATTTATTAGGATATATTGCTGTTAAAAATCTATCGTTTGAAAAATATTTGACTGTTCGGTATTCATTAGATCTGTGGAATACAATAATTGAAATCCCAACTGCATATATACCTGATCGACCAGAAGTACTTAAACTTAATGATTATGATCGTTTCACTTTCAAAATCCCATTGAATAGTTTGTTTAATAGTTTTAGGATCTCCAAAGATTCAGCTGATAGTTCAGATGATGAACGAATAGTTGAATATCATAAATTGGGTAGTCAAGAAAAAACTTATGAAATGTGTATTAAATATTATGCCAATAGTGCTGAATTTTGGGATAATAATGAATTTAAGAATTATCAAATTAAATTAATTAAGACTACTAAAGGTGGCGAACCTCCGGCTGTTGGGAAAATATTGGAACATACTACCAAACCAAAATATTCAAATGCATATCTTAAGAGAGTTCAATCCGATTCACAAATTGAATTACATAAGAATGAAATAATTCAAAGAATTGAACAAGAAAATGAACTTCATAATCACCATGGCCAACAACAACAACAAGAAGAAGAAGAAGAAGAAGACGAAGATGAAGATGAAGAAATGCTTGATGTTGAAGATGAACAAACGGAAGGTACTTTGGTAAAACAAGAAGAAGGAGTTTCGCAAGAAGAAGCAAATCGAGAACGTGATCGTGATGCATTATTTTTAAATGATAATTCTTCAGATTTGAATGATTTTGTTAAAAACAATTATTATTTATCATCCCCGTTATTATCTTCATTACATAAGAATCCGGACATATCTGAAGCATACATCAAGAATACCAATGATGATGCTGCCAAAATCATTTCTCCATCGCCTCAACCAACTATTCCATCCAATAATTATAAAGCAAAATTCCAATCCCAATTATCGGGAACCAGGCCATTAGATACAACAGATTTCAATAAGACTGGATTTCATTTAATTGATGATAAGATGGAAATCGATGAAGATACTCATAGATCTCCACTTGCTAATAGAAGTAAATTTTTAAATTCAAAATCATATAAAGAATTATTAGATAATTATTGTTTTTTCAGTTCTTCTTCACCAACTGATGATGATCATTCTCCGGATGGGTCATTCAACCGTGGAAGGGCCAAAACTAATACCAAGACTAGTACCAATGGGAATGGTCATGGAAAGAATGGAAGTTCTGGTGAGGGTCGAAAAGAATCATATAATGTTTCTTCATTTTTGGGAACTTGAGGTTTAGAGAGTGAGTGAGATTTTACATTTTTTATTTGTTTATTTATGTGTGTTTGACGGCAATCATGTGTCTTGGATTATATGATAGAGATCTACAAATTTAGAGACATATGAAGAGAGATTGGGGTTGTGTTTTTTGGTAAATGTTTTACAGTATGAGAATTGGTTTATAAGATTTTTTGTTTATGGAAAAGACGATCGCTGGGCGTTGAAATCTTTTCGATTATTTTTGTGGAGATATAAATTTTACAATTATTTCATTAAATGGGTTAATGAATAAATTTAAACGGCCAAAGAAATATATTCTTGAGTTGAGAGATGTTTTCTTTGATAAAATTAAAATATTAATATTTGTGTTGTGTTGTGGTCATTAAATATATGTGATTGATTGGTTGAATGAATTTGAAATGCATATACGATTTTCATACGTACAGTATGTATATAAGAGTCTACTTTTGTATATAATTATGTCTTTTTTTATATACGGTTATAATGTTATATGATAAATCATTGATATTGATAAACTCTCTCTACATGAGCCGTGAAGCAGGTGGAGGCTGAGATGAATGAATGTGTTATTGTAGATTAAACTAGTATTCTTTTGTATTTCCCCATACATTTAAACAATTGAATTGGGAAGTGGATTGCGGAGTAACAAAGCTATAAAACAATTAATAATCAATTTTGACATGATGGGGATACAGCAAGTCTTTGTAACAACTGTGGCTTTTTTATGTTTGTGTTATTTTTTTTGCAACCGATTGTTCTTTCGGTTCAAATTTTTCGGGGTTAATTTGAACCGAATTGCAATCTACGACACACCCCACACGGGTCCATTAAAACAATGGGACAAAAGTTTAAATTTGGGCTGAACTATCTATAACGAAAAGGGTCGTCGGAATCTCTTGCCGGTTGACTCATTTAAATCGTCATAACTTATCAAATTTAACATAATACATCAATTTTAATAAAACAACTATAGAATATACACCCAATTATATAATAATAAAATTATCCCAAAAAAGCAAACAAAGTAATTAACAAACTGTAATAAATAAATAATAATAGAAAGATACACGAAACGGGTCTATTCGAAACTATACATCTTAACAACCCCACTCTCTAACCCAGCAGCAAATTTAGAATCACTTAATCCAACACAACTTACACTAGAATCATTACCAAAAGTATGTAAACATTTCCCATTTTGTAAATCCCATACTTTGATCAATCTATCATGAGCCCCACTTATAATTCTAAATGTATCTGAATTAATTGACCAAACCCCTTCAATATGTCCAAATTGAGTTCTAATACATTTCCCTGTCTTGATATCCCATAATTTGATCGTATTATCCAATGAAGAGGTTAATAAATGAGTAGGACCATTCACGGGTAATTCAGCAGTTGAATTCAAAGTATGATTGGCGGGTGGTTGTTGTTGTAATGGAGGAGGTTGATTATGAGGTAATGGATGTTGATGAGGATGGGAATGGGTTTCAGGTTCACTTTCATCTTCAACTTCATCTTCAACTAATTGTTCTTTATAAGTGAATGGAATTACACATTGAACTTGTCCAATATGACCATTATTTTCTGGACCTCCAAATATCCGTAAACATTCATTAGTTGCCATATCCCACATTCTAATTGTAGTATCATCACTAGCACTAAAGATTGTATTTGAAGGCAGATGTATTTTGACACAATTAACCCAATCAGTGTGGCCTCTTAAAGTATAACAAGTTCTTGAATCAACATGCCATACACGAACGGTATGATCGGCAGAACCGGATACAATTGATTTATTTGAGAAATCAACTGAAACAACTGCATCATCATGACCACGATAGGTGGCTATACATGTACCAGTATGATAATTCCATACTTTTATAGTTGAATCTAATCCACCGGTAATTAATTTTTGATTATCAAATACAAGGGATCTAACACCCTTTGTGTGGCCAGTTAAAGTTTTAAGACATTCTCCAGTATCCACTCTCCAAATTTTGACAGTGGTATCATAGGATCCAGTCATTAAGTATTTTCTATTAAATTGTAGACATGTAACTCCATCAGTATGTCCTACAAATTGTTTGACTGTATATATTCCCTTTCTCCAATTCTTTTCTAATTTGAACCGTTCTGAATAAACTGCTTTCCAAGGACGCTTCCTCACTACTGGTACAACCTTGGTGGTTTTTGGAGATGTCAGTTCTGATTTTATTCTTTTATTTGAATCAGCAGCGGCATCATCATCATCGGCCACTACGGAATATCTTCTCTTTGCTGGTTTTAAATCATCTTCATCATACATTTCTCTTGCCCGTTTCATATGCATTAAAGGTAATCCCCAACCACAATTAGGACATTTTCTATCAATATGTTGTTCACACATATGATGCCATACTCTATCATCATCAGCTAAAGATTTCCATTTTTTAGAAACTTGAGCAGCATTACATAATGAATTACAATCCAAATAACATAATATTTTAAGGGAAATTTCTTGAGGTAATGCAGAAATAAAATCTATTCTAATTAATGAAGATATTTCTTGAGATAAGAAAGATAATTGAGGGAAACAACATTGACTTAATAAACCTTGTAATATTAATTCACGATGATGCATTGGTGCAGCACAAAATATTGACCATACATGACTTATTGCTTCTTGATCTCTTCTTGGAAGTTTTTCCAATTGATTTTGAATATGTTTCATTTTAACTTCATCTGTTAGTTTATTACATGTTACATCTGGATTATGACGATAACAATATTTATGAAAATTATCTCTAGGTATTTGATTTTGATCACTAATATGTTTAACTAAGAATGGTGTTACCACTGATTGTTCTGATGACAGCACTGTTGATTGCGTTTGTGGGTGGTTGTCATTGTTGTTGTTGGTAGTGGAGGTGGTGTATTTGTTGTCTATTGGAGATGGAGATGTCACTTCTGATGATGTAGACATTGTATTGTTAGTGTTGTTGTCTAGACTACTATTCATTTCTTTGGTTGTTTTAAATGGTCTATTATAAAAAGTATGTAATAAAAGCAGCAATTTTTAAATGAAAATTGTGGGCTGGGTGGTTTTATTTATTTATAAATGGAGTTCTTGCCGTGTGTGTCCCCTTTTTTTTTGGCAACAAAGTTTTTAACTGTGGTGGTTGGATGTGGTTGTATTTGCCCGATTAAAAACTGTGGTTTTCCTTAGTGAACTGAATGAGGTGGTGGTTGTAAAAAAAAGCCAAATAAATATTCTGTGGAGTGAAAATGGGAAATGCAAGTGAAAGCAAAAAAGAAGGATCCACAATTTTTTTCTGCTGTAAGTAAAGAAACCCTAAAAATTGAATAAATTGAAATTTGATACTGTGTCGCTTAGATTATTCAATTTTAGAAAACAATAAATAAACAATATGTGTAATCGTGTAACTGAATGAATTTATAAGATAACACACACACACGAAAGTTTTTGCGTCCTTATCTTTGTTTAATGAAATTAGGTTAAACAGGATTATTCTCCTCTTCTTCTTGCCCTTTCTATTATCTTTTTATTTTCGACATCTGAACTCCATGATATATTTATATATGATGTAAGTTGAACAAAAAGAAATTGAGAAGAGCCAAAAAAATTGGTCAATTGCACGTGACCTGCAAGGTGCATCCATTTTCTCATTCCACCTTCTACATTTGCATCTTTGTTGAGAACCCTGATGCTGACTAACTCATTAGTCTCTTGTTTGTGTCTATGTATGAAAAAGACGCAATTATAGGAACATCTTAGCATAATTCTTCCTTCAATTGTTTTTGCATGAACTCGCTTGTCTACACCTTTCTTTACTTAATTGAAAAACTTTACACAAAAAAAATCATTGACTTTTGTTGCCAAATATTCTTGTTTTTTCGCAACCACTATAAACCTTTCATATTCCTTTATATATTTTCTAGAATCTGTCTTTAATCGATTTCATTTTAAACATTAAGCATTGGGATATTGTTTATTACGAAAACTAGTGTGATAATCAAATTAGTCTTCAACACATCTCAAAGAAGTTGAGTGGATAGTTTGATGTACTTAGAAAAAGAATTCTATTATCACTAGGGTTCCAATAAGCTCCACTCCAGTAAAATACATTAAGACTGACAATTACAATAAAAAGAATGACCAGTTACGAATTTAAAAAAGAATGTTTCACCGTTGGTGGATATCTTTAATTGAATTTATAACTAATTAATTACTAACTGATATTGTCACTTGGTAGCACCTTCTAGTTCCTTCTGGAACTTATTAGAACAATTAAATCAAAAGAAAAAGAGATGACTTCAACAGAAAAAAAAAATCCTTACAAATACGCATATAATTTACCGATAAACCATAAAATTATTGCATCAATGGAAGAAGATTCCCATATTGACAAAAAACCAAAATTAGATATGTCCTCGGAAGATAATAAACCAGATATGTTCACCAGTGTTGGTGAACAAGCACAAGGAATTGACAATCAAGTTAGAGACACTGGTGCCCATGACGTCGAAGGACATCCAGTACAAGAAGTTGAATCATTATGTATGAATTGTCATAAGAATGGTACTACTCGTTTATTATTAACTAAGATCCCATATTTCAGAGAAATCATTCTTATGTCATTTGAATGTCCTCATTGTGGTTTCAAGGATAGTGAAATCCAACCAGCTGCTCAAATTGCTGAAAAGGGAGCTAGATATGTTTTTAAAGTTGAAAATAAGAAGGATTTTAATCGTCAAGTAGTTAAATCTGAATCTGCCACGGTTAGATTCGCAGAATTAGATATTGAAATCCCACCTAAAAAGGGACAATTTATTAATATAGAAGGTTTATTACAAGAAATGATTGAAGATTTACAAGGTGATCAACCAGAAAGAAAACAAGTCCAACCAGAATTATATGCAAAAATAGAACAAGTCATCGCCAGAATAAATTCTTATCTTAATGCTGAACCAAATACTTTACCATTAACCGTCAGTGTTGATGATCCAGCTGGGAATTCTTGGATTGAATATTTACCTGAAGAACAAGCATCTCAACATAAATGGGCCATGTATGAATATAATCGTACTGCTGAACAAAATGTATTCTTAGGATTAATTTCAGCTGATGATGTAGCCATACAAAGACAACAAGAATTACAAGAAAAGAAACAAGCTACCGATTCAAATATTTCTTCAATTTTAGATAAAAATCCTCATTCAACTGGATTTATATCTGATGCTACCGAAATTGAAAATTTTGCCAATGAAGTTCAAACTTTTGCAGCAACTTGTTCATCATGTTATAAACCTTGTGAAACCCATATGAAAACAGTCAATATCCCCCATTTCAAAGATGTGATCATCATGTCTACAGTATGTGATCATTGTGGATATAAATCAAATGAAGTTAAAACCGGTGGTGCCATTCCTGAAAAAGGTAGACGTACTACTTTAAAAGTAACTGATCCAGAAGATTTAGCAAGAGATATTTTGAAATCGGAAACTTGTGGATTAAATATTCCTGAATTAAACTTGGATTTAACTCCAGGTACTTTAGGTGGGAGATTTACAACTATTGAAGGGTTATTAACTCAAGTTTTGGAAGAATTAAATGGTCGTGTTTTTAACCAATCTTCTGATTCAATGGATGAAGAAACAAAGACTAGATGGACTACTTTCTTCGCCAGATTACAAGATGCTATTGAAGGTAAGATCCCATTCACTATTGTGATGGAAGATCCTTTAGCTTCTTCATATATTCAAAATGTTTATGCTCCTGATAATGATCCAAATATGATTATTGAAGATTTTGAAAGAACTTTTGAACAAAATGAAGCATTGGGTTTGAATGATATGAAGACTGAGTAGAGATAGGCTAGAGTAAAATTTTATAATATACGATTGGCATTTTCTAGTAACCAATTGTCTCTACGATGTAAAAATCAAAAATGAAATCTCTATAAATTCTTAAATGCTATAAATTTAACAAAAATGTTTCTACTTCTTCTCCCCATCAGTGTAATCTAAAAATGGATCCTTCTCCTCGTCTTGCTTTGATGATCCTGAGGTATTAATCTTTAGATTTGGTCTTGAGTACCGTTTCTTATACATCGGAAGTGGAGTGTTAGGGAAATATTCAGTTCTTTGAGTTCTATACATATCATCAAATATAACCAGCCCAGTTCTTACCGGTTGTTGCAGGAAATAATCTTCATTTTCATTACCTGAAAAAACCAGACTTTGACCTTCAGTATTAGTGTTTATAAGATGTACATTGTCCTCATTAAGCAGACTTTGTCCACTTGGAACATGAATCAGACCTCTATATAATCGGCCACCACTTCCTTCAGTAGTCATACTTGTCGCAGTTGGATTATTTATTCTCAATTTTTCATTTGTCAAATAACTATTTCTCTTTAATTTGCTATCAAATGCAATATCTGTAGTACTGATTCCTAAAGTCTTATCCTTTTTATATTTCCATCTACATGCATAAGAAGCAATTGTTTCATATACTCTCTTGGTATAAAGTCTCTTTTGTACTTTTTGAACAAGCAATCTTCTTTCCAAGAAATCAATCAAATTAAGACATTGTCCAGCATCAAAGGAAGTATATAAAGGTAAGTGTAATAATATTCTTGTGAATGAAATCCCCGGGTCTTCATTTAATTCCATAGTTAATAAAGCTTCTTCAATAAACATTTCATATGCATTTCGTCTTTCCCTAATCTTGTCAATATCCATTTGATTCATCGTTTGTTCAATTGCATCAAAATTGACTGTAACATCATATGGATTATTTGGATTATTTCTCTTCACCCATTGTTTACAAAGGTAGGGGATTGATAATGAACCAGAATAAAAATGAAATGAAAGTGCTCCATCCAATTTATGTAAGAATTTTGGTAATTCTATTGGTTTTATATATCCAGTACCTTCAGAATCAAATTCTTGCCATGTTCTTTTGAATTTTCTAATTTCTTCTCTTTGAATCAAATCACTATATCCTGATTTATGACTAATATAACTGAAACTATCCAAAATCAATGAAATAAACATATTCAACAAAATGTACATAGATATAATATTCCAAGCAATAAACAAAATATATGCATATTGTTTCTTTCCACAATCATTTGAATCAATGTTAACTTCAGAAGTACAAAATGGTGGTTCTAATGTATAATCATACATAATATAATTCCACCCTTCTCCAAAACTACACCTGAATAATAAAATTAATGCCTTTGGAACCGACCGTAAGTTTATATTATCAGTACCGTTTGGACCAATCTTTGTAAGACCAAATATTTGATTCATTGCAATGGCAAATAACAAGAAAAGAACTATCCAAGTAAACATCAAGGAAATCAAATTGGGTAATGATGCAGATGCGAATTTTAAAAGTTGATTTAATCTATTACTTCTTGGAATAATGAATAATAACAATCCAACAAGGAATAATTTATTGAAATTCATAAATGTTGAATCTGGATCAACAGTAAATCCGATAATTGTTGTTACGAAGGCACCTACGGATACGATTGAATTAAAAACATTCCATTTGAAGTGCCAAAATGATGAACCTCGTGCCACAAATAACATAACTGCATTCACCAAAAACATACTAGCTGCAATCATATATATAACACTTCTAAAATCATCCAATGCCGCTCCTGAAGGATAACATTCTAATAATAATGCCAAAACATGTAAAAATAAAGTAAAATTCAAAATTCTTGTCCAGACCTTATTCCTCTCAACTGTCATCTTATAACAGAACTTTTTGAAAAATGACAACCTATTGAGATCTTTTCTTTTGGATGGCTTTGTTTGGACCAATATTTGTTTAACTTGATACCATGCAATTTGATCAGGTGTCAAATATGCTCTTCCAGTAGTTTCCAAATAATTGTTAATAATCACAGAAACGAATAAAGTCAAAATGAAAACAATACTCAAGAAATTGAAAAGGATAACATATATTCCATTCCATGGACTAGCTCCCCAGTTAGGTGCTGTTCCAACACCAGTACTTGAAATCGCATTGTTTAACAAATCTACCCAACCTTCTAAAGACACAATCTCAAACAAGCTAGCGAATGAAGTACTAAACTTATTGAAATGTAAGTAGTTATGAGTGTAAACTTTTGGACTAAGAATATTCCAATTAAATACTTGATTTTCGTATTCGTTATAACATCCTTCGTAACCGTCTCCATTAATACAAAATCCAAGACGACCATTAAAAATATTTAACCCCCAGATTGAAAATGGGAATAATAAACAAAGTGATATAATCATTGCACTAATAATCTTCCAAAACCCAACAATCATAGTATTATGGAAATTTGCTTTTGCAGTTTCACTGATAGTCAATAATCTCAAGGCACGAAGTGCTTTCAATCCTCTAACCACTCTTGACAAATTCCCATCATCTCTCATGAATGCAATAACTTCAATCCATAATGAAACTAATACCACCATATCAATAATATTCCAAGAAGAACGTGCATAAGCATTCGGTGTAAATATTAATCCATCAGCAATTACTTTCACCAAGAACTCCAAGGTGAAAAATAAAGTGAATGCTAATTCTAACCAAAAAGTCCAATTAACAGATCCATATTCCTCAACCATTTCTCTTCTGAATATTGGAGTCATATAACATGCAGTAACCACTAATCCAATTGTAGCTAAGAAAAATATCACAACAATTGCCTCTGAGAGCTTTCTATAAGGTGCAACACCGTCTATTCTTTCTCCATGGCTGGGTTTTACCATTCTTTGACAAATTCTACGAAGTCTATGATGGGGTCCAATCATGTAAAATACATAATTAAACTTAGGATTCTCTTGTAAAAATTGATTTTGCTTTTCTACTAAAACCTTCCGTTCTTGGATTATATCTTTTGCAAATGTTGCTGGATTAAAGTCTTCTAATGAAATTTCATTCTTCTTAACATCATCATAGAATGGGTTGTTGAAGGAATCACGTATTCTCCAGTATTTTATATAGAACCATCTTTGCCAGCTTGACTCGGGTAATTCTCTTATCTTTGTTTCATGAACATTTTTTTTATTCATAATAATATCATCATCATCCAAGAAGTCATTGACAGCTGTTCCACTTAAAAGTAAATTAACCACTGCTTTTTCCAATTCATCTTTAGGTTGATTTCTTTTAAATAATTTCTTCTTGATCTTTGAAAGCATACCTATTTCATCATTAATACTGTGTAATTTATTAGTCATGGTATCAATAAATTGTAACAATTGTTGCTTTCTTTTCCCTGTTTCTGAAACTTCTAATGTCTTTGCAATAACAGCTATGAAAATATTCATCACAATCATATTTGACAAAATGAACCAAAATATAAATAATACCGCTGTCATAACTCTTTGAAATGTATCAGTAGTTATTTCTTGAAGATTATATAGAATAGCTGTCCAATTTTCGGTGGAAGTCACGGTATATAATGCCACAAATGAAATGGGTAAAGTATTCATAAGAAACACTTCCTCTCCTGCTTCATCCGGTGCCTCGGTTGCCTCAAAGAATACTGTGAATATAATACTTGCACATCCCAACAAAATGAAAAAGAATAAAGTTAAATCACATAATGCTCGAATATTCCACATAATTTTCATCCAAAGATGTCTAGTAATTGAAGTTGCCAAAACCACACGATAAAATCTCATCAATTGAAATACAGTAAGCCAATAATATGCCTGTCCAAGTGCATTCTTAACTGGGTCAATAATAATCACTGAAGTCACAATTGCTAAAAATAAATCAAACCAATTTCTTTTGAATGTGAAAAATAATCTCCAATGAGGAAGATAAACAAGAAACCTAACAATAATTTCAAAAAGGAAAATGGCAGTAAATGCAGCTTCAAATCGGTATAAAGTATGTCTGGCAGTGTTTGACATATCATCACTCCTGAAACATTGAACAAATAAATCAGCACAAATAAGGAATATAAAGAAAAGTTCAAATCGATAATAAAACCTCAACCCGGTTTTGTTTTGTTTAAGATGAGTAAGCTTTTCACTATAAAGTAAAGTTCCTTGTTCGTCAGTACCAAAAAAGTTAAATATCCCACCTCCTTCTCTATTTCTTTTCCGTTCTTTAGCTACTTCCTCTCTAGTGATATTGAAAGATTCCACAATAACTGCAATAAAGACATTAATCAACCAAACCGTCATTATAAAGATACAAACAATGAAAAATAAACATGCAACCATACTATCTGAATCCATGGTATCATACATTATATCGGTGAACGTATTTGCACTCATGATAACAAAGACCATTTCCAATGAATGAAAAATATTATCAAAACTAACTGAACCTCCATATGGATTTTTACCTGAAATACATTGTGAATATACTGGACATGTGAATCCTTTAATTTCATCTGATGCCGTCCCATCACGTTCTATAAATGGCATTCGTGTTCCATCTGGTGCAAGATATGATCCACAATATTGACCGGAATTGATATACTGGTCATTGGGGTCGTTAGGATTAGTCCAGACGCAATGTCTCGTTAATGAGGATTTAAATGATTGAACACCAATAATGGCAAAGAATAACCAGAAACATGAAATGAAAATAGCAACATCGATCAATTGGGGGAATGCAGTCTTACAGGCTGTTAAAATAGTATGAGTACCAGCGGTTAAATTACAAAGTCTTAAAATCCTGAGACAACTTAATGCACGGAAAATCAAAATTTTATGTTTTGCATCATAATGATCAATCGATAAGAATAAGGAAATCCAAAAGGCAATCATGGATATGAAATCAATTCTATGCCAACTACTTCTTAAATAAGCTCGTTTCAAATGAAGTTTCAAGAATGTATTATGAGTCTTTGGTTTTAAAAATGTATTCTTTGATTCTAATGGTTTGTTCGTTGGTCTTGATTCATTGTAATTCAACTTAATTTCGTCACTTGTAATAGATCCAACGCGAGTATATCCACCATGATGCAGACGTAAACCATTATACTTTTGTTTCAAATCAATTGGTTCTTCTTCCAAGTTTACTTCCTTAATATCAGTTTCATCACTTGAATAATCACGCAGAGGGGTGCTACTATCATTATATGGCTTATTATTCTCAGCAAATCTAACGTTATTGTTATTCTTTTTCTTGTTGAACAATTTTGGAATTCCAAGCCAGATAAAAAATTGCCAAACATAATTCCTCCCGAAATATTGTTGTTTAAGTTCATTTACAGGATATGGTAATCCAAGTTCTTCATACATTACCCGATCATTTATAAATCCATATGCGATAATTTTCCCGAAAATTTCTGCCGTATATAGAATATTAATCACCATCAAACAATAATCGGCCCAATTGTATCCATATCCCACATATCCACCTAATGTATCTGGATCCCAATGCCTATATGAAAGTAATCCAACTTGTAATATCAATAATATCAATAAACAGAAATTAGTATATCGATGTTCAAAAAGTCGATGACACAATTGTCTTATTTTTGATTGTGGAGAAAATATTCCTAATGAATTACCAAACAAATACATTGTATTTGCATCTAGATCTTCAACGGAACTAACCGAATCACGTTTCTTATTATGGGAATGAATTCTTAATTGATCTATTATCACATGTGAATGTACAGGTGAAGGCAACGGTCTAACTTCATGGGTTTCTTCTCTCAGTGGTGTTTTCTCGGAAGGTTTATCCACAGGTAATCCTAACCCTTGTGTATATGATGAAGCATTCCCAGTATTTATTGATATATCAGGCACACTTAAATGTGATCTAGATGCAAAATGAACCGGACTTAATCTATCGGATGCAAAATGAACCGGACTTAATCTATCGGATACATAATCTGTAAATGTAACATTTGTCGGGGTTAGAAGTGATGGATGTGATTCTATTGGATGTAAATGTGGACTTACTGAAGTTCTATTGTCTCTCTCCTCTTCGTTTTGTTTGCTTCGAGAACCAGCCCCTGCAATACGATCGGAAATTCTTGTAATTGCTCTTGTAATTCTTTTGGGTGATGCAGAACCATCTTCATGTTGAGGATGATGGTGTATGTATGTTCCAGATTCCAACTGATTTGGATCTAGTCTATCAAAATATCCTGTACTATTTGTATTTGAATGAGTGTCGTAAATATTCTCTGTTGGAGAAATACGTGATGATCCACGACTATGTCTTCTGGAAAGATAACTAGGTCTTCTTTGTCTTAAATTTTGCATAGGTATATCCGTGGTGAAGTCTTCATTGTAGATATCAGCTACCGGATCGGTGTTTTCTTGTAATGTTCTGTTGGTTTCATCAATAGGTTGTCTATAAGGAGCTGACACGGGGAACCAATTTGGGTCTTTGTTTGATGATCCTAATGCATAATCTAGACCTTCTCGCAACTCTTGGAAATCTTCATCTCTTATTGCTTCCGCGAGTAATTGACGTGGAGGACTAGGACTTGGACTAGATCTGGGAGAACTTGCTCCACTTATTACACTTAGCATCTTTCTCCCTCTACTTTCATGTTGATGTTGTTGTTGTGAAGGTCCAGGTCTATCAATAGGATATGGTGGTATGGTTTGTTCGTTGTAACGAGGTATTATTACTCTATCCGCTCGTAGTGGGTGGTGATTGCCATGTGCACTTGATCTATTCTGGTTGTTATCTTGAGCTGGTATTGGCAGGGGAGATTGTAAAGGGACATTTTCAAGATCATCATTCAATGATGATTGTGTTGCTGAGTGGACTATTATTCCAGGTGTTTGTCTATGTTGATCCATCTATGTTTAGTGTGATTATAAAGTCATTAATTATGATGTGTAGTAATGCAAATTTGCTAAATATAAAGAGATGGTTGTAAAAATAAGAAAAATTGCGATTCTAATTTTAGATTACAAATTTCTTTCTTTTTGGATAAATGGTAGTTGATAATGTTGGTAGTTGTTGCGTAGGTGATGTCCAGTGTGATGTTTCTATCTCCTTCTATATGAATATTCCTAATACTAAAAATAAAGGGATAAAAATGAATTATAAATAAAATAAAAAGTGACAACCAAAATGAAATGGAATTAGAAAGAGAAGAAGAAAAAAAATGAGTCTCTACCGATTTACGATTTAAAAATAAATTAAAAGAAGAAAAAGACAGTAGCAAAAAGAGGGATATAAATTTACGAAATTACAAGAATTCTAGAATAGCAATCCAATCTTCTTATATGCGGCTTGTAAAAGGTATAAATAAATATAGTTGGCAAATCCGTTGGCAAATCCGTTAGGCTTATTCTTAGGGGTATCATTAGATATACATAATTTATAGATCAAAAGATGTCTTGAGAGGCTCAGGTGCTACAAACCTTAAAAAAAAAACTAAAAATCTCAAAATCGGCTTTTCTTTTAATTAATGAAAAAAAAAAAAAAATTAATTAATTAAAAATGTGTGGGCTCTGTCTGTAAAATGTTTTATAAGAGAGACAGAACAAAATATGTGTTGTTCTCTTTTTTTATGTCACATGTTTCGTTTCAATTGAAATGTTCTTCATGACAACCAAGGAATCCCACAAGGATATATCCAATTAGCTGTATACAGAAGATTGAGGAACTCAAATGAACAATCACTAGTTAATAGAACAATCGGTATTTGAAAATAAGCATTTTTGGTAATCAATATATGTATTTAACTGTCAAAAAATCCATATATTGGTATTAAAAAGGCGTATTTCCAAATACCAATTGATCTTGCAACCCAGCGATTGGGAGTTCCTCGGTTTTGCTGTAACATCAACAACATTAATCCGTGTGTGTGATATCTTCCGTGTTAGTTACGTTGTAGATCATCATCTTCCGAAACATCCCAACGTTACATTGATCCTGTAACCTTCGAGGGGTCGTGTAAAAATGCGAAAATCAACAGTCTCTCAATTTGGTAGTGCCAAAGTACACTACCAAAAAAGTTTTTCATTTCTCCAATCAAAAGAACTTGTATATCCCATGCTAACTTCTTCGGTAACCAAAAGGAAATGACTGTGCAAGTTTTAAAGAGATTGCCTACTAAGGAAAGGATACATCAACTTCAAAAATTAAGTTGTACTATATTTGGAGAAGAATTCAATCCAACTGGAAAAAGATCGTTTGATCATTTATTAAAAAGAGAATTAGTAGGTCCACAAGTTGTTAAATATTATGGTGACAACGATTCAGTTCCAACATTTAAGGATTTTAAGAAATGGTTCCCTGAATTAAAACTTGTTGATCCAAGAGAAGAATATAGACTCCAAATGGCTGCAGCTAGAAGAGCTAGAAATAAGGGTGCACCAAAGAAGAAATCTAGTTAGATGGGTATACAGGTAGTGTCTTCCCAACGTCAATTTCTTGTACATAATTACAAAAAAGAACATCCGGTTTATCATCGTGTATATTACAATATTAATACAAAGTTTATTATTTTTGACTTATGTTTTCATTCTTCAATGCATGCGGTGAGATCTAGCTCGTTTCAATTCATGGAACGTGTCAGTGACTTCATCCACATTCATTGAAGTATCAGCTATCAAACTTAAATGAGTTCTCTTTTTAGATGGCAGTCGTTTTGTCATACGGGTGGATATAATTTCCCAATTTCGAGTGATTGCGCTATTGTATAAGATTATCGCTTCTTCACTTCCATAACTGATACTCTGTATTCCATTATCTGATTGAAAGAGCGCTTTGGCTATGAGTTTATTCATATCGTATAAGATAGTCAGCAGACGAGTCACAAACACAGCCTCGTTATTCTTTGTAGGAATGATATCAATAATGGAATCAAATAGACTTATGATAGTCTTAAACTTGATCTTATGTTCAGCTTGATAATCAAAGATGTAATAAAGAACATATGAATCATTCAATGTTATGAATATATTTGAACCTTCAACTAATACATTTGTGATTTCAAGTTTCAAATTACCAGGAATTGAAATATTCTTATTCATTATCCCTCCATTCTTATCTTGTTCCCATCCTCTTTCATTCTCAGGTATTTCCATTATCTCCCGCTTAATCACTCTCAATAAATTAAAACTAATCACTTGAATACATATTCGCTTTTGTTCAATTCCACATATGAACAAATACTCCGATCCATCAGCTGAAGCTAACCAATTTGAATGAAATCTAGAAGGACTCATTTGAATATTGTTCTCTTTTGAAAAATCAACAATCCCATCCTCAAAACATTTCATATCAATCATAGGCACAATACTATCCTTAGAACTCTCTTCGCCATTCACCATCACTTTCCCGAAAAAATCATAGACCATCAAATGATATCCAAATAATACTTCGGTATCGTTAAAGATCAGTAACCAATTCCCAGAGGGGGACCAAGAAATTTGTGGGAATGTGATAAATTTATTCGGTAATCTAAAAGTATGAATCAAAACACTTATGGCACCTTCATTATAAAAATGATATAGTATTGGAGCGGCATTATGTTCAAGAGTATTGCCAATAATTGACCAGAATCGATTATCTTTATTTGGTCTGATTATAATATCATGGGATAAAGGGTACAAAATTGTAAATAATACATTTGTACAATCTAATGAATAAATCTTAACATATAGATAATCTTTGGAAAATATTGCAATTTGTCTGGAATTGATATATGCTTCTGATTCTTGATTGTTTACCTGTTCTTCTTCCTCCTCCTCGGTTGTAAGTGGTGGAGGTATCCACTGACATTTTTCAATCCCATCTGCTATTGGTATAGTTATGAATATCGGCGGTGATGATGATGATGATGATGTGTCCTGGCGTATATCAAATATGATCACAAATGAATAATTATCAACCACAACCGCCAATTTGGAACAATTTGGACCGTATTGAATCTTATCTTCCCATTCGACGGGTCTTGTTATTATAACGTCAATATTAGCCCTTCTTGTCGCCCCGATGAAATCTCGAATTAAGTCCGTGATGTTGTAACTGCGATGTAAATGACCCGTTCTAGTTTCATATATTTCTAATTGGGAATTGTCTGATGTTATTTTGGCAATGTAATGAGAACATGGAGACACTACTGTCTGTGCCTTTGTCATTTTTGCAGTCTGGTAAATGAAATGTGTCAACAAAACAACAGATCTCTTGTCGCTGTCAGGTGCCTTTTGATGCGCTGAGATCTAAGAGACCGCTTTATTTTTACCAGTGAAAGAAAAACAACGCGCGCAGCCAAGAAGCAATCAAAACAAATCAAAACAAATTCAATTCCACCCTTTTTTTCTTTGCAACAGAGAACAGATTCAATTGAAAAGGAAATATGAGCAATCGAAGGAATCATTATCTTCAACAGACAGTACCGAATCTAACTGCTGGTACTTCCACATTAACTGAAGCAAATCAACTGATGAATATTCTATCCCGAGAAAACAAACTATCCAATCTATTCACATCATCATCACAAGAACATATCACAACCAGTCGAAATACTCCTTCTACAAACAGACATGAAAGTAGTCGCCAGGAAAAGAAAAGAAAAAGACTTCAAATAGGTGGAGATATCAATACATTAAATCAAGAACTTGAGTTACTTTCCGAAGCGGATGAAACAATTGATTTTTCACAATTTAAAACCAGAACTCAAGCAGTTGGGACAAAACAAACCAAAACAACTTCATATCGACCTGAATCAAAATCATCCAAACGTACCAACAGCAACAATAGATATGATAATCTTCCTTCGAGTGGGATCATAACTGAACCACTTAAAAATATTGATGTGAAAGATTATCATAAATTCTTAGACCCATTGATGTCGGAACCAGATAAGATGAGACAATTATTAATATGGTGTATGAAAAAGGAAATGGAAGATGATGAACAGCAACCGCATCGAGATGCGGCAATACAATCAGATGAAAGAACTGCTTATAATATCGCAAAAGTGGTTAAAGAAGAAATCATTAAAGACTTAATAGAACAAGAAGTTTCGACAAATTGGTATGATAGTAACAATACGAATTTGAATTCACTGGTATTATTGCCCAATCCGCAGAATACTTCAACCTTATTGGATATTGAAACTTATTCCAAACAATTGGAACAATTAAGAGAAGAAAAGATGAAATGGAGACGGGCTTTTGAAAGTTCAATTAATGAGGTGAATCAAATACGATTTGACCCTGATAAAATTAATAAAGACAAATTGTCTGAATATATCCAAACCCATCATCCAGATAAGAAAGGTATTGTGGATAATTCATTAATAAATAAAACAGTTGCCAAGTATGAATCCACTAAGAAACTAATACCTGAATTAGAACGGAAAATTAATCAATTATCGGCATCTTCATATATGCTTGAAAGTTCAACCCGTCTAATTAAGAATATTGAAGATAAGAAAATCTTACCGGATGTTGAAAGATATTTACTGGATTATATGAATAAAGCAAGTGTTGAAAATTATAAACTATTACAAGAAAAGGAAGGTGTTAGTCATTGGCCAATTCCTACTGAACCGATCACTGATAAAGAGTTATTAGAGGGGATTTGTCGGGTTGAAATGAAGGCTGCTGAACTTGAAGAGATATGACCCCGCTTGGAAGACATTTCATATCAAACTGGTTGATTCAGTAAGGATATCGGTATTTACGAAGTATATGTATGTTGTATCTAGAAGATACTGTAACAATAATTAATAGAATTGCTGTGTAATATATATGTATTAGCTCACTCGAATAAAGTATATGTATAATGAACCGTCCAACACTGTTATATGGATTCTTTATTTATCTATACAGACTAAACTTTGCTAGAAAGCCTCAAGCCCCAACATCCTGAAAGAAATGTTTTATGAAATATAATAATAATACTAAAATTTAATTTAAACCCCCAGAATTAATAAAATCGTGTGACTTGAGTGACATTACAAGTCTTTTTCGTCATTAAAACCAAGCCACATATAAACCTATGCCAAAAAACCCTTAAGCTTACTTCTTCTTTGCAAATAATGGTTCACCAATATTCTTTCCTCTCAATTTAACACCTAAAGCTCTTTCCATCTTACCCAAAAGTTGTTGATTTGGTACAGCTCTACCAGCTTCATAATCATTAATAACATTTGGTTTTTCATTACATTTAGTAGCTAAATCCTTTTGAGTCATTTTCTTTTCTTGTCTAGCTTGTTGAATGGCTTTACCAACACTAACATCAACCTTCTTGACGGCAACAACATCATCAGTAGCATCTAATTTAGTTAATCTTTGACCTTCTGGATTTGATTTAGTATTGGAAGTACCGTATTTCTTTTCAGTACCAACAACGGTACCTGCTCTTCTGGCGGCATTTAATTGAGCTTGAGTCTTGGCGACGTTTTCTCTTGGTCCACCACCACCAATTCTAGCCTTTTGACCAATAACAGTAACTGAATCCCAATCTGACATGTTTGTTGTAATAAGTTTAATAAAGTTTGTAAAGAGAAAGAAAGTGTGTGATAAAAAAAAATGGCAATAAAAAAAATCAGTCACATTTTTAAACAATGTCTTTCTTTTTTTCATTTGTTTCTTTTGGTGAAACAATTTTTATATGAGCAATTTGATTAGAGTGAGATTTTTGTTAACAAATCAAAATTGATACATATTACACGACCTTTATTGGAAGTTTCTAGAAATACTGGAGAGATTTGGCCCTGGGGTATTACATCTACAACTACTACTATGTTTCCCAGTAAATTGGGTGGGACACATACAACATGATTCTATATTTGTACAAGTACACGTTCATTCTGCAATTCAAATCTAAGATGAAATTGTATTCCATCTCTAAAGTATCCCATTTTATTTGACAGATGCAGATCCTACCAATAAAACAACGCTTGTTCCCTGTTAATCCGAGGCCCCCGAGGATCTCCCTTACTTTTCTAATAGAAAAAAAGATTTAGCAATTTAATTTCAACAAACTTAAAACTCTCTTTCTTAGTATTACTTCATCTTCATACTTAAATAACTGAAAGATGACTACAATTGACGTTAGATCCCGTTCCAAATCAATCAAAGGACTCTCTTCCAATGAATTGACTCCCGATGATTTAGTCTCAGATCTTGTACATGAATTATGTAATGATAATAACATTTCTCAACATAGACTTAGATTAACAATGTTTGATAAAACAACTGGTAAACAAAAACCACTTGATATTAATAAAACCTTTATGGATAATGGTGTACCTGAAAATGCTAAATATATTGAATTATTTGCCAAAGATTTAGGACCTCAAATTTCTTGGAGAACTGTATTTATAGTTGAATATTTTGGACCATTCATTTTCCATCCAATATTTTATTTCTTTAAATTATGGTATGGGGTTGATACAATTGAACATACTCAAACTCAACAATTGGCTTTTATTATGGTATTATTACATTTCTTAAAACGTGAATATGAAACTATTAATGTTCATAAATTTTCCAATGCAACTATGCCAATTTTTAATATTTTTAAAAATTCAAGTCATTATTGGATCTTATCTGGTTTTAATCTTGCTTATTTCATCTATGGTCCAACTCATGATTCAGGGATTTCCAAATATATCTTCCATGTCAATGATTTACCATCTTGGTTAAACTATACTCTCTTTGGTTTATGGGTTTATGCTGAACTTTCAAATTATATTACTCATAAAATATTAGCAGGGTTGAGAGATAAAGACACGAAGAAATATGTTATTCCATTCGGATATGGGTTCAATTTAGTCGCTTGTCCAAATTACTTTTTTGAATCTTTATCTTGGTTAGCTTATGCATTAATGGTTGGTAATTGGTCCGCATGGCTCTTTTTAGCAGTAAGCGCTGGACAGATGTGGTTATGGGCTATCAAGAAGAATAAAAGATATTTAAAAACCTTTGGTGATGACTACAAGAAGTTAAAAAGAAAGATTTTTGTTCCATTTGTTATTTAAAACCACCCCTACTTTACATATTATGTATATACATTTTAGTCAATTTACTTTGATTCGGAATCTTCCGGATTGAACTTAATCGAAACACTATTCACACAATGTCTTGTATCTGTAGGAGTACTATATCCTTCTCCCTTAAAAATATGTCCTAAATGTCCATCACAATTAGAACATCTCATTTCTTCACGTAATCTACCCAAAGAATCATCACGATATACTTTAATAGAACCAGGAATTGCATCATAAAATGCAGGCCATCCACAATGGGCAATAAATTTAGTCAGCGCCTTATATAATGGTTGTCCACATCCAACACATTCATAAATCCCAACATCTGAAGCTGGAGTATTGGTATATTCTCCAGTATTGGGGATTTCTGTACCTCTTTCTCTTAATACTCTGAATTGTTCAGGACTTAAGATTGCTCTCCATTCTTCTTCGGTTTTGGTCATGATTGCTCTAATTGTATTTCTTGATACTATTGGTTGTCGAAGTATATGTCTTGTACTAGAATTGAAACTTCTCAATACATTCATTAGTCTGATTTGTTGCTGAATTGGAAAGGGGATCAAGCGGCCTATTTATAATTTTGCTGTCAAGAGCTCATCCGCGAAAAAAAATTAAATCCGGGCCTATCACGATTTCTGTGGCGTGGGGAACGAGCCCAGCCCGTCGCATCAGATTAATTATTAATTCCAAGAATAGTATGCCTATGCGAGAGTTTTTAGATTGTTTCCTCTTAATATGCAGGAGTCAAATCTAGCCAGTAAAGTCCATACATATCCTGTACAATTATTCGATCTTGGTGGTCCATTGTTGACTGGAGCCAAAGACGTTAAATCCCCACGAAAAAGACAATAAGATTCGCACGAACCACAGTGTGAACAAATTTTATTACGTATGGTGTAATTTTTTACCACGGTGCGGCGACGTGGCGATAACTGGCAGTACCGGGCAAAAAAAGGCAATGCTGCTCGGTCTTAACAGAACCCAGGCTATGCAAAATTTATAATCTTTCTATTTATTACTCTTACTTAAAGAACTTGATTTGAATATTAGTAATACATAAAGAGAAAACACTGAACTAAACATTAGATGCTTGATCTAGTCATTTTTAATATACAATGAATTACAATTCTATTAACGTAACACGTAATTGTAACTTCCTTTTTGTTCTCTAGATTTATCTTTTGTAGTGACTTGTAAATCCCATTCAATTTCAACATCAATATCTCTTGGATTGACTTTATTTGGAATACCTGAGATTCTTCCCTTGATAGTATCACCTTTAACTAAATCTAATACTTGATCCATATAGAAAATAGTTTGTTTCCAATGAGTATATTGATTCATAGGACCAGTTGATAAAGTAACTTTTTCATCCCCAGGGAAAACAGCATCCCAATAAACAACAAATGCATGACATAAATCAGCATCAATGGCTTCAATTTCAAATGAACGATCGAATGCTAATTCTTCCTTTGTGACAGTATTAATATCAAATTCAAAGAATTTATCTGAAGTAGTAATCAATGCCTTATTATCAACAGTATCAACTAATGGTTCAGACATGGCCATCTTAATAAAAGGACTATAATCAAATCCATATACATCTTCCCAATAAAAGATCTTTTCATCTTTATATTGACCATCTTCAATACCAGCAATATACATATGACATTTATCTGGGAAAATTAATCCACCTTCAACAAGATATTTGTCTCTTGCTAATAAAACAGTATCCAACATAGATTCATATAACAAGAAATATCCCATCCATTCAGAAATAATAATATCAACTTTATCAACCGGTAATTGAATATCTTCTAATTTCCCTTGTAATAAAGTAATTTTATCGGAAAATCCATTAATTGAAACAATTTCTTTTGCTTTATCTATAATTGAAGACATATCAACAGAATAAACATGTTTAGCACCAGCTTTAGCAGCAAACATAGAAAGAATACCAGTTCCACAACCAACATCTAAAACAATCTTATCTTTAAAAAGATGTTTATTTCTATACATGGCATTACGATAACTTAAAGTACGAGAAGTATCTTTTAACATTTCTTCATGAATACCATAATGATCATATGAGGAGAAATAATGTTGATCATGGGATGTTAATTTGGACTTATCAGTAGCTGATTGTGACATTGTTGATTGATAATTGAATAAATTGAAGTAAAAGAAGAAATAGAATTGAAATCAGGAAATTTTTCAAAAATCCATTTCTTTCTTTTCCTGCGATGGGATGTGTCTTTCTCTCTCGTTAAATGCGATGCGCGAAATGATTTTTTTACACCACAAAAAAAATTGGAACACAAAACAAAAATCAACGCCAAAAAAAATAATATCACATCACCATTGCATCGATAATTAAACCAGGTAATGAATACATAAAAAAGAATGGACGAGTCCGGAGTCGAACCGGAGACCTTTCGCATGCTAAGCGAACGCGCTACCAACTACGCCACACGCCCTTTTCTATAAAACTTAAAACGCAAAAGTGAATTTTCATTTGCATTTTTCATCACGTGACCATGGTTTTACATGATTGGTAAACCCTCAAATTAGACCGCATAGGTCTGCAATTTTTGGATAATGAAGGTTTATGACTCTCTTAATGGTTTGAAAAAGTATTGAAACCTAAGACTTTAATCTAAACGAAATTTTGTAGTTTGAAGTTTTTGCAAATTTTGCAACTTTTTCAAGAAATGTGACCTGAACCATGAAGAGGATGACCGTAGATGAAGAAAGATAATGACTTATATGGCATAACGCTATAATAGAACAAGCCGCGAGGATAGCCTGGGTTAGTAGGGAATGGCGATCTTGGGTAATTTCAGGGAAGTCCTACCACTCACTTCCCTAAGAAATTTAAGGGAGTATAGAATTTGAACAAATGGCAGTGCCAACCCTTTCTCGAGATATGTCCACTTGGTGAATCGTCTTCCAGTTCTTTTAGCTTAGAGAATGACTTACTAGACTGATCTACTAATGTAGCCCTTAATCTATGTAAATGAAAAAGTGTTAATCTCTTAGACTTCGGTACTTCGTCC